TCTCTGTAAATAGGGGACGCACCGCAGTACATGGAATATGCATATGCTTTTAGAAATGCTGATAATTACAGGAAAGTACCCTATTATGTTCAGTCACCTATGTGGAATATTTACCTTTTTATGAACAGATGCCAAACTGATTCCTTTGCAACTTTGTAGTTAATACGAAGTAGAATCCAAAGTGTTCTAAAATTGTGCATATCAATGGAATGTCACAAATATATTCGTTTTATATTTATGAAAGAAACAATTGCCTTTTAGATTTTGTCTTAGTAAAATCACATTAAAATTGCTTTTTATATAACACCCGTGGGCTTGCAACTCATTAGTAAATGGTTTATGTTGTCTACCACGCAATAAAGAGATATCTAAGGTGTAGTTATACAGCATGATCTCTCTTTTAATTCTGAAAATAACTTTTTTTTCACTGGTACTACTGGTAATGAATAAAAAACAATTATTGATCAAAACTAATAAGTGTAGAGTACTGTTGTATCTAAATGGCTTTTGTTTATTTTTATAAATATAATTTTGCATAGTTAACTTCAATTATTGTTTCTGCAATATGCAATTATGTTGTATAATTTACCTTCATTTTATTTATTTATTTACAGCCTTATATCAGAATACAAAATATATACATTATAACTGTTATTTTTCTTAATCTACGATGACTGATTCTGTGTGCCTACGGGCAAAGGCCTCCCCCATTGTCCTCCATTTTTCCTTATTGTATACCAATCTCGTCCAGGTCTTAGTCTTTCCTGCCATTTCCATGATTTCATCGGCCCACCTTTTAAATTGCCTACCTCTGTTTCTTTTATGGCCTCTTGGTTGCCATAGTGTTACAATTTTGCTCCATTTATCTTTTATTTTACCTTCATTAACTGTAGATAAATATTATAATACACTTGAATATTTCCTTCCAAATATTCATGGGAAAAAGATTAAAGTGTTTTTATTTATCTTCTATTCATTTAAATAAATTACAGAAAATAATATAGGTATACAGCCTGTATAAATGTGAATTTCTCGTAAAACCTCCCCAGTAAGAATAATGCGTGGAGAGAAACGAGAAAATGAAGTACTCGGCGCTCCACTATGTGGGTTTAGTTTAGATAAGTGCGTCTCAAGTGTTTTAATAAGAGCTTTTGTATACTTTTTGATATTGTATATAAATAGGCATAGATAATTAATGAGAAAGCAAGTTTATTACATCTCAGATGATTTTGAATATCCAGTGTAATACTCTTTATACCGAATTTCAAGGGACCCAGCATTATATTTGTTATAGAGAGAAGAAGAAGAATTAATGTATGGATATTGGGTTAAACCAAATAAATTTTACTCAATTTTACGTTCTAGAGAGTTTACACTGTAATTTATATAATTTCAACAAATAAATCTATTTATACACTCACGCATTTATCCTGAATGGGTAGGCACAGACCACGGATCTCCGCTTACTTACAGTTTACGATTATCTAGTTGATAAAAGGGCCTGGGAGTAGTGCTAAACAGGATACTTCGAATTAATTTTGTATGATGATTTGGTCTTTTTTAAAGATTTTTTTACGCCGGCATTTTCTCTGGGCCCTCTGTCTTCTTTGCCGATGAGTAGGGATGTCTACCGACTCAAATTTAATGACGTGGAATAAATGATGCCTGTATCTTATATTCCATAATAAACATATGTTATGTTTTTAACTACGTTCTAGACATACGTCATCACTTCATCCTCTTTCAAGACATTCACCATGCATGTTCGTCGCTTATTTGACATTTGACTTGTTCCTTCTCTAGTACGTTCTGGATTTGGTCCAGGTATGGTACGACAAGGAAAACCCGACCTGAACTCACCATCTACGGATTCTCTGTTTATCGTGGGTGCTCATTCGTCCTTTTTTTATGGCTTAACCATCTAAGCGTTCCCTTTCGTATCCTTGTTACTACGTCCTCTTTTATATCAGTGTTCATTAGTATATCATATATCTACTTCAATTATATTGTATTTTAGTCACTTGACTTGCATGTAAAGGTATTTTGGACTTTATTTGGACAAACGATAACGATAATATCGAACCAATGTAACTTTAGTTAAGTTATTAATTTTTATTGAGTATATAAACCACAAAAATCAAATCTCTTCATTATACCTACACGGTAACAATGAAGAACAAAGTATCTAGACGGAGGTTTTCTCGGAGTTGTTCGAATAAATACAGCCGAGTTTCATCATCGGGCGCCGAGACCGAATTTCGGAATTTCTCTTCTATTACTCTCGGTCGTTCCACAAATTAGCCGGTTTACTTTTTGAGTTTTGTGGAACCTGCTGTTTTTAGAGGTATAATCATAACGCGCCAGAATATTAGATGCGTCAGATTTCACTGCAAAACGTGGTGACATGTACCTAAAATATGTCGAAAATCACAAGCGGTTGTTCTTGAATAAAAGCCTATGTACAAACTATCTTGTAATATTTATTTATTTATTAAAGTACACCACATCATATATAATACATTTTCTACAGTATAAGATATATAATTTATCTCTTCTAAAATCAAGACAATTAGGTACGGTGAACATCAATTTTACAAAAGATTAAATACAATTTATTTTTTAATTAAAATAAAAAAAATATTACAATTTTAGAAACATTAAATTACTTAGGGTCCTTAGAAGATGAAATCAAATTTTAGAACGATCTTGCTTTTGTCGTTCTGCGAGTCTCTGAGTTGTTGTACGTGAGGCCCCTTAGTAAATAATTGCGAAAAATTACTAATATACATCCCTCAAATAACACAACGTTTTAGTATTTCCAAAGTATCACAAGCCAACGTTAGAAAGACAGCCTCAAGAAACTAAATGTTAGTGTCCTATCTATCTTATCCTTAATCCTAAACTGCAAGTACAGAAAATCCCATAAAATTTCATAATATTAAAAAATTGGTTACTTGATGACTGATACAACTCGATTTCCATAAATTGACTGTACTTACGTAGATTCTGTAATGACTGACTTTCATAAACAAATGCCAAGCTAGGCGTAAACGAATTAATTCGTACCATAAATTATTAACTATGGCATAATCCGAAGTAAACATACAGATTCAAATGAATTATAGATGAGCGACAAACTACCCCAGTTTAGGGGTATCATTACTGGCCCTTGTGCGTAATTAATCGAGGGCCCGGCTTTATTAAATTTTGGCGCTTTGCTCCACCCTCTCGGGTAGGTGAATTCATTTTTACTATTCACGAAGGTGGATTAGCCAGATGAATTTCCTGATCCTCGGGGGGCTTAAATTGTGCGGGCGGCCCGATTTCTTATTGTCTGACTATAATTAATTCTTTATGGATTGGAGAGATGTACCAAGTTCAAACTGAAATAGATCAGGTCAAATTGGTTGTTTTTTTATTTTTTTATATAAAAAATATAACGTACTGGAAACTAGACAACAAAATTATATGGCACTATAAATTAGGATTCCATATTATAAACAATACGTTATGTTACCCCGCCTATTACCTAACCCTAGCCAAGTTACGTATAAAGATAGTTAGTAGAGACCTACTATTACTTTGATAAATAAATTTCTTAAATTAAATTATAATGATTCATGTGCACTTTTTATTATTGTCTAGTTATTAATTTTTTTTTTATGTGTCCTTTATTAGTTTGTTTTTTGTTCCTGTTTAGTTTCTTTTTCTCAACAACTATAATGTAATACATGTATTTTTGCACTTCTTGCCTACCTTATGTAATTTAATACTTTGTTTTTTTTCTCACAGTGGTTGCCTGGAAGAGATTGCTCGAAAGCGATAAGGCCGCCAGTTGCTCTCCTTTTTATTTAATTATGTCAATTGTACTATATTTATGTATATGCAACGAAGTGTTAATAAATAAAATAAAATAAGTAAAATTAATAAATTAATAAATATTACATAGTAATAAGACTAGAGAAGGTGACATTGCCTACTATTGGTAAAAATATTTGAAGAATGTAATCAAAACTGTTAGAACTATATAGTAGCACTGGCTAAATAGGTAGAATCGTAATCAATATTGAAAGAAATATTTCTTCTGTATGATTAAATTTGTATCAAGCATTTGATACAAATGTTACATTAGTAAATAAGAGATGAGCACAACTGCTGTGTATTTTTAGCCGACTTCAAATTGAATTTCAATAGTGACATATAAACAGTCTATTTACTATTTGAGAAAACAATATAATGATATACATAAACCCTAATACAAATAAGCAATTCAAATCACAATGCTCTCGGCGGAATCGTTTGCACATGCGATTCAGGCGCACATTCACACATACAACGCCTGGGGGTGTAATATTTTTCACCCCAGCATCGCCCTATGAAAACACGGCATGCGTAGTGTGGGAGTTAAATTTTTTGCTTCGAATGACGATGAATTTGAAATTTAAATTATTTTTACTAACGCCTGATGTTTTAATAAAGAACTAATAAAGTAATCACTATTGTAATTGTCCTAGTCTTCTACTAGCTATTATGTTAGATATTGAGAATGTATTTAGTATGCCTTAATGATAGTAAGTGTGTAGATGTTATTTTTAAACATATAAGAAAATTATTATTATACTCAGACCACTAAATTATTTTTAATTTATAAGCTCCTACGCTAAATCTCCCTAGTCCGAATACTGTACAATACGTTTTTTTTTTAACTCAATCGATGGCCGCCGGCGTCGGCTGCCGGATCACACGGTTAATTATTGACACATCCGTTTTTTATCCGGTACGAGCTCGACAGCCATTGTGGTAATATTCTCTTTGTACTGAAACTGGCTGTTTCCTTACCTTTGTATTTGGAACGTTTTGTTCCATGAATAGAACCTATGATTGTTTCAAAATTAACGGTTATCAATTTACTATAACTCGTTGTGCAATAGGCGTTAAATAAAAATATAGAAGGTAGAAAGGAATACGAAATGTGTTAGGTTGTTTGGAGGATACATATTATGCCAATCAGTACTGTTAGATTTGTAGTCGTTATTGTAAGGTGGCCGAAGTCAGGCTTACGCCGAGTGGCAGCTAAGGTATTCAGAAGCAGTGTTGGTCTAGGCTACAGCATGCGACTCTTATCATTGGGGGGCGTAGATTCAAACTCGGCTGGGCACCAATTGACTTTTCTGTTTCTATATGCATAAAATACTCGCTGGTACGGTAAAGAACACACCGTGAGGAAACCGGCTTGCCTTAGACCCGAAAAGTCGACGGCGGGTGTCATGCATAGAAGGTTGATCACCTATTTGCCTAGAAAAAAAATGATCACGAGGTTTTTATTATTCAAAAACTTTGTTCTTGTCAAAATTCCTTAAGTGTGGCTTCTATTCTTTTGGTACGCTGACATACGAGAGTGAGAATAGACTATACATATTTTTTTTACTAATCTGGGAAACCAGATGAAACGTAATAAATTCATTGCAAAAAAAATACTTAAACATACGAGTATAAATATCATCTGAAACTGCAAGAGTCATCAATTTGAGAGTTTAGAATTAAGAAGAAAGTAATTTCAAGTTCAAAGGTATTTTTTAAACCCCAATTTTAAAATTAAAATTGCGCAAGAAGTGCAGTAAAAATATTAATTAATTTAGGACATATGGTTGTCTTTGTCTGTTCCTAAACTGCATATAGTTAGGTATTTTGTAAATATTTTTCTTTTACTATGAAATGTCGTACTTTTTGTAGCTTTTTTGTAGGATTTTTTTACATAAGAAAGTGTCTACTAACGCTACTTACAGTCTCTAATAAGAGAAAGACTCTCTCTTGTGTACATTTTTTTTTCTTTTTTCACATACCACTGTTTAGCAATTAAGACCAACGTGTGCTCACACTAATTCGTATGGTTTTGTCTTTTTCGATCTTCCCACTAGGACCAATATAATGTTTGTAGTAATAAGTGTAAATACGTGCTGCCCGTAATGGCAACTTATTTTTTCAAATAAATAAAAGTTTATGAGTAATTTTAAACATTACTCATTGTCCGTTATTTACCGCCATATTCTTAGCCTAATCTCGCTCAAGTCACCTATTTCCAACACTTGGCATAAACTTGGCAAACAAAGCCCAAGTTTGACTTCGAGCGCCTCTGAATAACTTAAGTGTTCAATTTGACACACAGGGCTCATAGTTAAACGCTAGATACTTTTAATGAAAAAATTCATTATTATAAATAGGTATTAATTAGCCCTAGAAGGGTTTCATTAAGTATTTGTATCCCCAAACAAGATTTTTTTTGCTAGAGGGCAAACGAACAGGAAAACAACTGATGTTAAGTAATCCCGCCGCCCATGGGCACTCACATTGCCAGAAGGCGTGCGTTGCCGGCCTTTTCAAGAATTGGCACGCTCTTTTCTTGAAGGATCCTATGTTAATTGGTTAGAAATACTTCAGTGTAAACAATCAATCAATGTGACTATTCTAATAGTAATTATTTGATTTTACGAATTGTTTTAAGGTAATTTGATTAAGCTCAGTACGGATCAAAAGTAAGCTTCGATAAAAACACACTCAAATTCTTATCAAACGCATTTCCATTTTTATTTCCGCTACAAAAAGATTTACTATCACAATATATCAGACAACACGCGATATTTTTTAATACGAATCTAATTTCGTGTCTAATAAACGTTATCGGAAAGCAAGCTCGGTGACACAACCCTTTCTCTTATCTGATGGGGTTGGTGGGTGACATCGCGGTTGGCGGGATATTACGAAATTATGAAAATGCAGCACGTGACGATGGCTCCAATATAGTGATATTTTATAATAGTGAGCATGCAAGGTGTATCAATTGTCATGGCATTTAAGTTGCGAATTGCGATCTTTAAGCGCCCTAACTTATATATTATACAAAAATGAGAGATCTTCGTTGATGACGAGAGTCGAGATTTGGTAGATTTATACACATACCCGTAGTAAGTCACTAAGATTTTCTGCTTACCCAAGTTCTTAGTAGAAACGTATAAAAGCATTAATGAGGTCTCCCTTAAACATACTTGAACATATGTATAGAATAAACAAGACACTCAGTAAATCCCAGAACTAGGTGAGAGGAAGTAATATGCTGCATTTAATTCCAGGTCTTTAATATACTAAACATCTTTCTCTTCGGTCTTTATATAGACCTGACTAAACAATCCCGGTTTGAACCTACAGTTTTTAAAACAAAGTTTCATCTCTTTGCCAGTAAATAGGGTAAGATTATTTAAAATATACTGCTATATTATTCATTAAACGGTTGTGTTGATTCTCGTAGACCTGTTTTCATAATCGAATGCGATTTTAGCGAACACCATTCCAAAGTGTTTTAAACAGACGGTTATTACTTAAACTTAAAGGAACTTGGCATGTTTTGTTTTAAAACTTTCAAGGTGTTCTAAGTTTTGTAGACTGCCATAGTTCGACATAGGTTTAGTTTCTGTGCATACTTTAGGTTTGTTTGTATAATTTTGCCCTTCTTTAAACATTATTATCTTTAATGAGATCGCTTCCAGACATCGTTTAAATATTTTATTTATTACTGACACACGTTGTCCTGTACACACGTCCTAAATACAAGAATTTCAAAGTGGATCTAAACCATTATCGAATTGAATGGTTTAGATCCACTAAACCATTCAATTTAGACGTGCAATTTTAAACTTAATAATTAATTTCTTAATTGTCCGTTGAGTGAACTGACAAAAGATATGCTTTATGTCAGTTCATATACCTACTGCTACTTAATATATACGCAGATTAAATTTTTGTTTTTGAATCGGTCCAGCCAAGCAAAAAGGTGATAAGATTAAATGTTGAGTTACCGATTTCAATTACATATTTATTAACATTTATTTAACATAACAATGCTGTAACTATGAAAAGATAGTGTTTATTTCTATCAAAAATAATAAACTTCTTTGGCCCCCATGCTAGCAATGTTCAAGACCTAGCGTTATATTTTTTACTGTCTTAGGAATCACAAAAGCTCATCAAGCATTTAAAAGACACCGAACCCTTTGAGCACACCTTAGTCTTTGTCCTGTCTGAACTGATATGATTGGTACCAAGCCGCAAAGCTTTACGTCGCCGATTTGTATGAGTATCGCATTACATCCACCTCGCACCGTTTATTCTACCTTTAAACTGCCGCCATTCATTTATTATTGGAAAGGCCAGTTTTACGTCAGCCGATAATTCTGATCATTAGCTGAACTCCAATGCTTCTAATCTTCGAGGAACTTACGGTAAAAAATTGCCCAACTAGGAGTTTAAACATGAAGTAGAATGTATGGGAAGCATTTCCTTGTAAACACAACAATAAATTGTCAGCGCTGTGTACGTCTTTTTTTTCGCTTATGTTATATGTTTTTGAAATATCTTATAATTTGAAATAGTTATTCTGCTAAGGTCAACTGTCGCTTAGCAAAGTACAAGAACGCTATAAATTTAAGAGGAAGAAGGTATTTGACTTATGATTTGACCGTAATAACAAAGATTCCTTCACCTAGTACAATTTCTTCACGTCAAACTTAAAATCGAAGAAATTATGCTATAGATTTGTTTGATATAAAAGAATATCTAAGTATTTATTATATGTATAAACAGAGTACAAATTATTTATGTCACTACCACAGGACTTAACATTAAATTTAAAAAATACTAGATTGACTATACATTATTTATTATGCTATGCTTCAAATAGTTTGTAATAATTCTTTGTGTAATTATTAATGTAATTTTCGTTGAAGAATACCATGGGAAATTAATAATTTTATTCTATGCAGACGCAATTGCAGAAATCGGCTAAGTACCTAGTATTTATTACCTGTATTTTCAAAAACCAAATATTCAATAGAGGCATACAGTAATTTATTTTAATACAATTACTATACAAAAGGAAGCTTTTATAGAAGATATTATAAAAAGTAATTATATAATGAGTTCAGTTTTTGTATTCTAAATGCGATTTAAGTAATATCTGACAGCATAATTATTTTAGACTTTGTAAATTAACTTTTAAACAAATCCAATATCATGAATAAAATCACTGAAAAAGAAAGGCATAACAATTTTATGTCTGGTTAATTATCCCTGTGTTCAAATACTGATCATTGACTAGAAATGAAACGGTTTCAAGTAGGCAAATCAAAATTTAGTCATAATTAGTTGTAAATCTCAATTACCTAATTGCAGTAAATGTATGACTCGAACCCAAATAATACCGTGGATTGAGTCGATTTAACATTAATTAAAGAGACTTTTGTGGAGCGCTATATCAGCGAGGCACTTTCCGTAATTGAAACGTAAATAAAGCAACATCCGCATTCGGAAACTTGTTAAGCCGGGCCCTCTAAATGGAAATGACAAGTCTAATGTAACAACTGAAAAACATCCCGCTGGATCTAACAAAGCATTCATTTTCTGATGGCGGTAATCTCGCCCAAGGGCGGCATTGTTCATGATTTTTATGCCGTTTTTTTCGTATTTTCTTCTCGAATAAAAATACTGAACAGTATTGTGACGCCGACGCTCGCGCCGCGATCGCGCAAAAAGGAGCCCCTGGATGACAACGAAATGACGAGAGTCCACGGGTGGCCGCCCTCCCTCCCTCTCGTAAAAATGTCGCCTGGGAGGGGCGGCGTGCCTATAAGACGGCATTTTTACACTCAGCCGTCGAACCGAAAAATCTTATACCGATTTTGGATTATCGGAGTTTGAGCTCTCGTCTCGAAGACGGAAGACCCACAACCGTGTGAGCGTTGAGTACTTGACTTTTTAAAACACGAACTGTTTGCGATAAATCGATAAATATGTAAGTATAGACGGCAGAGAGTACAAATTGCTCGGATTTTGCAGTTCTTTGTGTACAAGAGGTGGGCTGGATGGTGATCGTCGGCTGTTTTAAAGACTATAACATTTTTCCTTTCATTCATGTTTACTTTTGAAACTGTGTTATTGCTATAGCATATACTGTAATGATGCCAGCCAGTAAAACTTTCTAGTCTCATTCTTTCCTACTCATTTCAAACTCATAATTACAAATTCATAAAAACTATACCTATTCTAAAGTATTTTCTATTTACAATGATTAGATATGTATATAGATGATTCTTTGAATAATATAGTAGCTACCTAACGTGAAAAAGAATGCCTGCCTACAATTAAGAAGCGTACTAATATTAAAACTTCAGCGATATTCCTGATGATACATAATCATCAGGAATATCGCTGAAATTATATTTTATATTCAAATGATAAGAAAATAATATACATCTAATTAAACTGTAGGTACATGCAGGCGGGTAGTAAAATGTAATTTATATTTTTTATTCAAAATGATATATATCTACCTATTCTTGTTTAAAGAGTAACTGTAGTAGAAAATTTTTCACTCACAGGTATGGCTTTTTTCAGTTCAACTAAGCGAGAAACAAGCACAGAACTATTATGCGGACCATCCTGAGCTTTCCAAGCTGCATGGTGCTTCGGAATTCATCGCAAGCCCAAAGAAAAATAATCTCGATAACGCTGAAAATTTCTTCACCACATCGGCCTCTAGTGAGTACTTACAGTTGTTTTGTGAGTCGTAGATATTATTTAACCGTTATAATGAGCTAGACTACTAAATTTTGTAGTTAAAAGTAACTATTGTATACTAATTTTATTCTTGTACAATACGAGTATGAAATTAGCAATACGTACGTATTCAGGTATTCACAGTTCGCAATTGAGTAACAAAAGTTATACTAAATTAAATAAATTCTAAGAACAAAACTAAAGTATAGTATGATTTTTTTCGCGTTTCCACCTATTTTTTAAAGATTGCTATATCGTAACTGTGTTTTAATAGCTTAATTTTATTCTGGAATTATAGTTTGTGGTATATTTCTTAAGTTTTATGGTACCGTAAAGTTTCAGGTGACAAGGGATGTAGTATATAACTGTCATAAATTTGAAACCGTAGTTATGGCCTGTTACTAAATATTATTAAAAACAGTTAAACCTATACCAATTAATATTTTGGTTACTGAAACCGTGTCTGTGGATTTTTTATTTAGCCAATCAAAAGGAAAGGCAAAACTTGCCCAACGTCTGCGCCGGCGCATGCATCGATGCCTTTCCATATTCAAATTACCGTAGCTGTCTATCAGGGCGCGAACAAACGAGCATCGGGCTTTGTGCAACGGCTTTTACCGCGTTAAATTAGATGTACTGCATGCTTTTGTTGATGCGTGAGCGCATCTGCTGCTTTGAAATCGGAATTAGATTTCGAGTAGATATTATGATTGCTGGTTTTGTATTCATAGAACTACCGATAATGTTGTGCGAAGGGTGTTTGTAGTAAATCTTTAAACTTGCTATTAATTGACACGAATGTATATTTGTGTATCTGTAGGTTCATAGTATTTACGAATTGAATCTTAAAATTGGCATTTATTTGACACTACAGCAACAACCAGTACAAAATACATTAAATATTAAGGAGGCCAACCGGCGGCCTTATCGCACAATCCTTTCTAGCAACATTAAAATAATAATAATAATAAGTGAAAAACTATATAAAATATATTTAAACAGTTTGTACAAGTGAATTCCCGTATGTTCTATTGCTAGACATATAGGTACCGATTTGAAGTAATTTGATTTGAATTTTTCCTTAATTTCGGTTTGAGTAAACCGGTTGGGGATTACAGCCATTTCGAAGAGTTATTTTAATTTCAAATTACTCAATTTTTGTCAAAAATTCCTTTTCACTTTGTTTGAAGACTTACTTACTTACTTACTTTTCACTTAGTTGATTTTATTAACTAATAACCTTTCTCTATTAAGTTTTAAAATATTATGATGCTCAAGACAATATGTGATTTAGATGAGATGAGAAAACCTTGAATCTCTTTTTATGTGTTTTTTTTAATTATTGTATACCACTTTCTATACTTATGTATTTATTTTATTGCTACTGTAGAAATAAAAGAGCTGTTGCGTACATTATGCAGTTGACAATCAAAAAAGTGGTTAAGTGACCAAAAATACCGTGTATTCATTAATAAATTTCTTACCTTAGTAGCAATGTTGAAATTAATAACTTAATAAGAAATAATTACTTGTACTGATTTGGCATCTTACCCGAGCCATATTGTAAGGACAGGCTGAGCAAAAACAAGAAAGGTATAAAATTGTTCATTTTCTTTTTTGTCGCCAAGTCTACGTAAAATTGATACAGGGATAAAGTTTTATACTGAAAAATATTTTTTTTAATTTGTTACTATGCATTATAGTGTATAGCATATTATGTGTGCTACTAGATAGTTGAAGAGCCAAAAGAGGTAACGAGCGTGTCTATTACTAACTATAGTTCTTCCAGAAATATATGAAAGTAATAATTTTTTTTTTTGCCGTTTCTCTTCTATCTTTTCTTAAACTCCCTCGCTAGGGGGTTGTAGACCCGTTCAGGGCGTATGCATCCTTCGGGTGGTGTACTGGCTTGCGTCCTGCTAATACGGGGCGGTACGGGTGCGGTCATTTAGCCCTTAATGAGGGCTGCAGTGCGTGAAGAGACGTAGCAAAAGTCTTCACTTGTTTTTGTGAGGACAGAGGAGCGACGCTCGACTCCGTCCGGGGGTCGTGTCCGGAGGTGTCAAATCCGGTGGTGAGGAGCCAAGGAGTATTCTCGACTTGGCCCTGATGTGGCGTTCCCTAGTATTGGGTAGACTCGTGGCTTGCCGTCAAGCCCCGCCAGGTGAGACCCCGGTTGGTCTGGGAAAGGTCGAAGCCACGGTTCTGTTTAATTTCTCTTGATATTTTTATATGATGCTCATTACTTGTAACTGAAATGCTGTTTATTTGTAAATAAAGTGCTCGCATAATTTAGTAGTTATAGAGTAATACAAAAAGGTGAAAAATGACCGTCTCAAATCGATCGCTTGTCGCCTGGGGTGTTAGGCTCCGCCCACATTTCACGCGAGAGGTGATGATTGGTCGCTCGATGACACGCACACAACGAAAGCTGCGTCTTGAGCCATTGCGTCACTACCGAAAATATAAAATTCCTAGGGTTAGCTTCGAGACTGGAACCTTGGTAATCTTAATCCTATCTATCTACGTATAGTGATTTATACCCATCACAATCACCAATTTAATACAAAATACGTATTTTTTTTTATTTTTAACCGCTGGTATAGATATTTTGTAACATTAGTCATTACAAAGGACACAGAATTTGAAACATTTCTTTATTTATTTATGTTAATTTTCATTGATTTAGTTTTGGTACCAAGAAATATACAAACATGTTGCAAATTGTATAGCAATTGGTTTGGGGTAAGTTTTAAACATAACATAACGTATTCCATATACATTTTTAAACCTACTTGTAATTAATTGTATTTGTTGTATTATATCATAATGTGGTATCATTTGGTTAAACGGACGGATACCTAAATTAAGGGACAACAAATTTTTTTTATAATTTAAGTTATATTTAGGTGCGATCGAGTTAGAGAGATTTTAGTTATTGTTTCGAAAGACCAATTTCTACAAAACATGGTTCACTAATTAGAGATTAAACAATAGCTGTTAGATATATTGTAGGATTATTAGCATAGTCTTAAATCTTGTTGGTATTCAGCGTGAGACTCACATACCTGAGGTCGTAGGTTCGAACCGCGGCCGTGAACCAATAGACTTTCTGTCTATGTGCGCATTCAACACTCGCTTGTACAGTAAAGGAAAACATCACGAGGAAACCGGCAGGTCTTAAATCCGAAATGTTGACGGCATGTGTCAGGTACAGAAGGCTGATCACCCATTAGAAATACAAATGATAACGTAAAAGGTACAAAAATCTGAGTCCCAGACCTTAAAGGTTGTAGCGCCACAGTTTTTTTGTGTTAAATCTAATTTAATTAATATTACTATGAATACTACTTTCAAGCACATACGAAATTACCCATACAGGTCTATCATTTGCCTGGTTTATGTAAGATAATTTCATGAAAATCTATATATATTTTTGTAATATTTCAGTCCCATAATTTCTAAGTTAAGTTTTCTTCTCTTAATAAACCATATTTCTGCTTGCGATTTCCACCCTGTCCTTGAACCTTCGTTCTAAAAGCGATGAAGGTATCTAAACTAGCCAATGTATTATTATTACTTGCTACATACCACATCGATTTCACCTACAAACGCTATAAGGTAAATATTTTTTGCATGAAAAATTTCCGTATTTTCCTGTCGAAGTATTAAATTGTCAAAACGTGGCCCGACTTAAAATAGACAGCAACAGTCACTCTTATTTGTTTTGTAACTGCGTTTAGGTTTTTTTATTAACTAGAATTTCTGCTCGCCTCGCGCCGGTACCGCATTTCATACAAATATGTAAACGAAATACGTAAAAATCAGATCTGTTATTTCAAATAGAACTGCTATTAGAATTATATATTTCACAATCTTTTACAGAGGAACACAAATTATTATAAATTATACACGACTCTTATGACCAAACATTCAATATTATTAAACTTAAATTAAATTGTAGTTTATTCAAATTCCATATGGCTGCTCTAACTTTGCATTGGCTATTTCACAAATTTATTATTATGTTTCTCTTTACTTCATTATTATGATTTATCGTATAATAATTGTTGTACCCATAGAAAAATCTCATACAATGGTCAACGCACATCGATACCCGGTTATTTCGAGCGAGAAGTAATTTGAGAAGTTTTTTGTAGTTGCAAAGTTGTTTCAAGGCGAGTTCGAAAGTTGTTGTGAGATTGCTAAATGTTTGGAGGCAATTACTTATTGGGTTGTACTCATTTTTACGTGGTATAATTATACATATTGTCGTTTAAGATTTGCCGTTTTCTAGTAGACCTGAGTTTAAGCTATTTACTTCTCTGATTCTTAAGATGATTTAACCTAACCTAAGGAGGCTTTTGAAGCGATGTTTATTTGTTTAAGAATAAATACATAAAGGCAACATGCGAAAATGATTGTTATTATCAAAATTCAATTAAAGATTTTGTTTTAGGTGGATATTTGCACATGCACACTGGACAGGTTTTATAAAGGTACTTAAATAAAACACACAGCTTAAAATATGGCTTACTAAAACATAGATATTTTCCTCTCTAATTTTGTAGGTAAATGTTTGAACATGTTGATATTCCATCTTTGACTATCTGTAGTATATTTTTTCGTTATATATAATTTATAGTTATATATAAGTTAGCTGTAGTATTATGAAATAAATAAATACAGTAATACAAATACCTTCAGCCTTTTGTCCAACGCGTAATCGGAGAATGAAAATAATTTCTGTTTTTGCTCACTTAGAAGCGTTACCTAATAAACGCGTAATTGTGTAAAACATACTACGGTTGCTTACAAGAAATAGATTTTTCCATTGTTTTATATAGACGTTAGTTAATACATAGCCAATGTTATGGTATCGACACAAAATACAAATATATTTCATATAATTACAATCGTAAATATAAAATTAGATGATTACTTTATTTTATTTTTTTATTTGTAAGCTTTCAAAATAAAAAATATTAAAAAGCTTAATTTGAATGTCGAACACGTTTTGGCATTTGATTAAGGGCTCCCACACAAAACTGCGAAGTCGCATCGCATCGCAAATATCTGCGAATTCGCACGATCGCACCGCAAGAAGTTCCGATCTGCTTCGCATCGCACATTCTTGCGATATTACGTCATCCTTGGTGACGCCCTTTTAGTCCGCTCTGAGACAGCTTTAGAGAAAGGCGCGCGGCGCCTCCGCCGCCTTCTTTGTTTATAAAAAATTGCGGAATATGATATGGATTTTTTAATATTTTTAATTGAGGAGCGTCCCGTCCTTTGGGACACAAGTGATGAACATTATAAAAATAAATTGATTAAGCAAGATGCGTGGAACAGCGTCTGTGAAAGTTTGCATCAGAGTTCATAATCGTAATAAATGGATGAACCCAGAATCTTCTTTTTCTTTTATATCTATTTAACAATAACAGCAGTGCAATTATCTTTTTGCGATCCATCTTACGCGTCCTAAAAACACGTCCAGTACGGCTGACTACGAAGGAATGGTCGCCCTACCAAACGGTTTGTTGCACTAAATCGTATCGCAGAAAATCGCATCGCAGGAATTTCGAGGAATTCGCATCGCATCGCATCGCAGTTTTGTGTGGGAGTCCTAAACCCCTCCACAAGCAAACGTCATTTCCTACGAGTTACGATTATTATACACAATATCGTGTTACTTTGCATCTCAATTATTAATTTCTTTAATGTTTATGGTGTCTAAGTCAACTAAAATGTCTCTTTTACCTCTTTATGTATCTAATAATGTAAATCGTAGGTTGCTTCATACATTCATAGTTCATACATACTAGTCGAATTCCATACTTTTGTTACGAAATTATTCGATTTAAGCTTCGAAACCTAAACATATGCTGAATAGCACTTAAGTTCCAATAAGAGTTGTCGGGATATATCTGTGGAGTGCAATATTTTTAAACAAAGGGCGCTTAAAAAGTGAAAACGTGACATTTCCCTTCACATTTAGGCACCTAAACCTTTTGCAAACAACATTGAGAGCGCTGTGAGTAAATGAAAGGGAGGGGGCCTAAACAAAAGGTGCTAGCCCACCCCCCAGGCTGCCTCGACCTGACTTAGGGTGGGTGGCTAGGGCGACCATGAGATGTGTATGAATAAGATAACGTTAGAACTATGTTTCGATCACAATACTATATCCTTCAGTACTATATTCTTCAGTTTTCTCTCTACTATTTTAACGTTCTGAGCAGTGTTGGCCTAGTGGCTTCAGCATGTGACTCTCATCCCTGAGGTCGTAGGTTCGATCCCCGGCTGTGCACTGTCAGCTAAGCTGTCATTTAAGAATGAATTTGCAATAGTAACGTTTTAATCCTTAACTATATTAACAATTTTAGTAAAGATTACTTTAAAGATTGGATAAGTAGCCTTTTATCACCCAACCTTAATAACGGACATAAAAAAACAAATAAGACACTTATCAGAACTTTGGTATTTCCTATATTTTTGTACGGATCAGAGTCCTGGTCGATTCGTGCAGCGGACCGTATAGATATTGACGATAGAGGTATTCGAGATGTGGTAAATAGGAGGAGAATGTTGCGGATATCATGAACTAATAAGTTTATTCTCAACCAACTAAAGATCACCACAAGACTGTTTATGATTTACAAACGAGTCCTTAGCTATTTTGGTCCTAGTTTCAGGAGATAACCGAATAGTCTCGACAAACTGGTAATGGGAGGAATGATGACAAGAGAAGGGGGGGTTGATCGCCTTTGGTCTGACCAAATTAAGACAATTATTGTTCTCAACATCCCTAATACCCTGAGACAAGCTGAGGTTAGAGTAGTGTGGAGCCAGCAAATTGACGTATTGGTTAGGGCTTTTCAAGACAGGCACGACCTTCAGTAATAAAGACTACTAAGAAGAACACTTGCCGTGTAATTTTATTTTTTTAATAAAAAAATAATGTACTTATTTATAATATAATAGAAATCGAGTTTAGACTGTTAACCAAGATGGCCTTGTGGATGGATGGTTTTCCTTTGTACTACAGATACTTAAAAGTTATTATTTCCATTACTGATCTCTGATTTATTATGGTACGTGTCTAGCTGCTTTTGCTTGCATATGCATTCCAAGTATCAACAATTATACTTTTGTTCATTCAGGTTTTCCAAAGTAATTTTCAAGGCAAGGAATATGTGTTAGTCCGCAAAAAATTTAAATGATAGTGTTCGCAAAGGTAGGGCGTTTGTGCTTTTCGCTGCGCGTGTCACTTGGCGGCGGGCGGAAAGCGGGGGCGGGCGGTGCGGCGGCCGACACTGCGGGCGTCGCGATCCGGCGTCCGGGCGCCGCGTTGCCATGGTAACGACACCGCGACACCACCCCGCCTCACCCCACCTCTCCACCCTTCACAAAACCACCCTTATAAACGAGGACACACGGCCTATTGCTCACTTATGTACCACCCCACACATAAGGGTCGGCATCGCACCCCACTATATAAGACGGTACGGTCAGGCGATGTAAATAACGCGAGATAACTTCGAGAGGGTCTAATGGAATAGGGAATCGTGTTTTGGAAAGTGGCCCGGAGAGAATGTTCTCGGTTGTTAGAGATTTTGAGTGAAAGTCGATATGGGGATTACTTCGGGAATTTGATTATTCTAACGTTCACTTGATAGCGGTTAATAGTAGGAATTTGAGTTGTAATTAAATTTCAACGGCTTTGATGTCACTTGGTCGTGTGGAGCTCTGATCGGCTTACTAGCTTTTGGAGTATTGGTACTCGTTTATTAATTAATCAACATAGGGTTTTATTCTAGACTTGCTATATTGTATTAATGTAGCAAGCAATTAAGCCTTCTGTACAAGAAGTCCTAGTCAAAGTCCTAGGCCTAGTCAAAAGTGCTGCAGTACCATATAAAAATAAATAATCTAGTGGCGCTGCAACTCTATATTCTCACTCAGGTCTTAGCTGCAGATTGCGTTCGTTTCTCTTTGATCATTTTTATCTTTAGTGATCAGTTTTTTGGGTTTTAAGGCATATCTACCAGTTTGCCTTCACCGTAGAGGCAAGTGTTAAATGCGCTCATAGAAAATAATAATAATAATTGTTTATTTTCTCCCATATAATTTTTTTAACAAATAGTACGATTACAATTAAGAAGGTATTGGGAGAATGGTTTCCAAGCTAGGTAAGAAGCTGTGATATGGATAACCAGGTCATTGGCGTTTTGTATGGGAGGAACAAAAAGTCGAATATTTTTAAATATAATATATTTTAATTAATCAAAGTATGAACCATTGTTTTCTATGCACTTTTGCCATCTCATAGGTAGTTCATTGATTCCTTTACTAAAAAAACCAGTCGGACGGGATCTGTGAAGGCGATTTGGACTGCCCCATCAGAGTTAAATTTTTTCCCTTGCAAGAAGTTGTCCAAATTTCGAAAAAAATGGTAATCTGTTGGAGCAAGGTCCGGGGAGTACGGAGGATGTCGTAGACATTCCAATTGAAGCTCTTCTAATTTGGTAGCCGTCTGTTGTGCAGTGTGTGGTCTAGCGTTGTCGTGAAGTAGCAGTGGCGTGGAGCGATTGACCAGCCTAGGTTGTTTAGCAGCTAGCTTTTCCATCATGGGTTGCAATTGCTGACAATAGACATCAGCCGTTATAGTCTGGCCAGATTTGAGAAAACTGCAATGAAAAATACCGGCGCTAGTCCACCAAACGCTTACAAGTAACTTTTTTGGGGTTAATTTTCGCTTGGGGCAGGATTTGGCTGGCTGGCCAGGATCCAACCATTGCGCTGAGCGCTTCCGATTATCGTAAAGAATCCATTTTTCATCACAGGTAATGATTCGATTTAAAATACCTTCATTATTGTGCCGGTTCAGTAATGTAACGCAGCAGTCGACGCGCGTTTGCCGGTTTGCTTCAGTCAATTCGTGAGGTACCCATCTTTCAAGCTTTTTGATCTTCCCAATTTGCTTCAAGTGAATTAAAACAGTTTTATCACTAACACCGCAGCCTGCAGCTAACTCGGACGTGGTTTGCGATGGATCCGCTTCCATAATAGCCTTCAATACTTCATTATCAACTTGGGTCTCAGGCCGTCCACGGGGCTTGTTCTGCAGGTCGAAATTTCCAGAACGAAAACGTTGGAACCAAAAACGAACTGTGTTTTCTTTTGCAACATGACCGCCATACACATCATTCACCCTTCGAGTCGTTTCCGCAGCACTAGTGCCACGGCGGAACTCGTACTCGTAAATAATGCGATACTTTAAGTTTTCCATTTTGTAAAATGAGTGACGCAAACAGAAAAAAACAGAAGAAAAAAAACTAATGAATGACGGTCATCGAAGCACAAATACATGAGTAAATAGCTGTACAAATTTGAATTTGGAATTCCTTACCAATGAGGAGAACATCGTGATTAAAGTGGCCAGTACGAAATACGCCAATTTCATATGTAAGGACCTAATATATGAGTAGGCCACAAAATTTAAAGTTTCTAAAAAAAGGGGGAAAAAAGCTAATCAACACAGTCAACTAGATTCCTACAGAAATAGAGTTGTATGGGTGTATCTGTCTGAGTGAGTGAAAACCAATCCATTGGTGCACAGCCGTGATTTAAATGTACGCCATCAGAGTTTGTAGATATCATGGTTTATTAAAGAAAACAATGTTAAGACCAAAATTTATTTATTTATTACGTAATACATAAATTATACACATTTATATTTTCTATACTTAAATTTAGATTGACACGTCCTTATTAGACGTTAAAATTGACTGTTGAGAAATATTTTCAGATCATTTAACCAACTCAAAGTATCGGACTGCTGTTTTATCGAAACCATTCGCCGTGGTTGTCTGAAAATAACAAAAAGGATCAGATGTATCTAGACTTGGAACTAATTATTGAAATCCGAAGATTTTGTATATACTATATACTTTTACTTATACATATACTTCGGTTCGATTACCGGCGAAAAAATTTAGTTTGCAGGATATTGTGAAACATAGCCGATACATTTTTGTGTTAAATTTTATTTAAAAATGACGCATTAATATATGTGCCCTATTTGTGACTTTCCGAACAATGACAAATAACAGTTTCCACGATAAATTACTTATAGCCATCAACCAATAGTCAGGTAAAATCCTTATAAAACTTGAAAAACATACCATAATCATTTTATCAGCAAAAAACTGCCGGATGTGATGAGCGGTTCTGCCGTTAGCTTCCGTTTGTGTGTGAATTAATTTATTCCCTTCGAATTCTATTGATGCTCTCACCTACCAAAGGTACATGTTATCGTGGTTAAATAAATTCAATTAAAGGGACATATTACGTATAAATACTCAATGCAAGCAATCTAACCCTATGTCATAGACTTGTGATAGTTCCATTTTACGAAAATGTCTACATTACGGATCAATATCAGTTACTTTATTTAAATTTCTTATTTGATTTATATATCAATCCATACACACTAATGACTAAGACAATACTAAATTGTAGAAAAGATATTAGAAGGTCCACTCAATCTAATCTTTGTAAGAATACTAAATGTAGTACATTTAAAGCCTAATAGAAAAAGTTATAATGTCGCCGGAACCCAGGATCGAATCCGGAACGTCGCGTTGAATAAACTAAGCAACAGCTACAAAGGCGATATAAAATTATAATTACAAACAAGATATACCTTGACTCCATCAGGTTTAACTTCATCAAACTCCTGCCCTGGAACGAACGACACGGTTGAGTTGACTAACTTTGATTTGAAGCTTAACGTGTATCTACCCTCATTGTCTTTTGTTAACAGCTGACGCGGCCGCAGAGATAACGCCGCCTTGCGCGCTATGTAACTTATACCTGTAATTTTAAAGGAATAACTAAGTCCTGCAAATCCTACGTGGGTTTCATTCCTGTGTTTCATTGATTTCAAAGGGTTGAACAGCGTTTTACTAAGCTACAGAAATATTAGAAATATATTTGGTGTATCAGTATGTGAATAATAATCCAGTGCTACAACCCTAAATGGGTCATGGCCTGTGATTGCACCCGTTTTCTCAACCATTTTTATTTTCAGCCACATGTCACCGATTTTTTAGTTTGAGACATGCCGGTTTCCTCACAATGTTTGCTTTTATCGTAGTACGTACCGTAATAGTATTAAACGCGCATAGAAAACCAATCCATTGGTCGGAGAGTCGCACGCTTAAGTCGCCTACAAAACTACAACACTACTTTGTTATGTCTTACACAAACATATGTAGCTACGTTATAAAGGCTTTAGTAACCAATTCAATATAATCAAGAGCCTTCACCGTAGGAGCAAGTGCTAATCGCGCTCAAATGAAAATTCCATTAGTGCACGGCCGTGATTTGAGCACGACCTTAGGGATAGGGGTCGCATGCTTAAGTCACAAGGCCAACACTCCTTTAGTTGTTTAATATCTTAATGTCTTATCCAAAACACAAAGAAATATTCAATTCAAACCAGTAGGTCCTGAGATAGACTTCAACTCTTCGGCTTTATAAGTATAGATTAGATTATTATCAATAGATATTTTTATCATTAGATAAATAAATAAAAAACTTAATTATACATATATAACATACCCAAAAAAATAAGGTAATCCTCAAAATTTTCACTATCCACTAACACATACTCTTGCTCCAAAAACTCATCCATTCTATAATACGTTAACCGTCTCTTTGTTTTCTTTATAACAACTATTAAAGGTTGACTCAAAATTTATCTTTGTTGATAAGAATTTTATCGTTAAAGGACAATGATTCCTAATCTATTTTATGTAAATATTTATTTTAAAGTAATCGGCGAGTGACTTGTTTGAATAAAAGGTGCAATCTCATTACTCAGCGAAAACAAAAAGGAAATTTTGTTAACACTACCAAATAAAAAAAGTAATATGTATGTACCCTTGGGACATATAAGTTTTTTTATATGATAGTTGCCACAGCCCATGGGTACCTAAGTGCTCATGGATACGTAAGTGGGTTGCTGGCCTTTGACAAAGGAGTATAACCTTTTTTAAGGATTTCGATTATGTAAATAATTAGACTATGGAATTATTTTCCAGTGTTTCTTCCTTCTATAAAATTATTATGAACACATTATGACTGAAATAAAATAAAAACATATATAGGCTGTTTTTTATGCTTAAATTCACAGTCGAGAGACACAACTATGACTTCCTTAGAGAACAGCCCGTACTTATAACAATCGGTGAAATTATTTTTAGTTTTTGAACTTTCAAACCCCTACTATTAGACTAGTATAATACAACAAAATAATAAATATATTAATTAACATAATAGGATTGAGAAACTGTGGCCAATTCATCTTATCAATTTTATCCTTATCTTTTCTTAAAAAACTGACAAAAGATTTTTAAAGTGAATATTAAAATATATATTTCGTATTATCCTATTTCTACTTATTTCCTATATACCTCTGTGTATAAATATGTTGGTCGTAACGAATTTATAATCCTAACATAGAAAAATGTAAAATGTAAAAATGTAAAATTATCGCACTTGATAGCGTTTACGAAAAAAATATCATGAGTTTTTTTTTGTAATTCCAGATCTAACGGATGAACCACAAATATGGAAGCTTGTCAACTAACGCAAGCATAGCCCTTTTAATTAAAACAATAAACGCTTGCATGTATTTGTGGTAGATAAACTACGGATTTTTAGAAAAGAAATGTATGGTTATCGTCGCACGAATAAAATATATTTCCCTACATCTAATCATTTCCAATAAGAATTTTCATTAAAAGAAAAAGAATTTTCATATATGTACAGCTCATATCACGTGATAATATTATTTGTGCACTTTACATGTGTGTTATTTTGGAGTTTTAAAACATTGTTTTTACTCATATATTTGTATTTTGTTTCAGACAACAAAACTATATATAGCACACATAATTCTGAAGCCAGTTCGAGTAGTAAAAGACAGGAACCTTTAAATGACAGCTCAGAAGGTGAATTTAAATAATTTAATTATTTTTTTACGTCATAACCAGTTTAACCGCCACGCCGAGAATCATATTACTTTTTTAATCGACTAAACCCGAAGAAGGTAATTTTCAAGTCGACATTGCGCGTATACCTATTTATAGATTCGTTTAGCCGTTGAAGCAAAAAAATGTTTAACCCACTTTCGCATTTATTAGATTCTTTAGAAATCATTAGTAGATAATATCGTATTGAGATACGTTATAAATTCACCTTATTCGAAGTATAAAATGTGCATTTAAAAACCATGCGTATTCTGTAAAATTATACGTTGAAGTGAATCATAAAGCCGTACTCATGTGTCGTTTAAACATACATATATAGCGCAGCTCAAGAGCGCACTTAGCTTAGTTAGGCCTAGATGAAGAAAATAAATACTTAAAAAAATGCTTGAAATGTCACGGTGGATGCATTTCAATTGCAGCTAGGGTGGTGCAATACTTTCATTAGGGTGAGCGCCTGCGACGACCTAATCCGCGTAATGGCGTCATTGTCATCGCACGGCGCCATTTTGAATTGCACTCGTTCGGTTCGTAGTGCATTAATGAATTGCTGATGCAATCTATGCATCTTAAAATATTACTAGCTGTTGAATACTGCTGCCGTATGTATAAACTTTGTTATAAGTAAAGGACAAATAATTTTAAACAATAACATTCTGATGTATCATATATAAATGTTAAAAAGTAACTGGGAACTTTAGTTGCGTTATGCGTATTATTTTCAAATTATGGCTTTTATTATAATAAAATTTAATTAAGAAAACAATTAACGTTACAATGTTTAAAGTAACGTTCAAATGGGATAGCTATGTATCACTGTAAATCCTTTTCTACTATACATTTAAATGTTCTGTTATGAGGAGGTGATTCTGTATTTTAGATGAAATAAATTATTAAAGTATTTTATGTTAGTACCTATACGTTTCGTTAAAGTATAGAAATACCGTTGACAGACCGTTACCAGGAAATGCAATATTTAAGTCATAAACTAAATTTAAAATGGAATAAAATAACTTCATAAAATATTGTTGGGTTCGTCAAGATTGTAGGACTGTCTTAAGTTTTCATTTCTAACATTTCAGGTGATAACGGTTTAGTGACAGTTCACAAGAAACCTCGTCTTGGTAGCAGCAGCAACGATATGTTACCGCATTTACCTTCAACGCCCGAAAAGAAAATACAAGTGAAGGAGCCGAGCACACCAGAAGATGTGAGGTAGGCATTAGACACCTATTATGCATGTTTTTAAAACTAAGACAATATTTTGTTCCCCTAAGCTTATTTAACACGTTGTACAGGATGGATCCATTTTAATTGTACATACGTATTTCACGATATAAACATCGTGGGTTAAGCATCGTTTATAAGTAAAAATATGGCCAATATGGATTTTAGCGTTCTTATTAGAATGTTATAGAAATTTTTGTTATAACCTCGTAAATATATCTTCTAGCTTTATATCGTCGTCAGCGTGATCTGTCCTTGACCTTTTTGACATTTGGCATTGCGTAGGTACCCATTGATCCTTTAAATAGGAATTTAGATAATTGTTTTTGTTTATTTATTAAATTAAACTTTATATTTGTTTTGTTATGAAAGTCACAAAATAAATTTGATAATTGTATTATTGTGAAGTTACTTTTTAAGGTGTATTAATTGATGTCAAAGTTTGTAATGGTTATACTAAACAGCAACGTAAAAATAAACGTTAAATTTTCAATAACTATGAATTTTTTTAATTAATTTCTGTATACATATAGGTATTTGTTTATTAATTGTTAGTTTTTATTAACAAGGATCATCCTGTGACTGCATTTAGCATATTCAGTTTGAGGTCCCGAGGCAGTGATTTGCATTTTGAATATTGTATAAAATGCATGAAGGTTTATGTTTTGTTTCTAAACTTTGCATGTTTTGTTAGTTTTAGAACGAAAAGTTACTTGTTTTTGCATGGCGGACTTTAACAAATAGTATGTAATTTTGGCTGTACATTGGCGCTTTTTGTTCTTTTTGAGTAGTAGGTAAACAAATTTGCTTAGTTGACAACTTTATGGAGTTAGTAAACAACAATGATACATTACGCCCTATGTACCTGTAATAATGTCAACGTTATAGTGTAAGAATTCCTTGAATGCTCGCTCGTTGTTTGGGCCCTGATCTTGATATTGATTTATTTACGATACTTAATAGTTTAACACGTAATATCTCCTTAATTTCTACTGTTGAAGTAGTATTCTATTTTTAAATTTGATACTTTGATATTTTTACTTATACCGTAATTAGTGTATGTAGTTTATAACTAATTATATATATCTGTGTGTACTGTATATGTGTATGCATGAATTTGGTGACGGCTTACAGAAAGCTGTACGCTCTAGTTGACAATCTGCGCGTACGCACTTCGATGATCGTTGCTTGCAGAGTGCCGACTATTTACTACGGTGCGAGGACCCATAAGCAGATAGAGCAAGTGGTGAAGGAATTCGCGAGAACTGTGTACAGTGGTGAGGCGGCGATGACCGTTCTATCTAGTAGAGAATACAGCTGTATACGGGAGTTTGATAGGCACCAATGGTCGTCGAAGAATGACATGTGTCGGGGATGTGTAAAGGTGAGATATGATTTTGCTGTAAAAAGTTCTTTAGTTTGAAATATATATAGTATTTTTTGCCTAGGCTTTCCTAGCGCTTAGGTATCAAAAATATAGGAAATGATTTGTTTTACATTTAATTGATTTCCATAACAGTTTTTTTATATGAAAAAGTTTTTTACCGTAAAAGTAGTATTAGTAGTCAGTTTAACTACCTCCGTAACGTCGCGTTTAATCTAGAAACGGTAAAAAAAGACGAAAATTTACTATATAATTTATTTATCCTTAAATAATTAAACCTTGAAATTTTCAGACATTTGAGAGTAATAAAAAGGACTCTAGCAATTGCCTCTACCACAACAATAGGAAACTTCTAAATCATAGGACTCTTCCAGCTGTTTTTGATTTAGAAGACCTAGTTAATGCTGGAAAGGAGAAACAGGCCTGTCCCTACTATGCTGCGAGGGAAATGGCTACAGCGGCGAATATAATCTTCTGTCCATACAATTATCTAATAGAACCTAGTATTAGAAGCAGTGTGAGTATTATTATTACCCAATTTAAAAGGGCATTATAGATACATATTGAGCCTAGTAGACTAAAATTGGGACGGCTGATTGCGACGAGTATCTCGTTCGTATTAAGTTTCTCAAATAAATAAAATAATTTTTTTTTGTAATAAGAAATAAAGTTCTTTAAACATTATTAACACCATGGAATACAGTAATGTGGTTAGAGCGGCCTTTGCAATGTAAATTCTATAGAGTATAATTTGTTAATCACATCTTATACACCTCGATATGACACAGATGAGAATGCAACCTTATCCTTGTTATGTCGAGATAGTTATTGGTTGAGAAATTATTAAAAATTTTGAAAAATTACATTTTATAAAATTATTATAAATTAGGATTGAACTTAATACAAAAGACCAATGTGTAAATCAGAAGAAGTCTGACAGCGGTACATAATATTAAACTTGTAAAATTATATAAACAAAGCGAAATAAATAAGTTGAAACTCCTTGCTGTTAAATGAGTATCACCTACATTGTAATCAACCAATATAATCTGTAAGCTATTACATTTTTATTCGATAGTCTACAGTAGTAGTAGTAGTAGACAGACTAAAAAGTTAAAGTTAAAACGTTCGTAATTCAAACTTAAAAAGCAGGATCATGGCAATATAATTTTTTTATGCAGATGCAAATAGACGTAAGTGACAACATAGTGATTATCGACGAGGGTCATAACATAGAAGACGTGTGTCGTGATGCGGCTACGATTACCATAACTCGTACTAATATCACAGCTGCCATTACTGTAAGTATTTTAGGCCACACCGCACAACACACACATGTTGAAATTATTGTGAAGTGTCAATTTATATATTGTTTTTAATTCCAGCATCACATACTTAGATAAAATAAAATCTGCGATATTGGTTTCAGGAACTACAAAAAGTATCACAATACAGATACGAAAATCAGGACTCAATGGGATATATTGAACATCTGTTGAAGGTGCTCAGTAATTGGGACCAATGGTAAGTTCCTAAACAATTGCTGATTGTCTATTTTATCTGTTTCGTTTCATAGGTTTTCTCAAACAGTCACTTCATATTAGTGATAACATCCTAAAATAGTTGCTTACACATCGTCAGGGGTACTAGTTTAATTTTAGTAGACGCATAAAGATTAGGTACACACCAGAAAAACTACAATATCAAATTAACAATTTTAAAACTATGGTAACTTATAAACAAGGAAATCAGTAGCTTGGTTTAAAATTACATAATATTTTATTTTTATTTGATAACAAGTAGGTGACTTGCCTTGTGCCAGACACGCTACATACAAATATATTTGTACGGGCCTCGAACCCACGGCCTAAGGTTATGCATCTCACATGCCTAAAAATTAAGGTAATACTGCTCTACCTCTTACGTGATTACTAAGAATAAAACATTGTCAGCTTAAAAAACACGGACTCCCAGAAACTTACAAAAAGGCTTTGACTAGTACCTGTCTTACAATTAATTTCGTTTCATTGATTAGAAAATACATAAAGAATATCGAGAAAATAGTATTATTGTTTTAGTGTATTTTGAAAATGTTACATAATTAATTTACACAGATAAATAGGTAATTATAATTTCTTAACTCTAGGTTTGTGAATCAGATGCCATTAATCAACAATCGCCCAGTTAACAACGACAAAGCTGAATACACGTGGGTGGTGGAACACTTTCTAAATACGTTGGAAAATCATACTATTGGCCTCGGACACTATTCTGGTATGTCTATAATTTGTCGTAGTGTCCAAAACTGAGCGTTTTTAAAGTAGTTTTTGCTGCTTGCACACATTTTCTATGCTTGAAAACGAAATGCATTTTCGAGCATTCCTACAAAAAATTCGTTATACTTGAACCGCCCCTCATATGAAATTTTATTATTAATGTTAAATGAAATAAATTCTACTATTTCTGTATTGTCTTAATTTGGACGAAGCAAGTTTTAAAATTGATATAAAAAAATTTATTTCATCAATTTCGGTTTCAGAATTTCGTGATCACGCCGAAATGTTTTGTCGGCGGCTCCGTGAGGACCCTCGTACGTTGATGGGCGTGTCGCAATCTACGGGCACGCTCGTGGAGAACATCAATACATTGCTGGGTAATACATTTTTTTATTGACCGTTTATAAATTAAATTATGTTGTTTAATTGCATCGCATTTTACTAAAGTATTATTTATGTCTAATTGTATTGTGAAAAGGGGAGAAAAAGTACCTACTAAACCATTTTAGTTAAAACTGTTTGGTCTATAATTTAATTCTCAATAACAAATATATATAAGAAAATTAAAATGTCACTTATTTTCTAAAGGGTATTTATTTCGTGACGGTGGTCGTCACATCGATGACTTCGTGCCCACACTTGAGCGAACCGAGATACCAGATATATCACGGAGAAATTTCAGAAATAATCATGTATGTATACAGTATATTATATAAATAAGCATAATTCTTATTTAAGTCCCGATTTTCTTTTGGTTCTACCGCTTACACTTCTTTTTTGCTTTGTTATTGCTTTAATATTATAAATAAATAAGCTAAGAGTAAAAAACACCAAAAGGGAGTTATGTCCTCATAACAAGGTCACTACATAAGGACCACCTTTGTTACTTAGAATAATTAGGTAATAAGATTACTGTACACATGACTTCCTGGTATTTGTCAGGAAGCCATTACGATTAAGATATAACCCTTTGTTCATTTAAGTAGATAAGTCTTGATGTAAGTTTGAATAATAAATAAAGACCAGTCTTGCTTTGCTCTTCAAGCCGAGAACACATACCACTTGTTTTTAAAAACCCTTTCGCCTTCGCTCACTACCTAACTGGCGCAGTCGGTACGTCGTGATCTAAACGGTTGAAAGCTTTAAAACATACCCTTTAAAGCAAGTATCCGCGACGCGAAAAAAGAACCTACAGTGAGTGAATAACCTGACGAAGAGCAGCAGCACCAACAGCAGCAGCAAAAGCAGTTTGAAGAACAGGCAGACTCAAGCCTCAAAATTGGCAATGCTCGTGGGGTAAGCATATACTCTGTTTATTCCCGAGATCCTTTTATTATTTTCCTATCACATCCAAAGCATCTTAAGGTGTGTCTAGTGTGAAGGTTTATTGTGTTATATAAGTAACATACCTTATTGCTGATTCGTTATAGTAACATATTTCAATCCGCGAGATTACAATGGCTCAAGGAAAGAGTATGGTCGATGACAAATCCCTTATATATGAAGAAAAGAAAATGGAGACCGAGTACTCTGCTTTCGCGAAACTCCTGCCCACATACGATGGGAACAGGAGAACATTAGCATTTTATATAGAAAACGTAGAAAACGCATTATCACTCATTCATAATGCCGATGACTTAAGCATTTCTTGTTTAATTAGAAATAAATTAAAAGGTAAAGCTGCTGAAGCACTTTCTGAAAAACCAGGCACAACATCCTGGGTAGAAGTCAAACAAGTACTTTTAAGAAAATTTGGTGAATTTAGAACGACAACTCAGCTTGTACACGCATTAACGCATGTCACAAGAGATAACAGCTCATTAGAAGCTTTTGGTGATAGAATTAGGGTACTAATGAGCGCACTAATCACAGCAGAGCCAGATAAACAAACCCACTATGAACAAATTGCATTAGAGACGTTCCTTAACAGTTTAAACCCTATAACGTCCCTATCAATAAAAATTAAACACGTAGAGAACTTAGATCAGGCCGTCATATTAGCCAAACAGGAGGAAGTAGACCTCAGAGCTAGACGACTTCAATTTAATAAAACTAATCCCGTTAAAACAACGTCCAAAAATAAATTCAATAATAAACCAGGAATATAATAAACCAATAACTTTTACAAAAAACGATAAAGATAGCTTTAATAAAAATAAAACGACAACGTTTAACCCCGAACAAAATAAAAAGAAAATTCATTTTCAAAGCGAAATAGAGGAGGAAAACGATGATGATGAGGAACAAGAATCGGATAATAACGACAGCGATTCAGAGGATAGCGACGAAAATTTTCAGCTAGACCTACTAAAACAACTAACAATATAGTATTCATGAACAATATAAAAAGTTATAGCAAACTTCCTTATATCTACATAAGCGAACTAGGTGGCAGGTTTTTACTAGATACAGGTGCGTCACAATCGTTAATTAATCCAAAAGTCTTTCATAACAACCCAGATTTTGACTATAAAATAAAAAAAGAAACTCATTTCATTAAAACAGCGCACGCTACATCAAAACACAACCAAATAGTATTTATCACCCTACCAGAAAGATTATTCAGACAAAAGATAACACATAAGTTTCTTATTTTTAATTTTGACTCGGATTTTGTTGGATTACTAGGATTAGACTTTCTAGCCCCATTAAACTGTAAAATAGACATAAAAAACATGACACTGCACACAGACACCACTAAAATACCTATTAGGGACGATATAAAAGCATACAGCAAAATAGAACCCAAATGCGAACAAGTCGTAAACTTGCTATGCAATTATAAAGAAGGTGAATACTACTCAAAAGGAAAAACCATGAAAAGTGGGCTAATTTTTCCACCGGCGTTAGTAACAGTCAAAAACGGAAACGCCATAACAACAGTAATTAACACTTCAGAAAATAAAATTATCCTTAAAAACAGTCATCATGTAAACCTGCAGCGCCTTACTTCAGACAAAAAGTGTATAAACCATAAATACAAACAAAACGATGAAAACTTAGATAAACTATTAAAACAAAATCTAGAAAGACTCAGAACGACCCACATGAATCAGGAAGAATACCGCGAAATTAAAAAACTTTGCTATAATTATAGAGACATATTTCACTGTGAGGAAATCCCATTAACATTCACACATGAAATAAAACATCAATTAAGATTATCTGATAATAAACCAATCTATGTACGAAATTATAGACAGGCACCAAAACAAAAAGAGGAAATAAAAACACAAATAAACAAACTCCTCGAACAAAACATAATACAAGAAAGTAATTCCCCATGGTCTTGCCCGGTACATATCGTACCCAAGAAACCAGACGCAACAGGAGAACAAAAGTACAGACTTGTAATAGACTACAGAAAATTAAACGACAAAACTATAAAAGATAAATACCCATTACCAAACATAGATGACATATTAGATAAGTTAGGACGAGCTCAGTATTTCACTACTCTAGACTTAGCGTCTGGTTACCATCAAGTAGAAATGCATCCGGAGGACATTGAAAAAACCGCATTCACAATCGATCGAGGACATTATGAATTCCTGAGAATGCCGTTTGTTCTAAAAAATGCCCCTAGCACTTTTCAAAGATTAATGGACTCGGTACTAAGAGGCATAGACAACGTACTAACGTACCTTGATGACGTAATTATTTACTCGACGTCCTTACAGGAACACCTAAATAAATGCAAACAGGTATTTGAAAGATTCAGATCCCATAACTTAAAGATTCAATTAAATAAGTCAGAATTTCTACAAAAGCAAGTGAAATTCTTAGGACACACGTTAACAAACAAGGGCCTTATGCCGAACGAAGATAAAATAGCGGCAGTAAAAAAATTTCCAATACCAAAAACACAGAAAGAAATAAAATCATTTCTAGGACTAGTAGGCTACTACAGAAAGTTTATACAAGACTTTGCAAAATTAACCAAACCACTAACCAAATGTTTAAAAAAAGGTAGTAAAATCAACTTAACGCCCGAATACACACAAGCATTCGAAAAATGCAAGGAGGTGTTAATTAACGCACCAATATTACAATATCCGGACTTCGACAAACCTTTTATACTCACCACAGATGCATCAGACGTAGCAATAGGCGCAGTACTATCACAAGGAACAATAGGAACAGATAAACCAGTAGCTTACGCCTCTCGAACATTATCAGACACAGAACAAAAATACTCTACAATAGAAAAAGAACTTCTAAGTATAGTCTGGGCAATAAAATACTTTCGCCCTTACCTATATGGTAAAAAGTTCACCATATACACAGACCATCGCCCGCTAACATGGATAATGTCCATAAAAGACCCCAACTCAAAGCTCACACGCTGGCGCCTAAGACTAGCAGAATATAACTATGACGTACAATATAAAAAAGGCAAAGCCAACACAAACGCGGACGCCCTATCAAGAGTACAAATAATTCACCATAACCAATTAGATAATAACCCACAACCAAGTACTTCAGCGGAAGACATAGACTTGGAAAACATAGACATTAGAACACTATTAGATATACCAATCACGCCCGATAACACAAGTCAACCACAGGAAACGGAAACACAATGTGACATTATAATACCGCATCAAGAACAAATACAACCCTCGCAATCGAAAACTAATAAAACAAGCACTGATAACATACCAAAAATAGACGACGCAATTGATAGACAATTAAAACAGTTTCACATCAGAAAAACACCGGGAGATACATATAGAATAGACGATAGATCAAAAGGAAAAATAGTAATTAAAGATGTATGGATCCCAATAAACAATACAAGAGAGCAAATCATACAATTCCTAAAAGAACACACAATACCAGATAGAATTTTCCACTGTTATTTCCATCACGAGGAATACTTTCCAATATTTTGTGAAGCATACAAAACTATATTTAATAATCGCGGACCGAAATTAATAAGATGCATGAATAGAGTCACTTTAATCGAGAACATTCCCGAGCAAATAGAATTGATCAGAAAATATCACGAAGGTAAGACGATACACAGAGGAATTCAAGAAACATACAAACATATTCATAGAAACTATCACTGGCCTAATATGCTAACTTCAATTCAAAAATTTATTAATAAATGTGACAGCTGTTTAAAAAGCAAGTACGAACGTAACCCATTAAAACTTCCCCTATCTCTAACAGACACACCGCATAAACCAATGGAACATATGTTTATGGACTTGTACAGTAGTGGAGGTACAACATTTTTAACTATCATAGATAACTTCACAAAATACGCCCAAGCAATACCTCTAACCGCTTCAACCAGCATTCACATAGCTGAGGCCCTATTGAGTCTATTCTCAGTAATAGGAGTACCCAAAAAGATTACAACAGATTCCGATTCAAAATTTGACAATGAAATAATAACAGACATATGTGCAATACACAATATACATATACATTTTACCACACCTTACAACCCCAATTCTAATTCACCTATAGAAAGATTACACTCCACACTAGCAGAAATCATTAGAATACAACGTTTAACAGACAAAGACGAATCTACCAACTTAATGAAATACGCGATAATAGCCTATAACAACACGATTTATTCAGCCACAGGGTTTACGCCCTTTGAACTACTATACGGACACACAGACAGTAGAAATCCATTAGAACTTCACTGCCCCAAAGAATTCTACCAAGAATATGTCACTAAACATAAACAAATCATGGAAAATACACAACAATTAATAAACAACAAGTTATTAACCGAAAAACAACAAGTAATAGAAAAAATCAACAAAAATAAAGAAACAGCACAATTTAAAGTAGGCGACATAGTATATAAACAAGTAGCGAAAACGGCTAGAAATAACAAGCTCGAACCAAAGTACTTAGGACCCTATACGATTGTACGAATACACCCAGAGCAAATCGCGGAAATCATAGGAAAACACGTAAACGCTAAAACAATTAGAGTCCACTTCCGCTTATTAAGGCGCCCGGAAAATGTTTCAGGAACGCCATCGCCTGCCTCGCAGCACTCCAGCTCGCCACAACAACAGCAACCATACAGCCAATAGATAACCATAATGGTATTCTGGTATTAACAGAAGCAAAAGCTCAATATCAGATCGACACCTATCACTTAGCAGTCATTTATAATACAACAAAAATCAGAGATATATACCTAGAGATATGTAGCAATTATTATACGCTAAAATTGAAACAAAATAGTTCAGTAGACCTAAACAATATTTTTAAACAAATAGATTACCTTATAGACAACATAGAAAATAAGTTACTTTATTTAGGATTTAATACCTTAGGTTTCAAGTCAAGTTACCGCCAAAAACGTGGCTTAATAAACGGCTTAGGTTCAGTTATAAAATCTATCACAGGAAACCTCGACCAAGAAGATGCTATCAAACTCGATAACGAAATAAGACTAATAAAATCGTCAATAAATAACAATAAAGTAAATCAGCGCAAGAGCATAAATATAATGCAAAATTTCATGAAAGATTACGAAAATAATCTAAACATAATTAAAAGTAATCAAAAGAAAATCTACAGGTCAATAGATAGATACTCTGCACAAAGGACGGAATTTGAAACCAATTTCTTAACAGTAACTATATTTAATCAAATTGAAAGCTCACTTCAGCAACTTTACGATAGACTAGAAACCCTAGAAAATGCCATAACATTCTCGCACTTAGAAAAAATGCACCCCAGTATAATCGATGTTTCGTATTTAATCGAAGAACTCAATCAAATACAAAACGAAATTAATGGTAATTTAGCGTTCGCCCCAAATATTAACAATATTCATTTGTGGGAAAAAGCCATCAAAGTAAAAGCCTATAGCACTAACGAAACACTAAACTTTATTCTGGACATACCTATAGTGGCGGAACAGTCATATAACCTCCTACATCTATATTCTATTCCTAATAATAACAACACTATCCTCATACCCAAAAATCCTTACCTTATCTTGGGAAATAACGAGTTTGCATACCCCCACGAACCCTGTAGCAGTATAACAGAAAACGAAGTAATCTGCAAGCATCTTGAATGGGAAACCTTATTACACTCCAACGATTGCATAGCTCAACTAATACAACATCAGGAGCCGCATAACTGCACTTATGCAACAGCAAGTTACGAAAATAACATCATTCAACAAATTAAAGATAACAGCTGGATAGTAATCATGAAACAAGAAGAAGTTATAAAAACCATCTGCAACAAGGATGTTCAATACCAACGAAATAAAGGTGTTTTTCTAATAACAACCGACAGTAACTGCAAAATTCAAATTCAAGACAGAATCTTAGCAACTCATCAGAGATACATCAACCTTAGAGAAACCATACCATTACCCCGAGCATACCAAACACCATACGTGGCACCAATTAAATTAAAATTAGACAACATAAAGCTAGACAACCTAAAGGATGCTATAAAAAATTCGGAAGAAATCAACATCCCGGAAGAAGACATAATAACCATACCTACAATACCTAGCTGGCCATCTATAACGATGTACGCCCTAGTATTCCTCACTGGAATTGGAATAGCAGTTTACAAGTTCTGGTGGAAACCTAGATCGGCGAAAATCACGGCTCAACACCAACCTGAACCTGAAGAAGTCCAGCTTCGGTCGCAGCCTTCATTACGCCTCCATCTTAAGGGGGGGAGGAGTTATGTCCTCATAACAAGGTCACTACATAAGGACCACCTTTGTTACTTAGAATAATTAGGTAATAAGATTACTGTACACATGACTTCCTGGTATTTGTCAGGAAGCCATTACGATTAAGATATAACCCTTTGTTCATTTAAGTAGATAAGTCTTGATGTAAGTTTGAATAATAAATAAAGACCAGTCTTGCTTTGCTCTTCAAGCCGAGAACACATACCACTTGTTTTTAAAAACCCTTTCGCCTTCGCTCACTACCTAACTAGGGCTACATCACAATAAAAAATTCTTTAAATTCCTTACTGAAGAATTAAGAGAAAAACAAAATATAATCAATACAACAACGAAACCATTATATAATACATATAATTTATATACCTTATACATATATAACATCTTACTATCTTAAATTAATGAAGTCAAGCATTCACTTGGCACAGAACTTAAAGAACTGGCTAAGAGTGGAACTTAAAAACTAGCTATACTCTTCCAACAGATAGATAAAGAAGAACTCTGCCTTCGTCTTATCTGTATGAACCCTGCGGTGGTGTTCGAAGCCCTGAAGCCAGCAAGGTCCATCATCATAGCCTCAGGAACGCTGGCTCCTTTAATTAGTATGCATTCGGAACTGGGCACGAAGTTCCCTTTAGAAGCTAATCCCAGGCATATCATATCTAGCGATCGGGTGAGTTTTGTTGCTAAATATCTATTGGCCTTCAGGACCTTTAATACAATATGGTTATAAGTCATAAAATTATAAAGAATAAGAAATATATATGTTAACGTTTTGAGGGTCAAGTATGGTCATCGGAAAAAAGTTAAAGAAACTTTTTAATAGAAGTCTATTTAATTGCTGCCATATTAACACCGTGTATGGTGATGATTTGATTAAAATCATATCAAAAATATTTGGATTTATTTTTGTTTGTGTAAATATTACGCCCTTTTTTACGCGTGAAATTCGCCCTAAGAAACTTTTGTCACACTATATATGGATAAGTTTCAGAGTCAAGACTAAGCCTTAAGTATGACTCCGGTATGTCAAAACCAATACGGATCCAAAATTTAAAAATACATGTTATTACTAACATAATAAAAAAAAATTAAAAAAATTATTTATTTTATTTTATTACTAACAGGTGTGGATAGGTAGTTTATCTACTTGCCCGGATGGATCACCGTTACAGTGCATTTACAGTGAGTTGCAACAAGTACACATACAAGACGCGCTCGGCAAAATCGTGGTACATGTGTGTAGCATCACCCCCTCCGGAGTCCTATGCTTCCTGCCGTCTTATTGGGTTATGAACAAACTAATCACACGGTAGGTTTTTATTTAACTGCCGAGTTTAAATCACTTCAATCTTTAATAAATATTGCATTTGACATTGGATTGTATTGTTTTTTGGGTTTTGCGTCGCATATATAGTCTACATCTTTGAAAAATATAACTTCTTTTGCCTCTCAAATAGTAGCTCTACCATGTTTGACAAAGTTAAAATCGCTAGCGTACAAAACGTCCGGGAAAATATTTAATTGAATTTTTTTAGTAATAATAAAAACCTGAGGGGTTTAACCTTAAGAGCCACACCACAATACATAACTTTTTTAATTACATGAAAATATTTAATAAATAAAAATAAAACAAATTTAGTAAACAGAAAGTTAATAAATAAGTCATGTAAACTCATATACGTATAACATCTAAATAATGTGTATTTGTTAAGTTTAATTATTGCGTAAGTTCGTAAAACAAATATTTGTGTAACGTTACATTTAGAATATAACGCTCAAGTTGATTTGATAGATTTCATCTTCAAATCGGAACTCCGCATATGAAACGAGGATTTTGTTTGAACGTGTGTTTTTATATTTCAGATGGCAAGATACCGGCATTTGGAATAAGTTGGAATCCATAAAAAATGTGTTTCAGGAGGGCCGGAATGTTCGAGATCATAACGACATTATGGAGGTTGGTTTCATTATGAATTATTCTACTTCGTAGGTTCACGCAAATATAAAAGCCTTCTGCTACCGTTCGGCTACTGTATTAGCTTACATTGCATTCCTTTAAAAAACTATATAGTATTTAGAAATGAATATATGTAGTAACAAAATAAAAAATACAGTCAAAATCTGTTATAACGACATCGAAGGGACTATTTGGTCGTAAAAACCGATAGTCGTAACAGTCGATAACGTTGTTATTAGGTACCTAATACAATAGAATTCAGCCGGAACCTTGGATTTTGGTCAATAGAACCGGTATGTTGTTCTAAAGTCTAAACGATGTCGTCGTAAACGGTTTTGACTTTAAGTATAATTTTTGAATATTTTTTACGAACAGGTACATTAAGTATTTTTATGACTTCGGTATCCCGATATGTAATATCGCCTTTGTGGTCCAAGTCAAGACCAACTTAGCTATGAGGTCCGTACTACTGCTATTTAATTCTGGCTCGAAATGTCAAGACAGGATTCGGCGATTTCTTGGTTCACAGTAATTTTTATATTATTCTGTAAAGTTATAGATCGTTTAACATCTATTATTCCTAGCGTAAAATTTACATTTTACGCGTATTGATCACATATATACCATGAGGAGTTTTGATTGAAGTTTCAGTTTTAAAACAATTATTACAAAAAAAAACTTGAGTACTTGTAAGTATGCAGTAATCTAACGCCTTATGTCAGTTTGGTTTGTCAAAATAGTAATGTTTTTCTTAAAATAACCCTTAATAGCCCTAAGTTAGGTAATAGGGTCCCGGTCTCTAAATAGGGTATTTAATATTTATTATAATTAAATCTTCAGGATTATTATGAATGTGCAGCATCTTCGCGTGGCGCGTTGCTATTTGCAGTGTATCGAGGTAAAGTCTCCGAGGGTATGGACTTCAAAGATCATCAAGCGAGAGCTGTCATTGCTGTAAGATTCGAAGATCACTAATATGTTTTTCCTAACTTCACCTTTATCGTAATGTTTTGATTTTTAATAGTATTGGCCTATTTATTTATAATTAACTAAGAAACTATTGGCTCTGACGGAGTTTTTTTTATATTTTACAAATGATTTTACGAAATTTTAATGTTTCAAATGTTGTTTTAGTTTGAACAAACGTTCAAAATAGATAAAGAATATAAAAATATTTTTTCAGATTGGTATACCCTACCCAAACACTTTTGAAACGGCTGTGAAAGAAAAGATGAAATATAATGATAAATACCAGAAAGAAAGAAATCTTCTTAAAGGTCGCGAGTGGCTGCAAGTGCAGGCCTTTAGGTGAGGTATTTGAGGAATTTATTTCCGCGTCTCAATTTATAAATTCAAACCTGGCTTCGGCTTCTCAACAAATATTTACTTCTCTTTCTTGAATCCACGTCGAATTGATATATTAAAATGTTCTTTAAAACCAATTAAAATTAACTTTATCGGGACACCTGATTATAATACAATTACGGTTTTAAAAATACTGAATATCGCTCAAGAAAGGTATTAGATTTTTCCTGCAAATTTTGTTAAAACAAGGAACGAAGAATGACTGAGAAGAGTTTTTTTTCTTGACCAATGTTTAATTCCAGGCCCCTGAACCAGGCGGTAGGCAGATGCGTCAGACACCGTATGGACTGGGGAGCAGTTTTACTCGTCGATGGAAGGTTCCGGAACCCTCAGTACTCAGATCAACTGTCAAAGTGGGTGCGCGAATATGTGAGTATTTTAATATTTGATTTATAAAGATGTTTTTTACGAGTAGGTTCAAGTGCTTGTCATCCTTTACAAATATTTGTCGTTTGAGCTATACTCTGATTTTTAATTCCGTAGAATTGTGACAGCTATCATTTTTTTGACATGTCAGAGATTACAAACTTTTTTCGCCGGACACATTTTTCAATTTCAATACGAGTCTGAACATGACTCTATACATACATTTTATTTGTTAGTGAATGTATCCATTTTATTAAGTGCGGTGCTCCAAATTAAAAGTGGTTTTACGGCGACTCATAATTACGTCCCTTTTCATAACAAACAGTAAAAAACGCACAAGTAAAGATAACATTTTTTTTTTTTGGAAGGTTCACTAACCCTGGAATTATTAGGCAGTGATGCCAGCTAAAGAATAAAATAAAGTAATTAAAGTTAATTCGATATATTGTTCGTGATATTGAAATATTTGTTATTTTAGTATTAGGTCACTTGAGTAAGTAAATATTAAGATTTACCTTTTTGTAGGTAAAACAGAATAAATTCGTAGCATTTTTTATTATTACCTCAACTGGGTTAAATTTGGCCCTTTTTCGGTGGAGAACTTTTTTTAGTAGCAACACTTATGGAATGTCAGAATTCTATGGAATAAAAAATTAGAGTACCTATAGGATAAAATAATATGCTAATTGGTTTTGTATGAATTTAGACATTTGCAGAACACGCATCCGTTTTTGATCGGCAGACATCTGTATATAAAAACGTATTGGATGTTCACATACAGACTATTTAAGTGTCGACTATGAATCTACTTCCTCCTAAAATACTATGAATCTATCCTACTGCCGCTGAAATGGCCGTGATTTTATACGAATATTTTTTTTAATGTGAATACATAGGTATTCAATTATTACGGTTTCGCAAGAATAAGTTTTATAGGTCGGTTATCGAAAGCTGGCGGGTTCACAGTACTCACACTAATGCAATTTCACATACAGTATGTTTCAAAATATGATTTTTTTGCCAAGCTATATATTTTAGTCCACTCTGGTTTTAGTAAGGTTGGGTGGGTTGTAAATAAATAAAAATGTGTCAAATACATATAAATATTAGGTGCATACGAGGGTGGATCCAAAAGTTCTAAGCCAGACCAAGAACGTGAAAGAGTAGTTCGTGTAAATAATTTTTCATTTTTCGACATACGCTCCATCTAGCCATGACTTTGTTGGTCGACAAAACGACCTTAGCCGTTTTCGGAGTAGGTGATCCAGATATTTTCCATTGTTTGGACTGTTGCTTTGATTCAGGAGTATGGTGGTGAACCCAGCTTTCAACAAATCAAAAAAAAAATCAAATCAGCTTTCAGCTTTCTGCATCTGATGTCAAATTAAATATAACATTTTTTTCATTAAACTGTTTTTATTAAGATGCTTAAAATAATTAAAAACATTGTGCACCATTTCACGAGATTGCCTTGGTAATGTTTGAAAAAAGATCAACATGTATAGTAAAGATCAACATAAATAGTAGCAAAAGCAAAACAATAACTGTCTCTTTTATACTCATAAGCTTGACCGAGCGCGAGAGAGACGGACAGTCTTTTCATGATGTATTTGTGATTGACAATCACTGATTGTATTTCAGTTTGACATCACGTCTCGCGCTTATTCACAGACACTACACAAGCACAAAGTGTAAATGTGTTGAAGCCGCCAGCTTTAAATAACATACCTATATCAATATTTATGAAATCTTTTTAATATTTTATTATTTTAAGCTAAACAAAAACCACCACACCTTCGAGAGCCTGTTGAGCAGCGCCAATAGTTTAGAGTCGTTCATGCAACATATGAAGATACAAGAAACCGAAGATACGTGATTAATTTTAATTAAATTTTGTAATAAATAATTTTTGATATAGTTTTAAAATTTTGTTGTCATTTTAAAATCTAAACGATGATTAAATTAGGTAGATTACGAGTTTATGCCATTCTAAGTGACGACATCCAAACTGGTTGGAAGATGAGATTTTTGGAAAAACGCATTTGACCTGGAAAATGGATTTTAATAAGGAGAGTATTATTAACACAATAATAAAAATATGTAAAATAATTTTTTTATTTTTCATAATGTGATTTATAGACATAATTTGATTCTACAGGCGTACAGCTGTGTTAGCTAGAATTTCTTCTACATGGCTTGGGGCCATGTTGTAGTAGGCCGGACAGACGTAACTATTATTTCTTACGAATCCTGAAAAGAAAGGAAAACTTTATTCCACTATAATTTAAGGTAACAAATAAATGCGCGAGCGCCTTATTTAAAAAATACAACGTTTTAGTTCGTTTCATTCATTGGCCTTGTTCTGTCACATTATGTTTATGCTGTGATAGAAAGGGACAATGGCTCAACCATCAGCTTTTCCAAAGAATAAAGTGTTTTCTTTCAAAACATTTACATTTCATTTATTTTTGCACCTCAAAGCGAGATTCATAGTTCACGATACAGAACTATGTAGGTACCTATATCTTGGCCCTATAGCCACGTTATCAAGCTATCTATCGGCGAGTAAAAGGGTCTATGAAAAAACAGGGGTATTTGTAATACGGGATCTGATAAAAGAATTTTTTCTTTCTTCTGCAGAGGGCGCTATATCTTTAAATACCCAGTGGTATTTCAGTAAACTTCAATATCCAATAATCATTACCTCTTAGTGCAGTCGACGGTGCGTTCATGTCTTTTAAGATGTGATACGTGTGGAAAACGCTGCTTGCATATGTCGCACGAAAATGGTCGCTCGCCCGTGTGATACCTTCAAAATAAAATATTACGTAATAGGATTGCATTGGTTAAGTACATGGGAAAAACTTCTATACATATATTTCATCCAAATATGTAACGTGAAATGACGCCGTTGTAGACCATTATAAACTGAAAAACGTTCGTTTAGTTCGCGTTACAATACAACTGTACGAAAACAAATATCAATTTACAGACCAAGAGATAGTTTCAAGTTCTTTTCAGATATTTCATGGAAATTATAAGAATATAAAATCTCATACCGTTGATGCACCACGAGATCGCACTTCTTAAAGAACCGCTTCCCGCAACCTTCTGCGTCGCACTCGAAACGTGTTATACCCTCGTGGGATCGCTCTATGTGTTGTTTTAACTGCCAAAAATTATGCATTACATTCATTATAACTTTCAATGGTCGATGATTACATATTTTTGTAAGGTTAGATTACAATTAATTTTATAGAGGACTAGATAGATAACCTTTAACAGATTTTGAAAATTTAATATTAATAAAAAGAAACAAAAACTGCTGTTTTTATTAACTTACACGTCACCTTTTAGTGACTAGTTTTTCATCTGTATAAAAAAAACATGTACTAAATTTAACAAAATTAATACTATTTTCACGTCTCAGTATTTCCTGGTCCGAGAATTTGTACAGAAAATCGATACATCAATAAATAAAATATTAACTAAGATGTAAGTTGCATTATCCAACAAAATACATACGTATGTTATACTGCTTTAAAATTTAGAATAGTTTTTCGCATAAAACAACTAAAAAACACACACGTTAAATTCGGAATTAATTTATTAAAATTACCATCCATGCAGCGGGATAATGTGACGGGCAGTGCGGGCACGTGTGATCCGGTAAAGTTCGCGGCTGATGGGCGGCCGCGTGATGTTTATTAAGTGTTGAACGATAACTAAAGCGAACGCCGCATACGTCACAGCGATGGCGACGAAGGGACGGGTTATGAATTGCTGGAATATTTTAAAATACAATAAAACCAACTTAAGTCTGACAACATTATTAGGTATATTATATATATTATGTCATGTACAGAAATGCGTGAATGCCCATATCTCCAAAACTACTTAACCGTGTTGATGTAACTGGGTCTAAGAATATACTTGTTAATATATTTTTATATGCACACATGCTAAACCTAAGATCATCAGGCTTAAAAGGTAAGCAGACAATCCATATTTAAAAATATGTAGTAATACATATTGCAAAAAATTCTATTTGAAAGCACAAAAATACAAAAACTATATTGTCATTCGATTATCAAGATAGACATTCGTATAAAACTACGATTGAGCAGCTGTTGCAAGACTTCTTTTCAATTAATTGTAATTTTTTTCTTTATTATTTCCAGTATCTTATTAGGGAGCGTTCAAGTATTACGTAGCGAATTTGGGTCCTTTAATAAAACATTAGGATGCGGGACGGGGATTGAATTACGCGTTATTGTTAATATTATTTTCGACTTTCCAGTACTTTACACCACATGATGGTAACTTTTAGGTATAAAGGGTCACTAGGTGGTCACGAAACGTTTTACTATACTTTGGTACAGAAAAACGTTACGGCGCGTTACGTGGGGGCGGGGGGGGGTCAATAATCTCCAAAAATTTCTAGACAATACTTGAACGCTCCCTTAGTAGTATCTATTGGTATGATTTAAAAAGTGTTTGTATCTAAATGCTATCACATGGCTCGAAGGCACTAATCAAAGTAAAAATCAAAATGTCATCATTTTCATCATCAAACTTAAGAACAATCCTTTGACTTGGCTAATACTGAACAGTCACTTTACTGTACCTTTTGTTGCACTGTAACATATTTTCTGCCCACTTACCTATGTGAGATTTATAATTATCCTTTTTGTTAAAAACTTTATTACAAGTCTTGCAAATGAACTCCACTGGCTTTTTATTATTACATGACTTCTCTGTACTTTCTTTAATATTTAAATTCTCTTTATCGAATTCCACTTTACGGGTTTTATCTTGCTCTTCTATTTTAATTAAAACTATGTTGTTATTTAAAGCATTTTTATATTTTTTAATATTACTCTCACTTGTCCCTGTTGTGTTGTTTATGTTGTCTTGCTCTACCTTAATTATGACTGGTACAATGTTATTCATAAGATTATTTTCTTGTTTAACTACATAATCGTTCTTTAACAAACCCATTTCTATTTTTTCTTCACTATTGACTAGTTCAACGTCAATATTTAGCATATCTTGTAATTTCTCGGCATCGATTTCACTGTTTAGGCTTATGATAAATGTATCATCATCTTCAGTAGAAATATACTGCACTGTATTTTCCCCAATAAGCTGATTTAAATTTGCGGCTAAATTTGTACTCGCTTCTAAATCAACATCGCTTTCGAAAATAGTAGCACACTCATCAGGCAAAGTGGGAGGTAAGACTGGTCTATCAGGAAACGTGTTTAAATTAAACAAATCTTCGGGTAAATTATCATTTCTTGCAAGAGCATTCATTAAATCTTGATCCATACTCTTGCTACCTATTGTATAGTCAAATATTTCTCCATTGCCACTGTAATCTATATCATTAGTGTTCATATTAAAGATTTGGCTATTTTGTAAGCTGTCAAAATCTAGATCATTATAAAGGAACTCGTCATCTAAGGAATGTAGTTGATTCATTTCCTTTAAAAATTCTATTTGCATCAAATTATCATCTGGAGTAACATTTGTATAACTTGTATTATTATTAAAAGTATTTAATATATCATGGTTTGTCGACATAGTCATGTAATCATCTTCAACTGATAGTATATCATCAACAATATTTTCAACAATTTTATTTCCATCAGTATTTTGTTTTGTATCTGTTCCACTTTCTGTGTGTTGTCTGTGAATGAATAAAAATATTGGTAACTGAACTAAGAAAATCTTTTCAGAAGCAAGTCCTGTTTATTTAGCTATACAATAAATTAGATAAAATATTTAAAAAAAACACAATTAATACTTAACACTCATCACTAAAACAGAAAAACGTTTCTCTTACCTAACACAGTGCTCCAACAATGCACTCTTATACTGAAAAGACATACCACATTCTCGACAATAGTTTTTTCTAGTAGTTTTGTCTTTGGCTGTGTCTACAAATTGAGTACATGTTTTTTGATGTCGTTTTAATGTAGCCAGCTAAAATATTATATATAAATACATTTTAGCAAAACTGGTAAATATATAGGGGAAGGTCGGGACCCTTCGTACGGTTTTCACATTTTATTTTTATTTTTTTCTTTTTCCATTAATCAATCATCTGCAAGCTTAAATTTATAGTCCTACTATCTGAGATTCATATAAAAAAATGACAAATGATTTCATCTTATGGTTCAACCATAATTATGATTTAAACTAAATCTGGGAAACGTACGAATCTGCCCCATTCACGGGGCACCTTCGTACAGTGTTGGAGGTACCTTCGTACGCTGTGGGGTAGTTCCGTACGTGCGATTAAAACGACACGTATAAATCAAAATTCATTTATTAGCAATGAAATTAAACACAAAAATAAAGATTTAACTTCTATTAAACAAAAAATAAAATACTTTTCTTATAGTGAACAAAAATTACATAGCTTTTAGCATTAATTAGTTAGGTATCTTAAATTTAGAATCACATTTTTTAATCTTTGGTGCGGATTAGCACTTCTTATTTTCGGGTGTGGCAGTATAAATTCGTGGTTTTCCTGGCCGTCGTCGTCATTTTTTTGTTTTATTACTTCTTACAACATGCGGATAGGGTCGAAACGCTTCTGGTGTCAAAACTGACTTCGAAGGATTATTTGATGGATTGGTAAATTATTCAAAGCATCTGGTTCACAGGCATCAAAATCAACCTTAATAAAGATAATAAAAATAGGTATTAATATATATTTACATAGACGATAGCAATGATAGCAACACAGGACAAAGTTAATGCAAATATTAGCAATTAGCACACTAATACAATCTTTCCTACCTACCAGAGGGTTTAGTCAAGATGCCTTATTATTATTTGTATGTAGCAAGTCGAAAACTTAATTTGTATGAAAATGACAGTTCGTGTCGACAAAATATTTTCATACAAATTTAGTTGTACAATTCGTTCAAATGTGCCCCATCTAGTGCTGTCCGAAAGTACCCCACTAACTGAATAACAACAAAATATAACTTATTTTAATATTAAAAGGAAAACGTCATAAATTAAGTATTGGAGACGTATCTTAAGTATATTTTGCTAGTTACTGATAGAATACTCTACACGAAAACTTATTTTATCTACGGTAACAAGAGCAAAAAACATTGATCAAAAAATTACTTACCGAGCGCGAAAACACGTCCATGCCTGAAGCTTCACTCTCATCGGTGCGAATTTCACCAAACTTCGTTGATGTATAGTTCGTACCTCGACTCATGCACACATACAAAAACAAGACTGTACTTTGTTTCGTTCAAGTTTTATTTTGACTGTATGAATGTGCCCCGCGTACGAAGGGTAACGATCTTCCCCTACATACTCATATTTATATATGATGCAGCTTATACATAACAAAATATACTGCTAATCTTGCCTAATTGATTATTATCAATTTTAAAATATCTTTAATAAAATTAATTAGAATGTCCACTCTTAATAACTTATAATAATATTAACTATCTTAGCTAAAAGTGATTTATAAATTTACATTACAAATATATATTTCTTTATATTATACCTGAGAGTATCTATTCTGACAACCCAAACAACGGTATTTTTTCTCCTTAGTATGACAAACCATGTGACGATTCAAATTTGATTTATCTTTGAATTTTTTATGACATATGGTGCAAGAAAATCTATTTAAACCTGTAAAACAATATTCATTAATTTTACTAAAAAGTTACATAAATTTGTATTAATGTGTAATATTTTATGAATCCTATCATAACTCTGGCAAGTATTAAGTGCTTGTCAACATAAATTATTAAAAATAGGGCCCTAGGTGCCAATTATATATAAGTACATAGGTAAGTTTTTTTGTACAAATATTTGGCAGTTTAGTACTTGTCATCATTATAGTAGGTTATATCTCTGTGACAAAAAAAATCTCCACTTATTGTTTAAATATTGAATTGTAATTAATACCTATGTAAAGAAAAATATTTTAAATATGTTTTCAAAACTTACCATCATGAATGTCTTTGTGTTTTTTCAAATCAGAGGCCTTGAGAAATGATTTATCACACACATCACATTTATGGGGTCTAAAATAAATATTTTTAAGTAACTAAAACATACACCTACTTCTTAAACCCTCAAGCTACAATATAGCATAAACTATACGGCTTATTTTATCTTACTATATCTAAGTTTATGGATCATGAATAATATATAGAAGCCTTCTCATTAAGCCATTCTCATTTAACTTACATTGGATAAATAATATGTTATCATAAATTAATGCCCCAAAATATCCACCTCAATTAAGGTTATAGGCTGTAGCTGGATCTATAACCCGAGCCTACTTGCACCTTACACTAATGTCTCACAGTCTTTCTTGATGATGAAACAATTAGTTAAGCGTATCAATTACCATCACTTTAGATATAAAACTGACACCACCACCAAATGAATAGCTGCAGTAATGGACATAAAATGTTTATAGCAGTTTACCTGTAGTTTAAATGTTTAGAAAAAAGATGTTGTTGTAAACGCCAAAGCGCTTCAAAAACCATAGAACATTGTGGACATTTCCATACTCTAGCTAATGGTTTATGTGTTAGATAATGTTTCATAAGGTTCTGTTTAATTGAAAATTTCTGATTCGGACATTTATCTGAAATATAACAAAACATAATATATATTTAGTATATTGTTGTAATTCTGACATAAACATCATAAAAAGCAATGGAAAGCACAATTACATTACAAAATATGGGACTTGACAAAATAAAACGATCATAGTATGATAACTTCTTACCACAAACCCACAAATTATCTTTGGAATGAACTCGTAAATGGCCATAATATTTCTTAGCATTGTCGAACTTCTTTTTACAAATTTCACAGACCAAGGTCGTCGGGCCGTTAAGATCGGGTTCTTCGAGGGGACCGTCTGTGAGAAATTGTGCAAGGACATCGTCGCCTCCTAACAAGGCGCCGCTCGAAGAGAGTGGATTATGAATATCGAAATTACATTCGTTTCCTCTTCTAAATAAACCCGATTCTGAATTTTCCGAATCTATAAACTATTTTAAAACTCGTAAGTAAATAACAAATATCCTCTACGGCAATAAACCCAATTATACTTACTGGTAAACTATAAAAAGATATATTAGACTCCATTGTTTACTTATTATTTAAATGTTTTATTACAAAAGAAATATTTCACATATTGTTTTTTTAGTAAACAATTACAAGAAAATTCATGGACCATAGTCGATAGGCCAGGCGCCAGCGCAATTCTCAGTTTCTTACTACAGAGTACTGAGTAGTGAGTACAGACATTAAAAACTAGAGGAATGTACCACAGACTAGGGTGACTTAATGATAATTGATATTATAATATGAAAAGATTTTGTCCAAATTAATATGTACATATAGACCACTAACTAAAAAGTATATTATTTGAAATATATTTAGCAATTAACGAATAAGATTAAGAAATTAACTTAAATTTAAATTATTAAAATTGAAAGTAAGAGCGCATTATTTTCGACACAATGTGTAAAACACAATATCAAATTGAAATAAGAACTCATCCATTTTTTATTAATTTTACTTAGCAAGTATAACGATAGATGGTCTTTAAACCTCACTACGTGTCTGTAACAATACAGCGCCGTAGCCCAATGCTGAGAGACATCGGTGTATAGGCCAAGGGCGGATCCAGCTTTGGCGCCAGGAGGGGGTCACATAGTCGTGGTCAAGTCAAGAACTTATAATTTAATTTTGATAACAATAGATACAAGTAAAAAGTAGGTATTTTATTAATGTACGTAAGTATTGCAATTAAAAATATTTATTCTTTATTGTACACTTGAAAAACTTAACACATAATATTGTGTAACTTAGTACATACAAGTTGGTCCAACTAGTGACGTCAATAATTTTTTTTTAGATTCCTCACACCTGGGACGAAAATACCCCATGTATGTTTCGCGATTTTTGTAGTTTTCGATTTCACACAAAATCCACAGATTACAACAAAAAAAGTACCATTTTTTTTCTATGATTTTGGTAGCTTAGAACCCTCAGGAGTTTTTAAACTTAGCCAGAAGCTATGGAAACTTCTTTTTGTATTTTTAAATTGAAGTCGAATGTTTGGGCAAATCCAGCTAAAAACTAAACTTCTAACTATAAAACCTTTTTTGAGTAGATTTAACTAATTTTAAGAAGCTAGGATTTTTTTTACTTGAATATAGAATATATATCATATATCATATAGAATATATATCATTTAAGGCAATCATTTAACAGAAAAAAACTGCAAAATACCTACAGCAAAAAAGATATGACTTTTTTAAACCTCGCTGGCAGAAAACATTCAAAAAACACAAAAAAATGTATAACTCGAAACTACAAAAAATCGCGGAACATACATGGGGTATTTTCGTATCCCCCAGGTGCAGTGTGACGAATCTAAAAAATTTTTATTGACGTCACTAGTTGGACCAACCTGTATACACGTACATATTACCATCTTCTCTTGAAGACAACCAGAGAAACACTATCACGTATTTTTTTTTTTTAAGTGGAATCTCGCTGTTGGCCTTTAGGGCCTTTACAGCTCAGCTCGGGCTGTTTTGGCGAGCTTGGCTCGGCCTCACTATCACGTACGGAATGAGGCAGCCTATTTATATAACATAACCGTGGTGAATGATTTGTCATAACAGCTAGAGGTATGTCGAGGGGTATTACGCTAAACTTCGCAAAAGTGAAGAGATGGTACGACAAGGGATTCCATCAAACAAAATAGAAACAGACAAATACATACATTTTAATAACTAAATCAATTTTTCTTTAACGTGTTTTCCCGAAACGCGTTATTACGTCATTTACGTGAACGGGTACGTTTTCATGAACGTGGAGAAGTGCCAGTCTGGTTAGGCGATCTTCAACCATTGAAGATCTTAGCCACGATTTAATTCTGCGCAACGTAGAGAAAGACCTTTCTGCTGTCGCTTCGCTGACAGGGTAGTGTATCCAATTTTCCTATATTAGTATACATATTGATGTCACAATTTAAAATAAGACTATGTTATGATATGTTGAAGTTTAGTCGTTCCGATTCCGATTGAGGTAAGGTCTAGCTAGACGTTTCATAGCAACAAGCGCGCGCAAGTGTGGCGCGGAAAATTCAAATTTTCGATGCGTTCATTCCCAAACGTTTGCCATCATACAAAGTTATTATATTATATTAATTAAATATTGAAGGTATGTAGTTACATATAATCTGTATGGTGACAAATTTATATATAAAATCATTATGTTCAATTAGTGGTCCACCTTAGTCCTGCTCAGGGGGGGGTCATGACCCCCATGACCCCCCCCCTGGATCCGCCGTTGGTATAGGCAGCGGCACGTAAGTCTAGCGCTGGCCGATACATGGAGGGGATTGCTGCGCATGTGTACTATCGCGCACGCAATACATTATATGCCACTTTGATTAATGATTACCTAAATAACGATATTAAGCTGAACGAAATGTGAAGGATAGCTGCTGCGCATGATTACTGTCGCACATGTAAGTAATATTACCTATCTATAAGATATAATAAGACAGTAAAAAATGTGTCTATACATAGAACGTATTTCCAAAAAAGACCTAAGATATTTTAACAAGTTTATGGGATGTAGAAAAATAAAAACATTATCTTTTAATTTGTAATCTTTTATTAATCTGAATCAGAGAACGTTTTTTCTGGAACGTTTTTTGCCAGGTGTTCTGAACACTGTGATCAAATCAGAACTTTTGGCTTGATTGGAGATGTTTCTTACCGTTGCAATTGACGTTTTTGTTGACTCTGCTGTCCTTTTTTGGATTTTTTTTTTTATCACTTATTCCACGTCATTCAATTTGAAGGCATCCCTACTCATCGGCAAAGAAGACAGAGGGTGTAGGCCGAGAGAAAAAGCCGGCGTAAAAAACTCTCGGTACTCTTTTAAAACAGCAAATCATCAAACAACACTTATTTAAAACAAATATCGCAAATTAATTAGAAGTAGCCTGTCTAGCACTAGTCCCAGGCCCTTTTATCAACTAGATAATCGTTGACTTTATAGTAAGCCTTTTTACACAGCTTTTCTTTAATACATTTCTTAAATTTATTGAAAGGCAGTGATAAAAGAGCCTCTGGGATTTTATTAAAGAAGACTATCCCTTTCCCCAAAAAAGAATTACTAACTTTAGATAGTCTAGTACGGGGAAATTGCAGCCTGCGTTTGTTCCGTGTATTAACATTGTGCGTATGTTCTATTCTAGTAAACTTATCACTATTTTTGTATACATACATAATATTTTCATAAATATATTGCGAGGGAAAGGTAAGTATATTAATTTCCTTGAATTTATCTCTAAGAGATTCCCTACATTTTAAATTATAGATTGCACGAATAGCCCTCTTCTGCAGGATGAAAATAGTTTCGACATCAGCAGCATGACCCCATAATAATAAGCCATAAGTCATTAAGCTATGAAAGTAACTAAAATAAAAAAGTCTAGCTGTATCGACATCAGTTAGTGAGCGAATTTTTTTAACCGCGTAGGCTGCAGAACTAAGTTCAGTTTCAAAACAGTATTTGTTCTAGGCATATTCACTTTAAAGTCACAAACAAACTTAAAAACAAATAACAAACAACAAAACGTAACAACAATATTAATCACGCGACTGTACACGGGATGTGCGCGGGGCGTCGTATCGGTGCGGGGGACGGAATGCGACTGGAGAGCCAATCGACGCTACGCGCGCCCGCTCTTCATTCCGCTAGCCCCCCTCAGGTACCTTATTTTTTACTTCTGCGCAATAACGGTCAGCGCTAGAGTTTCGTGCCGCTACTTGTACAGTGGGGATAGATGTATCAAAAATAATGAATACCGACTATATCGAGCCGTGTACAGCCGGCTACTGTACCTTGTACCTAGGCCCAATCAAATTGCACACCCTTGCCTGTCAGTTTAACAAGACGTTTTAATGGAATTGATAAAATTTATCCTGAAATGTATCGTCAAAAATATCCAGCAAGACCTAATAACATTACCTCCTTCACATTGCTGGGAGTTCGGGCATCCACTAGAAATGAGACCTTATGTAAGCTCGGCCCTACCTGATTATTTATAATGACTCAGCCTAAGTACTCAATCTCCGGAGACTGAAATAGACATTTCTTTAAAATAATAGAAAACCCTGTCTGGGTAAGGGTTTCCAATACATCATGTAATGTAACCTGTAATATTTATCACATTTAACATAAAAATCTATTTCAGGCGATAATTCTGAAAATTACACCGTCAAGGTACTTAGTACAGAATGATACTTCAATATCCTGCCTTCCAACCATTAAACCACGCAATACACGCAAGCATGGTATCGAGTATATTGTAAATGTTTTGCTACGGACTAAGAAATTAATGACACTGTCGATCCCCTATCCTTTAGTACACCAATAGGCACGCTTTGTATAATGGCAGTCGGGATATTATCATATTGTTTATAGCGATTATCTCTTGAGTCACTGCAAAAGTTAACTATCGAATTACCACGCGATTCAGAACACTGTCTAACAAAACAGAGCTCTATTTTATGTTCTTACAAAATGCACAAATAAACTTGTCACTAGATAACTACTTTTTATTAAAACTTGTACTGTTTGTGTTTTCATATTTAACTCTCTTAGGACACGACACCTTCCTGTGAACAATACCAGCACAAGAAAAGCATTTAAATTAGGTCTTAAATCTATCATTTTCATACAATTCATACACCTTACCGGGATCATTGCGCACAAGTTTCTCGGTCACCCGGTTGAGTACTAGGTCTGCGCTCGTCAAATTTGCACTGCCCTGACGTGGTTCCGGAGCATTCTCACCACCAACTTGTGAACCATTAATACTCGGCGGCATTGATGCACTGTTCCTTATGGGAGCGCACTACGGGCTAAGGGTAAGGGACATAACTCACCCACTAGCGAAGGTCATGCATGGTCTAGGATAAAGGCCTTGTACAGTGTCACATTTTGAGCACATGAAGCCTAGATATTTGACGGACTTTTGCCACGGGATGGCGTGCCCGTATTACCTCTTTTTTTGAAGCGGAATGTTTCTCGAGACTGAGTGAGGTACCACTGGGGTTGCCGGTTTGGAGCCTCTGCATTTGTATAAAGAGCGGTGTCATCGGAGTAAAGGGCTAGCTTCATATTGGGAGCTCTATGGATGTCGCCAGTAAACAGCGTGAAGAGGAGAGTTTCGATTACCGACCCTTGAGGACGACCTCCGCCCAAGGAGACGATATGGATCGAGGGAACGATAACGTTCCCTCTACACATAGCGCATCGAGCGATCGGATAAGAAATCGTGTACGTTACGCATGAGTCTTATTGGAACTTGAAGGTGGTAGAGCTAGACCTTGTCGAACGCCTTCGCTATGTCGAAGAATAGCGCACCCGTGGCTCTCGGTTCCAGTAGGCTATTCGTCCCGAAAGGACCGAATACAAAGGAAACCGGAAAGTTATCAGAGTCTAGTTCATGTAACACCTCTAGCACGTCATCAACGTAGCACCGTTGGAGTGCTTGTGGAGTGCTACGGTGTAGAACCGTAGTCACGTAGCTACGCGTAACCAAGAGTATTCTATGTTGGTTAGGGTGGGCAGCTCTAGCGACCGTTACCAATTTTAAATAGCACGTCCGTATTTTCCACTTTCACTAACGTTACTACATTAATATTAATCAACTTGTTTGTGTATTATTTTTATGTGATTAAAATAGGCAACTCATTATTAAATTTCGCTCGTAGCATATTGTATACATTATAAGGGCCGATTTACATTATCTTAGTGTTTAGCAGAGTGCTTTAGTACAACTTGAAAGGCAAGTTCTTTAGTGCTTTAGTGCGTTGCGAGTGAACGTTTACATTTCTTCCAGTAGAGTATACAGCGCCACAATGAACGCGCAACGACGTCGGCAAATACGCTCAATTCTACGCAAAATACTAACTGTAGTTATGGAACAAATAGAAGACGAGATTTTATTCGAAATAAATAAACTAAATATAAATAATAAACAAAATAGCTTCTTTTAAGGCAGTGTATGCCGAATGCCTAGCCTGTTTGTTTTTGTATAAATTGTTTTTAACGTTCCACAAACATTCGTGAACAACATATTCAGACACAAATTTGATAGTTGTACCTTCCGACCATTTAGCCATCTTTAAAAATCAAAAAACACGCAAGCATTTCACGGCACTTGTGCACTCTCCTAAAGATTTTACTAAATTACGTGTTTACATACAACGAGGAAAGATCTCGGGGGTTGCGCGGGCGCGGGAGGGGTATCACTTGAAACAAAAATAAAAAGCGATTCTATTTTGATTCAACTTGAAACAGCATACTAAATACTAATTAGTAACATAAATCTATCGTAAATTTCTTAAAGCTGTCTGGCCAAAGTCTGGATATGTATTATGTAATGACATAACAAATAAAAATATTACCTGCCTGATAACATTTACCTGTAGGTACTTACCATAATATCTATCACCGCTTACTTATATAAAGCGATTCAGAAATTTTTTAACAAGAATGTGCATAGTTTTTATATACTCTGGATACCATGATCCAGAAAGCTGCTACAGTTTAGTTTTAGCTGCAAATAGGGATGAATTTTTCGATCGTCAAGCACAGAATATGGCTCCGTGGAAGGAAGACCAAACTATCTTTGGAGGTACAAAAAAACAAACAAACTATTTTCAGCAATTGCCTCATGATGCAATACTAATATTACTACATATATTTTCAGGAATTGATTTAGAAGCGGAATGTCAAAGCACATGGTTAGCTTACTCGTTTTCTGAGAAGAAGATTGGTTTACTTCTTAACTATCCTGAAATTAAAAAGGAAAGTCCTAAAAGTAAGTACTATAGTATAACTCTATGCTATTAATTCTGACATCCTTTTAACTCATTATTAGGTAGTACAATGGGAAGGTACATCTAATGAAATATGAGCAGTCAGTTTTATTTACATTAAGAATCAGTTAATGTGAAATACATTGCTGTCTTTGATAATGGCATAGTAAAGCGACATAAGCTAAGTCTATACTAGACATTGAAACTAATTTCAATTCAACAGATTGAACAGAATTGTTTCTAATCCACACCCAGTTACAGGCTACTTCACTTAACTAGGTTTGACAATTTTTTGCTCCATAATTTAAGGTAGAGGGAAAATTGTTACTGACTATATAAAAAGTCAATATACAACAGATAATTATGTGCCCTTTATCAGAGATAATGGAGATGACTATAATGGATTTATCCTTGTGACAGTAGAGTTCAGGTAAGCCTTAATCAAACATCAACATCATCTAAAACCATTTTTAAGATAACCAACTACTTTAGTCTTTAAGCTAGTATATACTTATAGTTTATAATATGTGACACATCTTTTATAGACTAAGAAAAAAAATGTATATATGTTTTTTATCAAATATAACTTTAATTACAATCAAATTGGTTGATCTATTATTGACTTTTAATAAAACTATGTATTTTTTACAGAAATAAAGAACCCCTTATTCAAACATATACAAATGCAACACATAATTTGCAGACATGGACACAGAAATGTGTAGGGTTTTCAAACAGCTTGCCAGATACTCCTCTGTCAAAGGTGGTAGCTGGAAGGGAAAGAATGCAAAAAATTTGCGGAGAATATAAAGCAATTGAAGATAAATCAAAATTGATAGAAAGTCTATTGGATTTTTTGAAATCTAAAGAAAGGTTTTTCTTTAAAATGTTTATTCCAAGATGTCTTGTAGTTGTAAATTGTGAAACTTAAATTTCTAAATTGGTGCTGAAATGTGTCTGCTTGTTGTAACAGATAAGGGCTTTTAGTCCAGTCATTATAGTAAGTTCACCTCGGAATTCGAGATACCCAGCTGTAAGTCTGTAAATAGTTGTATACTGACACCCTAAAAGTTGTCTCAAAACCTACATATGGTAGGGTGTTAAAATTTACAAATATTTATAATCATTGATTTATCGATAGTTCATCAACTATATATGGCGCGTTTTCGACCGGAGGCACCGGTTGACCTGAAGTGATGCTGTGACCGCGCGCTCTCCGCCCTCTATCTCGAAAACGGTTCACCGTATAAAATAAAATTTTGAACAAAATTTGTAGAGCATTTTGTATTCTTCAATATTGATCATACATACAAATAGCAAAAAACCCATAGGAAATGAGATATTTCCAAAAAAAGCGCAAAAAACCGATTTTTTGTGACCTTTGACCTTGAAATTTAATAGTTGCTTACACCCTACCATATGTAGGTTTTGAGACAACTTTTAGGGTGTCAATATACAACTATTTACTGACTTACAGCTGGGTATCTCGAATTCCGAGATTCTTACCTAATTTAAGCTTAAATGACTGGACTATTTTAATATTATAGTAATAAAATAATACACTACTTACACAATTTGTGGCCCTTGAATTGTGTAAGTTACAACTTACTAAGAGATAGTAACTTTTTAGACATTTACCAGACCCAATTCTACAAAACCGAAGACCAATGGATTACAAATGTTTCTCATCAATATTTGTTTGCCTACCATCAGCCCGTTATGGAACAAGGTAAATATGTACATAGTATTGTCTTTGATTAACATAACTTTTATTCATTTAATAAAACACTATTTTGACCGGATTGAAGTTATGTATTGACCGTGCGTGGTCACGGTGACCGTGACCACGCACGCTGTAAAGCACGCGAAACGTCGGATAAATTTAAAATTATGTTAAATAGTTGTAAATTTATAATAATACATAACTTCAATCCGGTCAAAATAGTGTTTTATTAAAAGGTAAATATGTAATTTTATCTAAATTGAAAAAAAAATCTATATGCCTAAAAGTATCTAACCTAGTAACTTTACAGGTTAAATTTAATCTGGCAATCAAACACAATGTCAATTAAATTCTCTTTATAAAAAATATTATTTGTTTGCAGGACACATACTTTGATGCTAGTTACAAAAAGTGGGCATGTTGATCTTATAGAAGTTACTATGCAATCACCAATCAACTTGTCTAGTCCAAATTGGAAAAGATCAAATTTTCAATTATAATTTATAATTTCAGGATAAAACTAAAGCCAAAGGATATTTATAATATTTTTTTATTGTTAAAAGCAAATATACATATATATAATGTCTACATTGCTTTTTTTGGCCAATTTTCCACTCTAAATACATCTGGAATAGAAAATTCCTCATCCTGTTCTAAAACACATCCTAGAAATTTTGGGACATTCAAAATTGTACCTGATAAAATATGTGGGAACTTAGCTTCTTTATTATCTGTGTAGGTGAACAGAAGTCTTTTGCTCATAAAATCTCCAATAAGAGAAAGGTGACCGATTTCTATGTACTTCTTCAGAGAAGTAGAGTACATTTCAATTGAAACTCTTAAAGATTCCCACACATGTATTTTATCAGCTGCCACATAACTCAATCTGTAATGATAGTCTAGCTCATTAAATAATGTCTTAACCATACATAAAATCTCCTCAAGCAGTTCCTCTAATTCATTATTATCCCTTGCAACTCCAAATATTTGAACAGCTGAAGATTGACTGAGATTAAACAAACTATGGTTTTCTTCTTTACCTGTTGGAGTGTATTGCCTACCTAAAGAAAAATATTTAAGTGGTAAAACTTTACCATATATAACATTTTTTGTATGATATGCCAAGAATGAATATAGAGAGCCTGCACCAGTCAAATGCAATCTTTTATCTTTGTTAAAAACAGTATCATCATTGTGATGAAGAATAAATGTAGATGTAGGATCTGTATGATCTACACCGCAACCTTCCACAACCAAACTTTTAACAAAATCTGGGTTGGAAAACTGGATATAATTACTTCTTTTGAGGTAGTCACTAAAGTAAAACTTTGAACCTAACTCGAATAATGCTGCATCTCCCAACAGGTAAACTAAATTATGGGTATTTTGTACATATTTAATAAGATTTTTCTGTTTCCCAACCACATTATGATCCTTTTTGGTGCTGGGTGGTGACTTGTGTTGAAATATAACATTGTTTTCCTGGTCTGGTGTCAATTTATGCAGTAAGTTGGGCACATTTAAAGCCTCAACCATTGCTGCCTCTTCAGCCGACCATAGGGGACTTTTTAAGTTCTTTATATTTTCTTTAATTAAGTTAATTTGAATTTTAAATTTTTCAACTTCATTTCCTTCATTCTTCAATTTTAATAATTCTGATAATTCTTTAGATAGTTTAGATTTGCTATTTTCTTGTTGCAATTTTAGATTCCGTAAATCATTATAAACCTCCCAAAGATTCTCTAATTTATGTAAATCATAGTTAGACTTTCTTTTAATAATCATAGTTTGTAACATATCCTTATTTTTCATTAGGTTTGGAAAATCAACATGAGGAACGATAAATGCAAAGTTTTCAGTTGCTTTTGACCCATTTATAAACAATGCAGAAAACCTGACTGGTAGAATCTTAAAAACATTTTTATTATTAAATTTTATTAAAGTCTTATGCAACATTATCAATTTTTTTCTTTTTGTTAGGTGTAGGTGTATCTTCACTTAAAACAATATCACCATCCTTATCTATTATATCAGAAATTTGAGTTACTATTTTTCTTTTGTTGGGAAGTTTAAAATTTCCGTGTCCAGCGGCCCGCTCTGATTCTTCGATCGAATATGGTTCTAGTTCTAATGCTTTAAGTCTTCTTTTGTGAACTTTTGTTTTAAAATGTTCCTGAAGAGCTTTGTCGTCAATAAAATATCGTGCGCAGTGTAAACAATAATGCTGAGCCGCGCCAGGTAAATCTAAATCGACATCTTGATTCAATAACTTTTCCGATTTTTCTGAAAATAATAAAATAGTCGTATAAAGAATACAAATACAATATTATTTATAACCTAAACATGAATTGTCAACACCTGACACCATGTGGTTATGACATTCTTACCTTCCTTTAGATCTTCATCAATTTCATCTAAATCTTTCTTTCTATTCCGCACTCGCCAACGTTTTTTTAAATGTGTATCACCATGATGATATTTTTTACGCTTATAAGTCATATTATTTATTTTCCCCTGGCTAATGAATTACTTGAATTGTTTATTTAATAAAACCTATGAAAATGGAATTGACATTGACATACAAAGGGATTTTTTTTTTTAATTATTTATTAGCCGGATACTTTGACATACAAAGGGATCATAAACCAGTGTTGCCAGATGGTCTCGGCGACTACCTACTCAAATTAGTCAATTTGATCTTCCCCCAGAAATCCCCTTCAAATACAAAAAAAAAATAATAATTCTTGTGTCTTGTTTCATGTAATTTTAGAATTTATATTTAATTAAAATTACATCGTTCTTTGACAGCTCAAACGAATATGCAATTAGTAAGGTTAACCGGATTCTATTCTTACGATGTGTTCGTAATTCAATTTAGTTCCAAAATTAGAAACGTGATATACAATAGCAAAAAACTGTATCCCCAAAGTACCCCCAAATATTCTTTCCCCCTATTATGCCCCTAACTCGGTTGAGAAACCCTTAAATCTACGGGGAAAGCCTCTGATCTGGCAACACTGCCAAAAATAATCAACCAAAGAAAACCCCCACTAATTCATTTACAATTATTATTATGAATGAATTATATTAATTATACTTGATCTGACCAAAATTATTACTATAATGACAGAGAAAATAAAATGGCAGAGTGACAGAACACTTGTTTTAAATTCGCTGCGTCTTCCAAAGAGTATGTTTATGTTTAATTAATTGCTTGTGTTTATCCGGAATCAATCTTCTCAGGGGCGGACATCGGCCAGTTCGGGTAGAGCCCCTGCTGGCGGTGTGGATGCACTCGCTGCTCGCGACCTGCTCATGCAGGACAGTACTGGGGCGGGCGTATAGCCCTTGGTTATGTTTAATTATTTCTGGCTTTGGCTTAAATAGATTCATCCCCTCTAAGTGGCTAGCATTGGCGGCTTGGCTTGGCAGGATGTAACTGGCCACGTCCGTTACATTACATAATAAAAATACTATTTAGGATTTAATACCAACAGAACATCAAAATGGAAGGCAAATAATATTTATTGTTTTATCCTTTTATAACAATATTATAGGTGACGTGACGGAAGTAAATAAAATAACCATTATTTTCATATAATGTTATATTCTTACTATAATAAAATTCAGGGAAACAGTATTATACACGAATAAATACATTACTAATAATGTTATAACTACATTATTTTCATTAAGTTCAATTGTAATATTAGCTTTTCACTAAACAAATAATTAATATTAACTGCTCAATAAAACTGTAGGAATGATTTAAATGACAAATTTAGAAGACATAAAATCTCATCATAATGTTACATCTCGGTAATATTATATGGATTTAATCAGTCAAAAAGTTAAAATTAAATAGCAGCTTGTTGAGGTTGTCCCCATTAACCACTGGTAATACAATAATCATCTTATGTTAACTAATGAAGGCATTACAGGTGTGATTAACTCGCAACGCAATTAACGCGTGCAAAAAACAATACTCGCACACATACAAACATAATATTCAAATTATAACACCAAACTTCGCCTACTTTAAACCTAATACCTAAATAATTTATTTAACTTTCATTTAATCCCATGTGATATATTTCAATTTTCCATAAATATGCGCCTCGTCTAATTTGTAAGCATTATATACATATAACAATAAATTCAACTTTTGAAACAAACTTTTTATCTTTTGTACAGTAATATTGTTGAAAGATTAACACGGAAGCTTAACTCGATCCAATTATTGCACTATGGCTACCGAGGCCTTACAACTATTTCAATCCATATTCTTGTCAAAGTTAGCTACGGGATTATTCAAATATCATCTATTTATGCACCTTAGATATTCTCTACAGAGTTCATGCATATATCTACGATAAAACATGATGGGGCATTTAATGTGGTGATACTAGCAAAGATACTGAGGAAAAACTATATTAATGAAAAAAATATAAGAATCTCTTTACAGCAACTGAAAGTTTAAGACGCATTGATCGAGTTTAACCGCAAATGCACTACATTCAACACAACTATTTAAACTATAAAATATGTAATGCAGTGAATTAGGCCACCGATTGAATATAATTTTGAAAAATATTTGGATAACACGATCTAAAGATAACAACAGGTATACGACAGCCCTACTATGTAGCTATCTACATTGACTAAACGGTACGTCTTACATTACCTTACGGTTAAGTGAATGCCGTATTATTAGTATCAGGGACGTCAGATTCCAGTACTAAAATTAATTTCTCATATTTAATTCCAACGTTGCTATTCAAAACAAGAATTTAGCCCTTGAAGAATTCGTTAAAATATAGTGTCGAGTTAGAAGCTACCACATCCGTATTAATTTATTTAGAAGTTGTAAGTTTAGTGGTGTGGAAGCGATCGTAAATACCAAAATCCCTGTTTGAAACTAGATTTTCTCGACAGCCTTAAAGCATTCAGTTTCTAAGTTCGTTTGTCCTTTAGGCCAAACGAAATTGGAAGCTTATAAAATTGGTATTTTGACTGGCAGCCCTGCAGTTGGAGGGCTCAAAATTGAGCGTAGCTCCCCCAGGCAGGGGCAGGTGTTCCCTACATGCCGTACCCGTGGTAAGGGGCGGGCGAAGGAGCCTGCGCGGCGTACGCGTACGGCGGCGCTTGCGCAGCCACGCCTGGGTACGCCATTGATGGACCTGAAATTTATTCACAATGAATAAATAAATAAGTTTTTTCACACAAGAAATTAGTACTTTATCAAAATATTGCACAATAAGCACAGTATGAAAAATAAAGTGTTATTGAGCAAATGGCAGAATAATAATTAATAATAAAAAACTTAGTTTGTTTACGTGTTCTCTCATTATCTTGCTAGCAGAATTAAAAATAACAATTTGTATAGGTTCTATTGTTAATAATAAATAATTAGAAATAGTGTTTGACATCTTTGAATATGCCATAAATTACAGAAATTGCGCGCCTTCAAGCAAAAATTAAAAACTTGTTCATACAAATCTCGTAATATTAGCCTTTGGCTTTGTGTGGAAGTTTTAGTAAATGTAGTTTTAAAAAAAATTCAATTCTAACAGAAATTAGTGCACGCTCTTTAATATTGTCATATTGATTAAAATCATTAATTACCAGCAGTGAGCATAAGCTGTGGCTCCATAATCATAGCAGGCTTTGCCTCGTGTTCCGCGCTCTCCGTGCTGCGTTTTGCGTCAGCCTCTTCCAATTTCTCAACTTTAGTTGTTAATTCTCGTACCGTCTGAAAATATTGTATTTTAAATTAGACTTTTAAGTATGGTTAATTACCATAGAATATGGATGTTAGGTTGGGCTTAGCGCACGTAGATCCTAAGGCGAAAACGAGTCAAGAAGATAGAGAGATATTGTTTGAATGACTGTTAGTAATATGATAACACTTTAAAATTTATTAATGAAACAATGAGAAGTGTATCTGCCCCATGCCCGTTGGTGGTTGGAAAGCTAATAATCTTTTTAAAGATTTTTTAAGAGAAGAGACTTTACTTTTAATCATTAACACTGCATAACAGCATACAATTACATTAAATATTTAAAAAAGTACCTGAATAAGGAATGGCATAGCAAAGTCCATAATGTTGTGCCGCCACGCCAATTCAATCACAACATCGGGTTTCAAGAGATCGTAGCACTGAAAAAATATTATATATATTTTTAAATATTATTTAAGGTCCATTGTGTGTACATTAACGAAATAACCGATTATAATATTATATTAGTGTAGTTTTCATGATGAATCATAACTTAGCGCTACGTATATCTATATATATATATACGTAGCGGATATAGGGAATCAAGGATTGTTTTTATCTTATAAACGTAACCTTATATGAAATGTATACTTTGTTTTGTTTCTCATTACTCCACCATTCAATCACAATGTGCCACTGCGAAGCGTGGCGGGGTACAGCTAGTATAATATATAAATATAACACTGGATCAAACTTAATTAACTTCTGCCCATATTGTCATTGTAAATTTGCTTTGTTGTTATTTAAAGTTACATTACATAAAGTTATAAGTTACATTTTTTAAATAAATAAAAATAATAAATTAAACAAATTTTTAACTTTTTAGTGTAATTGATAGATATTGTTGTTATAATATTATGCGTTTTAGTTAAAATTTATGTTTTCTTTACGTTAACATAGTTTAGCACCTATTGCACTTTACCATAAATTTTTAATAAATAGATCGGTTACGGAATCTTTTTAAGGCATTGGAAACTTTAAACAGTTTCAATGCACTTCTTATATATATATAACTTTTCTAAATAAGTAAAAAAAATATTTTGCCTTTACTATAAATGGCCAGCTTAAAAACATTACTCTCATTTAACACTAATTGAGTCGTTTATAATACAAATACCTGGTAAAGGGAAGCAGAAAAGCACTCATAGTTCTTCCTCTCAAGGAACCAGTCGAGCAGTTCCTCAGCAACTTCTGGTTGTCGTGATTCAGCTGCGTATTCCATTGCGTCGGCGTACAATGCGTCTTTTTTGCATAACTCCACACTTTGCTTCCATCTGTTGTTGCCTGCATCACATTCAATTTTAAGGATGATTGTTAAAAATTACAATATGCAAGTTTATAAAAAGTTCAGCAGTAAAAACTAATCTAACCAGATATAAAATAAGTGCCCATTAACTTATTCAACTAATCATAATCTCTAATGTTTAAATAACAGTTGTAAAAATAATGGCTGGTATTATCTTTATATTATTAATAATATTATTATCTTGCTTAATCTTCGTCTATTTACGCGTCAGTCTATTATGTAAATTATATTCTACTTTTAACTTAACTTCCGTTAATAAAACATTTAGTTCGATTGATATAAATGCTAATACGTCAATATTGTAATAATTAATTAAACAAACAAACATTAAATATATTATCTACATACATAAATAACATTCAATTAAATTAAAAATAAAATGCAATAGAGTGAAGTATCATTATGATCGATCGATGGGGATTTTTAAAACTTTATTTGTAATGGTAAACCCCAGCTCTCCACCAATTTTTGGTTTTCCGGGAATATTTGATATTAGACCACTATTTTTATGTCTAACTTGTCCGGTCTTTGATATATAATTGAGTATATTTAGAACCATCTAGAAGTTGATGAGTTGTTACGTGGATAATATATACACGAAATAAATTCACGCATACTTATCGTACTCCGACGTTACGTCTAGGTATAGGGGGCAAAACGAGACTTTTTAATAATATATTTTATTATAATTATTATGATGTTGTTAAAATTTACCTTTGTACAAGTAGGCGGCGATTCGTCTGAATTCAGTGAGCTCATGCTTTTCTAGTTGTTGCGCGAGCGCTATCGTGTCGAAGTTATCGAATGCGTCAATCGATGTTCGTAGACCCTGAAATTATTATAATTGTATTAATGAATAATGTATGGGATACCAAATCAAATAATTATTTAATAGTAATGCTGATTACAACGATTTGCAAATAATTCAAATTTGATTCTGCAATTCCATTGCCGCCTGCTTGTACAGGCAGGCGGCTAAATAGTTTTGTCTTTTAGTGTAAGTAAATAATGAAATTTATTGACCTTTAGAGTACACAGAGTATGGTATCCTGGGTTTGAATTTGAAATAAATGAATATTTTACGAATAATAATATTAAGTTAGTGAAATATTTCACTTATTTGAATGACCTGAATGAAAGAGCTGAACTCAGTTAATACGGTTCAGACCAAGTACGCGTGTGCCTGTTGGTCGACGGTTTTAATCCGATGAATCTTATTTTTGCAAAACATAGCGGTATATATATTTTTAAATAAAGTGTTTTCAGTAGGAGACACTTTACAAATTAAAAGGAGAATAAAATGAAATCAGTGCCAGAGCTTATAAATACATATTGTGTTACAGTCTCTACTTATATCAAATTGTAACACAGCATAATATTATTCCTTTATAGTTGTTGTTATTACAATTGTTGTGCCTTATCCTATATAATTTAAAAATTCTAACCTGGTAGTCTTCCTCATCGATGAGTAGCGAATTAAGGGCTTCATTGACAGCCTTGTTGTTAAGGTTTTGCACAGACCTGAGATAGGCTTTTACTAGTTGGAGATGGCCAGCCTTAGTAAAGAAGTTGACGGCGCGAGTGTGGTCCATACGTGGCGCCAATACCAACAAGAGGTCATTGAGAAGTAGAGGCTTGTAGTCGAGGTAAAACTGAATTGCTTTATAATATAACTCCATGTTTGCGACCTGTAAAGTATCAATTTGGATGTTATTATACACTTATTAGATCGGCATCGGCCTGCCGGGAACTTTTAACAACTTTTCAAATATTTCAAAAAAGTCTTTAGATTGTGCGTAGAGAAAGACGGTGACACTATAAATGTTTTCATTCAAATATTTGATACACGATTCCTTTTTTAAATTCATGGTAGATTTGCGGTTGTAATAACCATTCGTTTAAGAAAAATATCATTAGGAAACGTTAAAGACGCAAAAATTCGTCGGCGTGTACCAGGGCCAAACTATAAAGATAATGATCAAGGAAACAATTAGTAAACCAATCCCACAACCATCAAAGATTATTTTTGGGAGCGAAAAGGCTGTATTTTATTATGTCGTAATGTAATATGGAAAAATATTGATACGTTCTAGGGCCCATTCAAAAAATACATATGTTATTTATATTTATAGATATAAATATGACCATTATTAAAATATGTTATACGAAACTTAATGATTACACTTTTTAATAAGGAAAATTATGTTAGCTCACCTTAGTGATAATGTCTTTGAAGTGTCCCTCTCTCCAGGCCTCAGTCGGATGCTGCATCATGGTGAGAGCAGCGTTGTCGTACTCTTCGTATTTGTCGTAAAGGAACACAAGCTCCGACCATAGATGCGCATGTTCGGCAGCGCGAAGCACCTAAAATACAGTATACGTGAAGATTTTATACCGGTTGTGAGGTATATAATGTAGAAATAAATATATAACAATCATGGAAATAATAAATTAAAATAAATACCATTATTTTTTTTACCATGCCTGAGCATTGCATTAATACTACGAAAATAATAAATTTTAAACACGTCAATGAAAATGTTATTAAGAATAAGTTCCGCAAAAAGTTGTTAAATCTTGCAAAGTAGCGTATTGCTAGTTTGCATGTGTTGTAAATGTGTTAGGTAAGGTTAGGTTTTATTAGAACAACTTGACTTATTACCCATATCAGCTTTAAGGACCGCTAAAGATTATCATCTTCCGTTCCAACAAAACATATTCCTCTGAAAATCGCTGCCCAAATTAACTGGTTTTAAGTTTCATTGGGTGCATGTATTTTATAGAATTTCTAATATTATACTTTAATTAACACATCAAAAGCTACATATGGTCTCTCATAGTAATACTTCTATCATGTTGATATTGCAAATCAGTATTTGATTGAATAAATAAAGTATGTACATTAGTTTATCATTTCTTTAGATAAAATTTTTCCTTGTAGTCTCAACATTATTTACAAACTTGTAGGCTACAGAAAACAACATTAAGTTTAAAATTGATCAAAGCATTGTGCTTTTAAGACCACACTATTAAATCATAGTGTTTGTCAATGGTCTAATGAATCGATTCGTATTTGATTCGATTTTAAGTCGTTTATTCACAGGAGTTTTTTAAAACAATTTATCTACTAACATTTAACTTTTCGATAGTATATATTGTTTGAACAGTTTTAGAGATCTGTTTTGGTATCTCATGCTCGCTATTACTAAAATTAATTTACAAAATTACCTTAGGAATATTAACTCGTGACCAGAATAGCTCGAGATGTTCCCTCATCTTAGATGTCTTGTACTTAGAGTACAAGATGGCCAGCTCTGTGAACATTCCCATATGTGCCCGCTCCAGGCCTAAGGCAGCTTCCAACAGACTTATCAGCTCATCGAAGTGACCTCGGTCCTAGAAGGTAAAGTATAGAATAAATAACAAACGTTTTTTAGACAACCATAAAATTTATTTTACAATTTATAAATTAAAATAACACGTGAGTCACGCATCTCTATGCATAAGGTTTATGTATTACTTCAGCATTTTATACTGGTTGTTCCAAAATATTAAAAAAAACCTAGTGATCACTGATTTATTAAAATAAACTGTAGTAATGCTTGTACCGTATAACATCATACCTGGTAGTAATTAATCAGGTCCTCCAGCTCATCGGCGTGAACGACAATATGGAGACCACACATCTGGGCAAGACGGAATTCGCCCGCGTCCACACACGCGAAGCAAACCTCTTTCCATGTGCGAGTCGAATTGGCTTTGCGGGCGCCATCCACGGCACCTATTTTATATAATTATTAACATTCATATCGAAATAATGTCTTTTGTTACTGTAACAATCTAAGAAAAAACTGTCCATTTTAATTGATACTTTATTATGTGATTTTTCTCAATATAATTATTTTAACCATAACGAGTAAAAAATATCTTAAAAGATAATATACGAAAAGCTAAAAAGACATCTAATATATAAAATTCTCGTGTCACAATGTTCGTTCCCGTACTCCTCCGAAACGGCTCGACCGATTCTTATGAATTTTTTTATGCATATTCAGTAAGTCTGAGAATCGGCTATCTTTAAAATCCCTAAGTGATAAAAACCCCAATATTTTTATTTTATTTTTTGGACAATTTTTTTTTGTTTTTATTTTATTATGATACAGCATACAAAAATACATACAACCCCTAATTTTGACCCCTCTTCGATCAACCCCTTTTTTTTTATAGTAGATAGTTATTTTTATTGAACTAAAAAATGTTTCCTAGAAATAATAGGGGTCAGCTAGTATTATGTAAATATTACAAACCTTGGAACTCCTTCAAATGAACAAGAGTGATGGCGAGTCGGGCAAAGTTGCTGACATTGTTGTAAAGCAGCTTAGCAGCATTATACATTTTGTCGTCGAAGCACCTGTCTCCAATCTTCTGGATGTCAGCATGGTTCGGACCAGAGATAAACTCTTCCAGATCCGCCAGGCGACCGGTACGGGCGTATGCGTATATGAGCTCTGATTCAATGTAAGATTCGCGAGCCTTTTTGCGCGCCATCTGTTAGAGAAGTTTAGTATAAGTTGCTGAATTTATTTCGTAGTTTCCGATATGAGAGGAAGTTCTGTATTCAGTTGTCATGAATAGTCATGTTTTGCATAATTTAATAATTTTCGGGCCTACATTCCTAAGAAGTTTTAATGAAATGACTAAAGCTAGCATAATAATGGCAATAATAGTTTTATGTGTCTCTGTTGACTTTTATATGTTAATCTATACACAATAAAATGAATTGTAAATAGGTAACTCATTTTACACAACATATTAAATATATATAATTTGTCAATAATCTTTAAATTACCTGCAAGTAGCGGACGAGATCGTCCCAAGATTGTTGGGCACTGGCCGTAGCGACGACGTCCATATACGCCGACGGGTCGTCGGCCTTTATGTAAGAGTCAATCGCTTCCTTCACCAGACCTTGTTGTAACTGAGCTTTGGCTAGTTGAGACCAAACTCCGGGCTCATTGCAACGCTCAGCAAACTCGTAGGCACGTTTGAGGTCTTTGACTTGTTCGATGAGGACCTATAAATGTATTCTGAATAAATGGCTTTTATTTATAAACTAGGTGGCGGTTTTGTCTTAATACCAATCGTAATTAATGGTGATAAATTAAAATTAAAGATTTTTGTTTTTAGCTTACCTCTAGATGGAAAATTATTAGTATTGGGGACTGTTTGTACCCAATACTAATAATTTTGAGATAATACATTTAGATTTTTAGATATAAGATTACATAAGAATTAATATTTGTTTAATTAATTTCTTCCATACACATCAGCAAAAATTTCGAAATGTGTATTTTTATCATAAAATATAAATTATTCCTTAACCAATCGACACTTTCAAATTACTAACCTGTATGGCTGATGTGTTGACATCAAACTTCTTGAAGATAGCGAATGCCTCCTCGTACAGTTCATTGTTGATGGCAATATTCGCAATATCCGGTGCGTCGTAATTGTCCAGACGGTTGATGTATTCCATAACACGGGTTCGATCTGCCTTTATTGCTGAAATAAAAGGTTTTTATTTGTAGTAATAGAAATAACAGATTGCCGCGAAAAAAAAATTGAAAACCTATTAAGCCAACCCAACAAAGGTATATTATATGTACATTTTACCTTTGTAGGTTTGTCTTAATAAAAAATATAATTACGCGTACGTTACGTTATTAATAGGCCAATAGGCCACGGCTAAAATGTTTAAAATTACATTATTAAGTAGTCTAAGTACGTAAGTAATGAAGATTTGTGGCACAATAAAATACATCAAATAAAGATTTTGTTTGTAAAAATTAATATAATTTCTTATAATAATTATATTTTCAGCTTTCAGTACCACAACTGTTTTTTTGATTTGCTATTATCTTGTTGCATCTTACCTGTTAAAATGAGCAAGTTCTGCAAGTTCCTGTGGTCAGAGAACACAGAGTTGTCAAGCACAATTTTCTCAAGTAACTCAATAAGTTCGTTTGGAAGGTCAGCTGTCATGAAGGCCTTCACTGTTACTGAGATGTCCTCGGGATCTTGAGTTTCAGATAGGGCTGTCTGGACAACCTGCAGCAGATAGGTGGATTTATTTATATAATATACATACATATAATTATAATTCAGTGGCGCTACAACCCTATAAGAGTCTTGGCAAATTCATAAGTATTAGCCTACTTTCTGTGTCTGACTGACGACGGAAAAAATAAGATGCTAGCTTTTACAATTTATTTTCAAAACAATAAATATATATCAATATCATAAGGAGCGTTCAAGTATTACGTAACGAATTTTGGGGGGTGTTCTTTTGTAAAATTTTATTATTTTTGACTTTTCAGTACTTTACACCACATAATGGTAAGTTTTAGGTATAAGGTCACTAGGTGGTTACGAAACGTTTTACTATACTTGGGTACAGAAAAACGTTACGGCGCGATACATGGGGGGAGTCAATAATCTCCAAAAATTGCGTAACGTAATACCTGAACGCTCCCTAAGCATCAAGTAGTTTACTTTTCTTCTTAATTCAAATACGTTCAGAAATTATACAACTCTCAAATATAACTCTGAAAACAGTACAATACCTGATCGATTAGCTGTCGCTTGAATGGGTTGCTCTCGCTGAGCACTTCCAACCAGAGATCCTGATCTCTTCGGCGCACCAAGTACCGCGCCTGAGTCTTGAACAGAGAGTTGTCGTTGCATACGGCGATGAGTTCGCGATCGCATTGCCCGCGTTCGTATGCGACGCACGCTAAGTGCGGGTCGCGCTTCTCGCAGTAGCGTCCTACTACGCGTGAATCGTACCTGAATAATTATTTATATTTTTTAGTATTCTTATCGCCAGTTATAATAATAATAGCTATACAATTACGATATACATAATTTAAACACAAACTAAACACACATACTTCTAATTATGAAACGGCTTTATACGTTAAAAAACAAAAAGCTTAAATGAACCATTATTTACCATTGATTCTCCTTGAGGAATCTCTCAGGGTTATTGTTAGAGTCAATGTAGATCTTGGCGAGCGCATTGTGCGTGGCTGGCTCGTTGCATCCCTCGTGTACTCGTGTCTCCAACCAGGGTAAAAGTAATTTCAATCTGTAAAAAATATAAGTTTAAAAAAGAAATCGCCGAAATTGGACATAACTCTATTTAAAATAATTATAATTTTAATATTTTTGATACAAATTATAACATTCTATGACAATCAAGTAAAAATTACGATATCCCCATACAAACAGTCAACTACATTCTCACAAAGTTTACCTAACACAAAATGTCCAAACCTGTTTCTCTTCTCAACTTCAGCGACAAGTTCATCAGTGGAGAATTGTCCTCGCACCACGAGGATCAAATTCTTGATAATGTCTTCCGCGCAGTCCACGTCTAAGAGACCACCCACAACGACTGGCAGACGGGATGGGTTCACCTGTTACAAAAATGAAAGGGGTACTATTTTTTACCTTTACCTTTTCTCAATTCCATAAATACCTCCAAAAATTATAGACCACAAGCCCATGAACAAAAAATACCTGTGAAATGACCCAACGTGAATTACGCTTAGAAGGCTGTTACTATATCTGAAAATAGCTCTGAGCACTATGCCGTCATTTCTGAGCGGTACATGTGAGTACGTGAGTGAATGGACTTTCTCATGTACAATGGGGGAATTTCGACTAATTATTAAAGTACGGCTTTGTTATAAGTGTATAGATGATTAAAAATAAATGTCGAAAAACCTAGTGCCGTACAAAAGTGATGGTGCCGGAAGTCGGTGCAAATTTTTAATTCGACGACAGTTGCAGGAGCAATATAGGTCATTTATTACTGTACGGCATTTGTGTCATTCCTTTTGGACACATATACAGATACTTTACCCGTAAACGCCGTACATATTCCCAGCGGAGCGGTCGAAAGCCAAGGGTCGCAACATATGTCTGATTAGCATATAGGTGATGATGATATGAATCAACATAAAATTAAATGATCTTGAGAGTACTTCACAAATAGATAACATTTTCCAGCATGCCGTACATTTTTGTGGAACACATAGGTGTATGGGGCAAATTACTTTTCTCAGAAAAGAGTCATTTTCCGGTGACTTTTATCTGTACGGCAATAACACAGGTTATTAATACTTTAGACAATCTTCAATAAAAGATAAATGCCGTACACTTTCGATAGTCCGCTACCACCGCCTACCAATACAGGGCGTCCCAAAGTTATGGGAAATGAAGGGAAAGTACCTTAAATATCGTAGATAGGGTATTTTACTAAAAGAAGACTTTATGTTATTTTTAAAAGTTATTAATTCTGCATTCAAAGATTTTTTAAAAATTACTTGCCTCGTCTGGGAATCGAACTGACTTAAATGTAAAAAAAAACACCCCTACTTTTATGATGCCAATCGAAAGAATGGCCAAAAACTAATAACTCTTCTTAAGTAACATAGTATTTTAAAAGAAAGGAACAGCGTGAATATATCTTTTAATCAAATTAAAAACATTATCTATCGTATTCGGCCTAAAAAAATCCCCTACGAGTCTGTTACTTTAGAAAAGTTATTAGGTTTTGGCCATTCTTTCGATTGGCATCATAAAAGTAGGGTGTTTTTTTTAATTTAAGTCGGTTCGATTTCCAGACGAGGCAAGTAGTTTTAAAAAAATCTTTGAATGCAGAATTACTAACTTTTATAAATAACATAAAGTCTTCTTTTAGTAAAATACCCTATCTGCGATATTTAAGGTACTTTCCCTTCATGTCTCATAACTTTGGGACGCCCTGTATTATATATATTTTTGTTAAAAATATTTTTCCTTTACCTCTCTCTGCTGGTACGATAAGGCTGTAAATATACTTTACAGCCTTATGGTAGTATACTCAGATATGTACAGTTATTAATGACCTTAAGGGACACCTCAAACGTCGTCGAAGTTTTTATCAGCTGTAAAGAATAATCTGGAGTAAAATGTACGGCATCTGGTTTTTTTGTTTATTTATATTTGTTACATATAAAATAACAATAATCTTTGAAAATATTACTCCCCATATTACTCTAGGAGCATTTGAAAAGTCATCTAAATTTCGGAAATTTCATATATTTTTATCATAATATTTTTATTTGTTACCATTTATAATGAACGGCTATAATGTACAACGGTAATATTTAGTAACATTATGTAAAAAAACAAGTTGCCGTACATTATTCTCTGATCTTACAGCAGTAAGAATTTGGTAAATCCTGAAATTTCGATAAATATTTAATTACACAAATATTAACTATATTATTTGGACGGCATAATTATAAAACATTATTGTCCGTGTTAAATAATATTTTGAACATGTTGCCGTACATTTTACAATGACCTTAGGGTATATGGGTGTAGGGGTAGGGTTCCGACCCTTGGCTTTCGACCGCTCCGCTGGAAATATGTACGGCGTTTACGGGTAAAGTATCTGTATATGTGTCCAAAAGGAATGACACAAATGCCGTACAGTAATAAATGACCTATATTGCTCCTGCAACTGTCGTCGAATTAAAAATTTGCACCGACTTCCGGCACCATCACTTTTGTACGGCACTAGGTTTTTCGACATTTATTTTTAATCATCTATACACTTATAACAAAGCCGTACATTAATAATTAGTCGAAATTCCCCCATTGTACATGAGAAAGTCCATTCACTCACGTACTCACATGTACCGCTCAGAAATGACGGCATAGTGCTCAGAGCTATTTTCAGATATAGTAACAGCCTTCTAAGCGTAATTCAGGTTGGGTCATTTCACAGGTATTTTTTGTTCATGGGCTTGTGGTCTATTACGGCTGCTAGTTTTCATAATTAGCCAAATTATTTTAAAAAGTATTAAATATCTAATAGTAATAAGCAATGTATGTATGTATGCAGTTCACTAGTGTTGTAGAAATTTTGATAGCTTAATATTTCTTATGAAAGATTATTCAGGGTCATTTATGTAAGATTTCATTGGTTTTAGAGACTTTCTGGAATAAGTTATTTTTGCGTCCTTACATACCTTTTGCACGTAGATCTCAATGTACTTCTGCAGACTGTTTCTATACAAATATAGCACCAGGTCGTGAACAAAGTCGAATCTGTCGCAGACAATGATGAGCGGCAGTTGGTCGGGTAATTTTGCTTCCTTGAGGAAATTCTTGACGCGTTCAGCGTTGTAGCAGTTCGATTCCCTGCAGATACGTTCGACCTCTTTGATTTGACCCGTTTTACAGGCAGCCTGAAATATTTTTTTTATTTGTAAAGATAATGTCCATAAATGTCTCCAAATATCCATAATATAGCTCTATAATATGTAGAAAGTGGTTATTAAGCTAAAATATCGAAAATTTCAAATTAAATATTTTTTTAACTTCAAAAAAAGAAAAAGAACTCTTCAAGTTTAATTTAAATATGTTTATAAATGTTATCAATTGGGCAACAAAATCTATTTGGGTTAAAAACATAAATTTAAATTACCTGAATATACTTGAAGTGAACTTCCGAATCCTGGCTAAAGTTGACAATGGATCCCAAAAAGTAGAAAAGGCCTTCATACGTCTTGAAACTCTCGAACAGTTCTATGAGAGCCTTGGTGGTCAGTTGTTCGTGGTACTTGGTGGCAATTTGTACGCAGATTTGGAGGTTTTGACGAATGTTCGCTTGAAGCATAGCCTTGAGGCATTCAAGGGAGTCCTCCACTGACAGAGTGCCGAAGTAATTGACCAGCCAATCAGCAGACAGCAGATGTGTGTGAACCTAAATTAAATAAAACTTTATATTAATAAATTATATTTAGCTAAATTTAATCATTATAGACTTTCTGTGCCATTTTCTTCTGTATGTTTTCCTTAGAAATCTCTTGGTACAATTGGGGTTCTAAGAACAAGCTCAGTTCAGGTATGCAATGGTTGATTAAGTATATCATTTTCAAAATTAAACACCTTAACAGGTTGGGCAAGATTAAAAAAAGCGTGAAATTTATTTTAATGAACGTAACCGTTATTCTGAGTATCCATATAATGTAAAATATCTATTAAATAAAAAATAAAAATAAAATAAAATATGTTTATTATGGAACATAAGATACATGTATCACTTATTCCACGTCATTAAATTTGAAGGCATCCCTACTCATCGGCAAAGAAGACAGAGGGTGTAGGCCGAGAGTAAAAGCCGGCGTAAAAAACTCTCGGTACTCTTTTAAAACAGCAAATCATCAAACAACACTTATTTAAAACAAATATCGCAAATTAATTAGAAGTAGCCTGTCTAGCACTAGTCCCAGGCCCTTTTATCAACTAGATAATCGTTGACTTTATAGTAAGCCTTTTTACACAGCTTTTCTTTAATACATTTCTTAAATTTATTGAAAGGCAGTGATAAAGAGCCTCTGGGATTTTATTAAAGAAGAGTATCCCTTTCCCCAAAAAAGAATTACTAACTTTAGATAGTCTAGTACGGGGAAATTGCAGCCTGCGTTTGTTCCGTGTATTAACATTGTGCGTATGTTCTATTCTAGTAAACTTATCACTATTTTTGTATACATACATAATATTTTCATAAATATATTGCGAGGGAAAGGTAAGTATATTAATTTCCTTTTATCTCTAAGAGATTCCCTACATTTTAAATTATAGATTGCACGAATAGCCCTCTTCTGCAGGATGAAAATAGTTTCGACATCAGCAGCATGACCCCATAATAATAAGCCATAAGTCATTAAGCTATGAAAGTAACTAAAATAAACAAGTCTAGCTGTATCGACATCAGTTAGTGAGCGAATTTTTTTAACCGCGTAGGCTGCAGAACTAAGTCTCTTCGCCAATCCGTTAATATGAGGGGACCACTGAAGTTTTGAATCCATGGTGATTCCGAGAAATACAGTTGTATCATCCAGATTCAATTCCTCACCGTTTATAATTGGTCTAGTATCCATAACCCTTGCATTTTTTGCACAAAATTTAATGCATTTTGTCATTTTTGCATTAAGTAGAAGGTTATTCATACCAATGGACAATCGAAGACAGAGCATTGTTCACATCGTCAAAATTTGTTATTTGTCGTTTGATTTTAAAAATCAAGGACGTGTCATCAGCAAACAAAACTATCTGATGTTTTCTCTCTACCATGAAAGGTAGATCATTTATACATTAGATCATCATATTATACATTATATGGTGTGGTCCCCCCCCCTTAAAGTGGGAATAATAAGATTTATTATTATATTATTAATTCATAATACATACCACAGCTCGCTTAATGTCATACAAATCGGTGTAATGCTCAAGCGCACGTTGCAACAGTCCAGCCTTTTCGCAGAGTTGGGCGACGTGTGCGCGATCGTAGTGCGTGAACATTCCGTTGCCAAGAATCGCGTCTGCTACTTGAGGTGCTGACATTAAGTTCATTTCGAGAAGCCTGAAGAAGGGAAACATAATTAATGATAGATGCAAGTGGAACTATGTAAATAATTTTATGCAGACACAGCTTGAAAAAATCGTTATATTTATAGGTTGATGTTTCTTTTCTGGTAAATGACACAATTATAATAATGATGCAAGCACAACTCAACCCACATATTTTTTTAAATATTATTTATTATACAGATTAACTCTTGTATTACATTTATATTAATGAACTCTTTCGTGAATTTAGCATATAAAATTAAAAATTAAATTACCGTGTCTGGAGTGGACCTTCCTCGGGCTTGTTGTTTTTGAGTGCATCTAGAAGGAACGCAGTGCACTGCTGAACCATATTCTGTTCCATGAAGACATCGACAATCTGATTAATGTCAGCTAGAGGAGGGTCTTCAGCTACCAGCATACCGGCGAACCCTGCACCTTGTTCCGGACTTGTACGCATTACTGATCGTAGGAGATAGATGTAATCTGGGGTGTAGCCCACCTGGAATAAAAAAAAATTATGACAGAAAGAACAAAAAATTAATTAGTATGTGCTCTACTATCTGGAGACTCTAAGTTAAATATCTGGCGAAACGTAAGCACTGAAGCGGATCAACTACTTTTCTATAAATTTTTTTTTTAAACACGTATATATGTAATTGCCCAATTTTGTCATCATAAAACACCATAAAAAACTTTACTATGGCTTTTATTACTGGTAAATGCTACAATTACAAAGTCAGTATTTTTAAACATACTAATCAACATATAATAATTCCAATCATTTACTTTTTTATTAAAAAATACGTAATAAAAAGCGAGAATTGACAAACCTTCTTGGCATAAAGGACGATTTTCTGGAACTGCCCAGTTTCAGCAAAGCAAGCGATGACTTTGCTTGCGACATTCGCCCGGAGATACACAGACAACGCTAAGGTTGGATCCACCTGCTTTACTAAATCTCCCAACTCTTCGGAACACTCCAGTTTTTCCTCTTTCAGCCATTTTTCTAGGAGCTGCTTCCGACCTGTGTAACGAATAATTAACAAATGAACTCTGAGCAAATAACGCGCCGATATTTAAATACGATTCACGAAATAAACAAATGTCAATAAATTTGAGTAAATATTTAGGATCAAACAGTTCAAGTTTATTCATTAAATTTGATAAAAAGTTGAACGGACAACGAAGCATGATAAGATAGTAAGTGCATGATTAATTTTTCCTGGTACACACAAACATTCATACATTACAGATTAGAATCATAAGTAAAATTAATCGAATATCCAACACAAAATATTTTTTCAGGGACTAGTAGATCTGTAGTTATATTTAAAAAAAACTTTTAGTAATGTAATTTTGAGAAGATTTTAAAAAATTCAATTACATTTAAATAATCAATAAGATTTATGGGTTAAATCTATTATAAATAATACTATATTCTGATGTCCATGCTATAGGAGTCCTTTTTTGTTTTGTTTACTATCCAATACTAACATAGCAACTAAGACCAAATTGAAAGTATCTCTAACTAAAACTACATATGGATATATTCTGAAATATAACATATATACATAGAATATACATTACTTCTAAAGTAAATTTTAAAAAATATTGGTTTATAGTATATATATTATAGTGACCCAATAAGACAACATATATTGATATAATTTACCTTGCAATAGAACAGGACGGCACAGTTCAAGCGACTCAAACTTGTTTAACTGAGCCTGATCCAGCAATATACCAAAGTACTGCAGCAGCGGTGAGGTTTGACCAGGCTGAGTGGGCACTTGTTGGAAACGCTGAATTGTTTGTGGAGTACGTAGGATACCACGGGGTGCCATAGCTGCCACCTATTAAATATTTTTATTATTAAACTATACACTCAAAAAACTCAAGTATAAGCAATATCAAAACTCATGTCTGAAAATCTTTGTATATGTAAAATTAATATGTTCAATAACTTTCTAAAGAATGACACAAGTATGGTAAATAGTTATAATACGTCACCTTTGCGGCCTCTCCATATTGTCCATTAGTGAAGAGCATATTGAATTTCCTCACAAAAAGATCTTCAGCGCCAGCCAAATTGTTTCTTACAGCTAGACGAAGGGCCAAATCAGGGTTTTGTAGGACAGTATTGATGTATGGGACTATGGAATCCTCTTCTACAGTGACAGATAGAACCTGACCTTTGCGGTTTACACCTATAATAACATTTTATATTTAGAACACAAAATACCGTAAATTTTATTTATATAGAAACTTCATAATACATAGATATCTGAATACTGTGCAAACTTAAACTAATATAAAACTTACATATGAAGTAAACATACCAATAATCCCTCCAGTAGACTCGTGAGGCGCAGTCACAAAGATCGTATCAGACGAGATGCGGTTCATGTAGATACAGGTCCCAGATTCAATGTCATACATATGGATGTAACCATATTTAGTGATGAGGTAGATCACATCATATTTCGGGGACACCTGCATAGCCACTGGGAAGTCGTTCTGTGCCTCAGCAGGGAAGAAGACGTCAACAGCTTTTTTGTGGAATGCTGTATTACCTGCTGGCGGCTGACCCACCTCTGCAGAAAAAAATATCAATTGTACGAATAAGCTTGCGAATATTGCTAATTGATTCAAGTTTGATATATATATATATATACAGTGTCTCAAGTGTTTATAACGAATTTCAAAAGGACCTAGCATTTTTTTTCGTTACAGAGACTTTTCGTTATATATAAAAAATTTTTTTAACAATTTACAATAATTTCTAATTTTATTACTATCAATAGTTAAATTATTATAAACGCATATATTCTGTTAACTATGCCTGACGTGTTTTGCAATTATGTTTATTTGGCGAGACGGCTGTTTGTGACCTCAGGTGTCTTTCTTAGAAATTTCGGCACATCAAGTTTAGTTTTGAAAGGTGATTATAAAAATAATTACACTTAAGTATGTTGTTGATGTCTAAATATGAAAATATTTTTTCGTACAGAGTGGCTGTTATAAAGAGTGTATTTTTGGTTTTGTGTTAAACCATACAAATATCTCATAATCGTTATAAAGAGTTTACACTGTATATTTTGTCTACCCTACGGAATCTGCGAATATAGGAGGCTTCTAATATATATAAAAATATTTAATAATGTATAGAAATCTTAACATACATATTTATTCACGTAATGTAATAATGAATACTGGACTGGACAGACGTTTCGCCGCAATTCTACCTGATGTTAAGTGAGATGCGGCCTATTTCACAAATATCTGGTTTAATCTGCTAATAAAAAAATAATAATAGTGCTGTTTTGTGTACAAATTCACCATCAACAATGTAGTCACATTGATGGAGAAAAAATTATCATTAGGTAGTTATTATATGCTACCTGTACTTTACTAAAACACAAAACCGACAAGTTCAGCTGTTCAAACACAAAGACAACAATACTTAATTGAATAATACACATATATTTAAACGTTGTGGTTCCACCTACATTAAATGAAAAAAAAAATTCAACCTGTATGTTTATTATTATAGTACTTTTTCATTATTAATCATAAAAAACATTCTTCGTGTGTAAGTAGAAATTTGAAGATCTTACCGATGATATGTAGTTTGCCACCCTGCGCTGTCCGTACAGCGAAACAGAACAGAGTAGAAGGTTCAGTGTTGCCTTCAGACTTGAAGGTGGCGAAAGATGCGGCGTGACCTTCTATCGGCTGCGAGCACTTACGTTCCACCGAGTACAGTTGCATCGCACCTACAACGCGGTTCTGTTGCGCTGATATACCTGTAAAACATATTTAAAATGTATTTAGAATCTATCATTATAGAGACTATTATTTATACTGTTCATAAGTGCTAATTAGAAATAAAGCCGTCTTAATAGCTTAAAATAAACAGAGGCAGCAACATATCTGCTACCTATCAAAATAAATAAAATAAATTTGAATAAACATAGCATAGAGAATTTCTAAACTTACCCACTAACAACAACCACTGTTGCTTCGGATCAGTTCTATAGTTGATAATCTGACACTCAGAAAGAGATGAGTGACGATCGAACATTTTCACAGGTTGTGAATCACCTTCCATCGACCAATGGTATACTGACATTTTGGTCACGAGTGCCAGAGTGTTTGGTGATATCCACTTCCAGAAAACGACGTCTTCGGTCATAGTGTGGGCTTTCATCTTTGACTTCATCTCGATGTTGAATATTTGCAGGGTCTTTTGCGCTGCTGGAACCGAATGAATACCTCGTTAAAGCAAAGCGTTAAATTTCATTGAATGGCTATTTGTCTAATGACTACAATCTTTGGAACTGAATTGCTAGTTTACAGATTAACATGGAATTAACTAATACCAAATAATAATAACTTCTAAGTTTGTCGAAACCTTTCAGTATTGTGACATGGTCAGGTAGCATACCAACAACAAATCATAGATCTATTTGACCAAACCCTGAATTTCAAAACTTTGTAGCGCCTTTTTTTATAAAAGAATACATTCAAAGTAAGGGTTCATTCGGATTTTATTAAACAGCTCTTTTACACTCTTTCTGAATGTACTATGAATAGTTAATGCGTGTCAAGGTTGCGTGTTATGACAACTATTCAAAACATTCTTACGTGAAGCTCTCTGATTCAATAAAAAATATAACGGTTGAGTAATTCTATGTTTGGCTCTAAATTTGTCTGATAACACTATGAACAGATGGACCAAGCAACATCTATTTCATTATTTTTAAAGGTGAAGTTGGCTTAAGACAATTACAATTTCCTTTTTAATAAGTGGTTTATGCTGTATTTTTTTATTTCTAGCATTTGTCCTCAAGCAATGTTGATCTTGCTTGAGGACAAACAATTTCAATCTAATCCATTTATTAATAATTTCCGAATCGCGATGTTATATTTAAGTTCAGGCATTCTTTGCTAAGCTATAGATTGTGTAAAACAATCGACTGTCGCTTTTCTTTATTAAGGTGATGAAAGAAAGACACGAAACATTTTAATTGAGAACCCAAATTTAACGATTCGAAACAAATGCAATATTCGAAATAGCTATTGCAATATTGAACGAATTGACGTTACATAACTCAGTTCGTGAGGAAGTTCTGTTTGCAAAAAACTCTATTTTATATTTGCATAATGTAGCAGCTTACAAACTAATAAAATATACAAAACGAAAAAAGGGTCATATAAGTAGAAAAGTAATTATGGAAACAAAACAAGGGGGCGTTGGTCATTGATATATTTATAAAGTTCCGTTGAATGATATGCTTCCGTGCGTTTATTTTAGCTTTTCATATAAAACTGTGGTCCATGATTCATCAAGTCAATGATCTAGGAATAATGACGTGATAAGATAATCCAATTTATTAGTTACTATATATACGTAGTCGGTCCCAAAGTTCTGTCATAAATGGAAATAATGATAAAAACAAAAGTACTGATCAGTTTGTAATGAGTGATATATCAATTCTTAGTACATTAATTAAGGAATAAAAAAGCATAAAAATATTCGAAATAACCTCCCTCATTTTTAATACAGGCCCTTAAGCGTCGCGGCCAGTCGTCTATCGCAGCACGCACCATATTCGTGTCGATTTCAGTCACTGGTTTTTTAAAGATGACTTCAGATTCTCCAAATTTTCATGAGGTTTATCACAGACCTTCCTCTCTAAGCCCTGTCATAATTTTCGGGTCCAAAGGATTAAGGTCCGGACTGGAGGAAGGCCAATCCTCATGTCTAATTAAGACGATGTTTTGACGCTCAAACCAGGCTTTAGTGGTCTTGGCTTTGTATGCAGACGCAGAGTCCTGCTGGAACACGAAGTGATGTCCCGCAAATAGGGTGCTGGACATGTCTTTGACAAGGCGATACAAAACCGTCTCTTGGTACACTGTAGCACTGGTTTTGACCCCCTTTTCGAAAAAATTAACCTCAGTTAGCCCGTAATAGGACACTCCCAACCAAACCATTACTGATGATGGATGATGTCCATGTTGCACCCTTTGAACTTTATTTTCAGCTTCTTCAGAACTCCTAGCGTACACTGTATAATTCTGTTTATTGTACTTCTCTTCAATATCGAAAAATTTTTCGTCCGTAAAGAGGATATCACGGTGTCGGTTTTTCGCGTACCGCTTAAACAACACCCGCGATCTCTTAAGCCTTATTGCTTTTAGACGAGCATTAAGTAAGTGCCCACTCTTTTTTGTATGCTCGTAGACCAAGATCTTCATTTAAAACCTTTTTTACTGTTTTCCTACTGACACCCATCTGCAAATCCATCAACTTCTGTTTTCGGACAGGATTTCTTACTATCCGCGCCTTGATAGCTTTGATTACTGCTGGTGTTCTTGCGGAGCGTGGCCAGCCAGTTCTTTTCTTGTCCTTAACACTGGAGACTTCAAGGTACCTATCAATAGTACCGTACACAAACCTAAGCGTTATATTCAAATTTTTGAGCAACTTGAAAATGGTACTCGGCGAGTGTCCACAGCGGTGCAACGCAATAACAACTATTCGGTTTACTTTCAATGTCCACTCCATCGTGAAAAATTACGGAAAGTTATTGTTTTTGTTTTAAAACAATAATCAAACATTCCAAAATAGAATGCAATATTTTTTTTATAAAATCCTGCTCGAAATGTAGAAATAATGTGCTAGTGACAGAACTTTGGGACCAACTACGTATATATAATATGTTGCATTTACTTGCAGTATCTATTATATTGTATTATAAAGTCTCCCTTGCTGCGTCTGTTTGTATGAATGCAAACAACTCAAAAACTACCAAACTGATTATTGTATGGTTTTCACCAATAGACAACGTGATTCCTGAAGTTTTAAATTATTTTATTAAGCTTTTGTGTAAATTGAAGAAAATTTATAGAAATATATCGATTCTAAGACGAAAAGAGTATAAAAAACAAGAATAGTTTTTTTTTTAATTTCTGTTAATATATCACAATTAATTAATGTTTTGTAAAATACCTAGTTTAAAAAACTGCCAACATGGCCAAGATTTTTATTTATTAAATATAACCTAGTCGAAGAAGATTACTTTTGTGTAGGAACTAAAGACAAAATCAGCAATGCAAGTATACAAAAAAACTATGTGCTGTCGGCGCCGCATTGTCGAGTGTTTATAGAATTTCTCTTACCCTTTTCTTTAGCTAGAAAATACATGGAAAAAAAACTATTTAAATAATCACTAGAACGGGAAGACCGTTCTTATCATCGCAAATGTTTACATATAGTGCTAAGAATATGACTCATAATACGTATTCATATTATCAAAGGTCAACGTGTCTATTTTTACGGTATTCTTATTTATTTACAATTCACGTTTATGGATATTATATTCCACTAAACATCAACTGATTTATAAGTACTAAGTCTTAATACAATATTTTGTTCTATTTAATTTAAAAGGATTAAATTACAACCTTTATTTACGTCTTTTGTTGAAGCATTTGTTTTCAACGAAAATTCTAATTATCAGACTAGATAACCAATTATTTGGAACATACAAAAAATAACGTATGTCTCGATATATGTAAACTATACGCACAACGGACTAAATGATCTTCTAAAACTAAAATACAGTCCTATTATAGAAATTTAAATTATTAAACATGGGTCAAACATACTTCATGCGTCATTGTTTTGTTAAGGTTATTAAAAATTCTTCATGAATAAATTTATAATTTCACCTGGACTCGTAACCCGATTTGCAATAAAATCCGCATTATGCGTAGTCCCCGCACTACGTCATTACACATTTGGCTTTGTGCCTACGCCCTCTTTTTTGATCTACCCCTAATGTGTTGGCGTACACAGTAGTGGGCGTTAAAATAACGATCAAGCTTATAATTAGTTAACAACTAACCTATAAAACTCATGAAACTTTTAAATTCATAGATGCCATATTATACTAAACAACCAAATTACAAAGTATGATTTTCATCAACTTGGATTTTGGTTTTATGAAAAATCTTTCCAAACGTTTAACTGTCCTTCGAAATTAGACAAAAACATAATTTTGGCAGGCTATCAATAATAATCATTATATTAAGTTGTGTGCCAACAAAAACTATGTACATTGGTGTGAAATTGAATTTGACTCAATATTTTTTTATTTGACATGTATTACATTATTCCAAACTGAATTTCTTTATTACCTTACCTAAATGAACAATTCTAATAAGAGTGTGTATTTACTATTTAGGAACAATACCTGTAGGTTTGTAATTTTTTTTTTACATTTGTAATACTTTCTTGGAAAGTAATAACTATTGCATCAGATTTTTAGTCTTAATGGAAACTAATAAGTCAGGGTTTTTAAGTTCAAATCACACAAACACAGATAATTACTAATATTTAGTAATAGTACAAATTTTTTGAAAATGCTTGTATTATTTAAATAAACAACAAACCTATAATCTGAGTACACCAATCAAGTGTGTAACTAAACTCTTCTTACAACACGGCTGAGGCAAAAATAATAATTTTGAAATTCCAGATTTAAATCACAGCAAAAAGAAATAAGCTAGTTATAACTTAGCACCTGCTTATCAATCAAGAATTATGAGTAATAATAATAATTATAATAAAAAATTCGTAAAGCTAATACAGAGTGTGTTAGCTAGTCACACCTTATTAGAGAATAGATTTGTTTTTATATAAATATAATAATGTCCAAATTATCTGGGTTCTAACCTTCCACTCCAGCTTTTCCTTTAAGAGCAATAACTTTGCTGGCTGGGTTCATGATTGCAGAATCGGCAGATATTGGTCTTCTAATTGGATTTGTAGGGTCGCCCAAATCAATAATCACTACTTCTGAAGTTTCACCAACTTTCTCACGGACACAGATAAATTTGTCTGACTCCATTGTGAGTGTATTAAAGGATATGGAGGCTGGGTTGATCCCAATATTTGTGAGCTAAAACAGGAATATTCATAACAATTTTACTTATTATTTATAATTAAACATTTAGAATAAGTTTCACATAATGTTTGTATGAGACAAACATGATGTGAAATGTTATGTTCTAGTAATATTTTTAAAAATGTAACTCTTCTTCATTGATGATAAAATTTCTAGTTACACCCAGATATTTGGTACTATGCTATTTCCTAGCATGTTATATATTCATAAATGTAAATTATTGTTGTTCTTTTATCTGTTCAGTATGTTTGTTAAAAATAATATTTATAATCATACATAAAGTTAGGTATCATATAATTTTAATTATGATTAAATATTTGTTTAAACTTAAAACTTTATAATTCAAATGTAAGTAATTAATAATAGCAATTATAATTATTAATCTTTGTTAGAAATATAACTATAACTATTTATATTAACTATACATATTTAACATTACTTATTTAATACCAGATAGTATCATATCATACAAAAAGGTTTTTTAGTTAGGGAATATACATAAATAATTAGACAGATCAAGGCTTCTTTTCACCCTTTTGCCTTCATGAGTCATTAAAAAATACCATCTTATAAGAAACAATGGGAAATTTTCATTAAGCAAAATAAAATTACCAACCATAACAATTAGTGGTGTACATAGATAGATAGTATTATTAATTGTATCATTAAAGATTTACGGAAGCAATTAGAATATTTATTAGATAAATACATTTATCATATGATCAGTAATGTGGAACAAATCAATACCGGCGAGTCGTAGGGGGTGGTAGATATCCAATTGCGCAACGTCAATTTTACTATCACTTCCTACTCTTCAGACAAAAATAACTACAGGACAACATGAAAAACCTTAGTGGGATAACTTCCTTTCATTCATCAACCACAATCATAGAATCTAATAAAAAGCGATGGGCGTACTCACCTGTAAATGCTCCTGAAAACGTATTGGTAATACTTGAGCCATGTTTGCTTTTTACTTTAAGCTTAATTATACCGAATATCCAAGCAAGCGATCGTCCAATATCGCAGAGTCTGAAATTTTAACACAATTTCAATATCACTGTCTCAAGACGATTCTAATAACACCTTTGACAATCAACATGGCGTTCATTCATGTTTCAATGGAAAATTTGAAAGTGGTCAAAATACATGAGCTGGAACCATAACAGGCCGAATTGTTACTCACTATTTAAATTTACTTCTACATCAAGAAAAAAATTTAAATTTACAGATATTATCCAGAATGAAAAAAATATGAATAATACACCGCGGCTGCCACATACACAAATGAATGAAAGAAAATGAAGCAAGAATGACTATCGAGTGAGTATAGACTAGCACGAAAAAGACAAAGACAGCATCACAAAAGTGCTGACCAATCAATTTATGGAATCAATGGAAAAAAATTAAATACCTGTACCGGTAACAATAATGAATTTGTAATTTAAGTCGTTAGCTTTATTTATTTATTTATTACTAAAAGCAAGTAATATAGTTACTAGGCCTTAAAATCGAAAAAAAAGTAATATTAGTAGAAGGATAGAAAGTAATATCATACAATTAGAGATCTACACAGATATAAAGAATAATGATGGATTTCAGAATGTTTAAACGGTTAACGGATTAAAAGAAGCAGGAAGTCTTTAACGCGATACCAAACATTACGTATTAAGTATGGTCTATTCCAAAATAATCTAAAAAAGTTATCAACCTTGTACGTTCTACCAAACTCTTATAATCAGTCTATCTGAGCAATAAATGTAAAAATAACATAATTTATTATTATTTGTTAAACAATAAACTTATTGAAACAAACTGTCCATACTTGGGATATACTGGTAGTCTTAGGAAACAGCTCAATGTACAGTCGCCGATACTGTTACCGTTATTGGAAAATAGTCTCAGTTCTTCTCTCTGTACCTCTTCGCATTTGATGATACGTACCTCTGAATCAGTGAATGCATTTTTTCTATGGTAATTTTGATACCAAATACCGCATCGTTAGGGCTTGTAAAGCGTCAACCTTCACCTCAACGATTATTTTGGGTTCTTGGAAATAAATGAAAGTAGAAGAGTGCCAGGTCAGAGCAATATGGCTACTTATTATCACGACACCTGCCATATTATGTTTTCAGTTGCTAACGCTAAGTTTTAATTTGCCTATGGCTACAAGCCCTGAAAGGCTATCAATCGATCAATGTGATAAGCAAGTGGCTAGTCGGCAAACCAGAGGAGATAGTACACAAGTATTTTCTATTGTACTTCAATCTAGCATCTTTAATCATAAACGTTCATTCCAAACCTTATATTATCATCTGATTCAGGCATTATTTTGTTTTTACTCTACTATTATACTCTATATTTTCACTTGTCAGTTGTCAAATATTTACAAATTGCCATCAGCTGTTTTGACTTTGCAAATTGCGTTTGCACTTTGCATGAGTTGCGTTTATTTACAGTTTTGAGATTTCATTGTTCCGTTTCTAAAAATAAACAAAAAAAAATGGTAAATTCTACATAAACTATTTGGCTGAACTCGTTACTTCAATGTATTCATGTATTTCATTATATTTAGTTTCAGTTTGGATTCAATATGTTTCACGAAATAGGAAGATCTTTTAATATGACCTACCGATGTTATTCCGTCTCCATGTTACCAGGAAATGAGAGACAAGATGTTGAAAGGGGCGGAAAAAGTTAGTAATTATTAACTTTTTACGCATTTGGCAAAAACCTAAAACTGATGCAACACTGTAACTTGTCTTATATTGACTGATTTTTTTTAGTTATAATGCCTCCATCAGCATTAGAACAACTAACTCGTCTTAATATTGAGTACCCAATGATATTTAAGTTGACAAATAAAAAAACGAAAAGGATCACACATTGTGGTGTTTTAGAGTTTGTTGCAGATGAAGGGAGAGCCTATCTACCTCACTGGGTATGATGAATTTTAATAAGATTAAATATAAAAAATCTGACCTGTTTATTGGTATAGACTTTCCACTTCATATAATATATGTTTGATTCTGCAGATGATGACAAATTTAGTACTAGAAGAAGGTTCATTATTACAAATAGAAAGTGTATCTCTACCTGTGGCTACATTTTCAAAATTTCAACCCTTGTCTGAAGATTTCCTTGATATATCAAATCCCAAAGCAGGTATATTATTATTAAGGTTTTATTAAAGCATGAATTTTGCCATTCTAAATTATAGAATTAAACTTTTTAAAATAATATTAGAGATGTTTATTTTCATATTAAAAATGTGAGAATACTATATATGGTATATACACCAACTTCTCTATAAATTGTTTCAAATAATTAGATCATGTCATGCGCGGTTGTTAAGACTTCTTTTGTAAATCTTGAATATTATTTTTATTAAACAATAGATAAAAATGATTACATTATTGTTATTTTTTCAGTGCTTGAAAACTGCTTAAGGAACTTCTCATGTCTGACAACAGGTGATGTGATTGCAATCAAGTACAATTCAAAGGTTTATGAGCTCTGTGTCTTGGAAACTAAGCCTGGTAGTGCTGTTATAATTATTGAGTGTGATATGAATGTAAGTTTACATATTTAGATGATATATTTTACATTAAATGTTTGTTATAAATTTAGAAGTATATTTTACTAATTATGTTAATGATGTAATTTACATTTTTGTATACATTAAACAACATACACTTTTTTTTAAATCTAGTTTGAAACTTTCAGGTTGAATTTGCACCGCCAGTTGGCTATAAGGAAGAGGAACATATTTCAAGAAATGATGGTAATGCTGACACAGAAATGGAGGAAGATAGTCAAGTTATGATGCCAGAACCAAGTGGCTTTATAGCTTTTAAGGGTGAAGGCAATAGATTAGATGGCAAGAAAAAAAAGTTAACAAGTGAGAGTGATTCAGAACCTCAGGCATCAGGTTCAAGACAGATGGTAATTAATTTATCAATATTAATTCAATATATCGCCAAATAATTTGTGACATTTCTTTGAAGTTTCTTGAAGTTAGCTTTCCATTATTTTATTCTCTATTCAAAAATTTTACTAGTTAAATTTTTGTTCATTATTTCAAATGTTACAGCCATTTGTACGTGGTATACCAGATTATGACTATGTGATTGGAACTTTAAAATTCATACGAAATTCTCGACCTTCAAATTCAAAGGAAGAAGCACCTGCAGAACCATTCCAAGCATTTAAAGGAGAAGGCTTTACATTAAGAACAGCTAAAACTAAAAATTGAATTTCTCTCAACAAGGATATCTATGTTCAAATGACTTCTTTTAGTCATAAATAATTGTCTGCATGACAAAACTTTTTAAATGAGTAAAATGTTACAAGTCAATTTATGTTTTATTAAATTATTATAGGTAAAATAAATAAGTAAAAAGTAATAAGACAAGTTTTATTGTTATTTAAATATTACAGTATTGCTTAAATTTTTAAATTAGAAATGCATTACGAAACATGGTTATAATACTGCAAAATAAGTTTGAAAACACATTGGTTTTCACCTCTTTTTTGTATTTGCCTTTTTGTTTAAGTTTGGCTAGCTATACATGAAATTAACAGTAACTTACCCAGGTAAACCATTGATATAACAAGAATATATTTTAATTTTAACCTACATTCTATTAGAATACTCTTATTGCCACCAAACAAATTAATTTAATACTTCAAAGATAGGCAGTATTATAACCTCCAGTCTTTATATGAATATTTGGAACTTAAATTAGAATCTCTTCAAAAATTCTTCAGAACAGATTCGGGCACGGGCATTTACAGCAAGTTTCATTTCACTTATCTCTTTATCAATTTCTTCCATAAAATATATTACAAAGTCAACCAATTTATGTTTATACATTTGTTCAGTGTGGAAATTTGTTATAAGGAAGCTGATATGGTATCCGTCCACCGGTTTCCGCCTTAATACGATAAAGTTTTCCGCTCTCATCATCATAAAACGCATAAACTTTTTACATAGTATCTTTTCTATTTCATCTGCTTGCTTGATCATTATACTGATTCTAATAGAATTTATTGATGACTCAATTAGCACTTTTTCATTGGCATTTCGAGAAATAATCACTGGGTTCAGTAATAATTCTTTGCTTGTACCCACTTCAACTTCGGGTTTATTGTACCTTTCTACGACTTGTGATGAAAAATGATCCAAACACATAGCCGATGTAAGCGTGTGTCGAACTGCCGTTAAATACGGTTTTAATGTGGCCGACATTATTTATACAAGTAATATCTTTGAGGACACCACACCTAGTTTAAATGAAATTATCAGTATTCACGATTCAGTTCAGTAGTCACTAGTCAGTACTTTATTGAGTAATGACTAATGAGTTTATGATAGAGATGGGACTTGAATGAAGGATGACATTTGATTCGAAATTCGAATAATGACATTCAAACCTCAGTTCGAATAAGAGGTTCGCTTGATAAAATTTCTTTACAAATTGGTTAAAAAAGACGAACGAATTTCCTAAGTTTTATTTCGTATTTTTTTGTTTATTAGTTTTCAACATAGAGTTTTGTTACCATTTAGAGCTGACTCTAACTCGTCTAATTTCCCTAAAAATAACTTTGACAGTATCATGGATGTTCTCGTCTCTATATTTTTCGCCAATTATTTATTTCGATTAAATCCACAATATAATATAAGTATTCGAAAACATATTTAATATTATTATTATTTATCTTTTCGTGTTGGTTCGAATCATCAATTGATTAAAATATTCATTTTTGATATGAGCCATCACTACTCTGTGAAAAATAAATGTATAATTAATGAAAATTATGAAATCAACAACAGCTGCATCTTGCTTTCACAAATCACAAAAAATATATGTAATTTTAGAGTGGATCGTCCATAAGCTTCTGTCAAGTGTACATTAATTCACAGGCGATTTTACCTGTGGTAGCATGTCGTCCAAAGATATTAACGTGGCGTGGCGGCCTGTAGGCATTTTATATTCTCCACGTAGATCTTTTTTCTATATTGGAAAGAAACAATAGTGTAAATATATAGCAATAATATATTTTACAATAATATATTATATCATTAATAATCTAGAAGTCTGTGGTTCTAATCAGTGTGACAGGCGTAGAGTAAAGTTTTCTATGCTGTTAAGAGAAGTGTCAAAGAATTGTCAGTTAAAATCTGACTATTCCTCAGTTCTCACCTCTCGTAAAGTATAATGGCGGACAATTTGTAAAGTAATGCAAACGTAACGATTTACGGCATGCGTTTTAATAATATTTCACAAATAACAGATATCAATCTTTTATTAAAGTTATCAAAAAACACATGACCGAATAAAAAGTTGCTACGCTACAGTTTTAACATGGCTCGCGAGTTTGATCATCTCTTCAAATTGCTCATTATCGGTGACAGTGGTGAGTGGGCGAGGCCTATGCCAGTGATACGAGTTTGTAAATACTTTCCGAGGAAGTAACTGGAATAATGATTGTCCTTTATTTTAGGTGTGGGTAAGAGCTGCCTCCTCCTGCGATTCGCTGACAATACGTTCTCTGGCAGTTACATTACAACTATCGGTGTTGACTTTAAAATAAGAACTTTAGAAATAAATGGTGAACGTGTGAAATTACAAATTTGGGATACAGCAGGCCAAGAACGATTCAGGACGATAACAAGCACATACTACAGAGGGACTCATGGTGTCATTGTCGTTTATGATGTTACAAATGGAGAGTCCTTTGCAAATGTAAAGAGATGGCTTCATGAGATCGAACAAAATTGCGATGTTGTTAATAAAGTTCTTGGTAAGAATTTATTGATTAAGTTTCTACATCTCTCAATATATGTGATAATATTTATTTCTAAATTTATTTAAATAGTATGTGAACCATTATTCAATTAGTGATCTACTTAACAAGCATCTATTTATTTCTAATAACCTAGAAGGGCTATTTATTTTAACTTGTAAGCTTTGTAGCATTGCTGGTGTCCAAATAATATTGTGTGTATAAATAATTAACACATATATAATGTTTTTACAGTTGGCAACAAGAATGATTGTCCGTCAAGGAAAGTTGTAGTTACAGAAGATGCCCAAAGGTTTGCAAATCAAATGAATATACCCTTATTTGAGACTAGTGCAAAGGAAAATATAAATGTTGAAGAAATGTTTTTGACAATCACAAAAATGGTATGTTTTATTTATTGTACACTTCTTTAAACTAATATACTGCAGAACAATCAGAAAACTTAATAGTATGAAAATACTATTCTGATAGGTTCTATTGTGCCAAATTAACCATTCCATAGCACTGTTAAGTTGCAAATATAATATTTAATATGTCTTGTTCTGTACAAGCAACAATGCTCGATATAGATAGCTAGCTAGCTAATGATATTTAAACATGATGTATGCTTATGGTATTTAAAGACCTCTCTATTTACCCTTAGTATATTTTAACCTAATTACTGATAGTAATCATTTGCATATATTAATTATTGTCCGACTGATTTGTCTCCTAAGGGTTCAATGAATTAGAAAATATAAACCTGTCTTCATAATATGACTAAAGAAATGTATAATTTATATTAAGAGCTAACCTGACTTTTTAGTCAGTCCGCTCTTTGTGATTATTTTTCAGTTAAACTTAATATCTTTAAATGATGGTGATAAATATTGGCTTTTAGGTAAAAACACAAAACTACCAAGTGGGATTCAACATTGATATAATGTGTTAAAGTGTTTTTTTTTTAATTTCCTTCCAAAAAATTTATATTATTATTTATATGAGATAGCCATTTTTTTTTAAATGTCCTTACAATATATTATAATTAATTTCAGGTTCTCAGATCAAAATTGGAAATGAAAGAGAGGCAAAATGTATCACCAAATGATGTAGTAAATATTAGAAAGAACCATAACAAAGGTAGAAAGAAATGTTGTCAGTAACAGAAGTTGACATTTAGCCAGGGATGTCGCTATATTATGCTCAAAATGAGATGTTGCACAACCCTACCAAGACAGGTACCTTGGCCATGTAGTTTTAATACAAATGACGCCTTAAAGGTTTTATTTTCAATGATACCCCCTACACCTATACAGTATTGTATTAATGCTAACATATTCTTGTTATAAGACAATAGAATTGTTTAGTCTAAAAAAACATTTCAATCTTTTATTGGAAATGGTCTATGGTTTTATACAACTTTTGATTATAATCTAGTAAGTACATAAAGAACATATCTAGAGATAGGTTATTTTTCCAAAACAGCCACAAAAATGTTCCAGGTTACTCCAAAAATTTGATATAATTTTTAAGCATGTTTTGTAGGGGGCTTAAGTGTATTATTCCTTTTATATTGTGTCGATCTCTGAATGAAGTTATTCCAGCCAAACATGCTTTATTATCCTGTATCTCTTACACAATAATTGTAGTGCTGGGTTGCACACTCATGGATTAGGGCATGTCATGGAATCGTTGACTCCAAATATTACATTAAGATAAGGAAGGTTTAGTTAGTATATGAATGTATTCCCATTTTCAAAATTGTATGATGGAGTGTCATGTGAAAATTGTATAAATGTATACTTACCATTAATTAATTTTAAAATTACTTTAATATTATTCCAATTTGTATTCAGGCTATTAGCGTCATCACATAGAGAGAGTTAGACCAATAGTAGTATTTAAAAAATGTTCTGTTAAAGTATTATATTAAAACAAGTAATGTAAGTTTTGTTTTGAACACCCGTTTTACCAGGGACCTAACATAGTAATCTCTAACAAAATCACAAGTTCATACTCTGAATCCAGTGTGTATAATATGAGATCATATTTATATTTTTTTATTTACAATTGGCAAAGTATAGAATTTAATGATTACATGGACTGTCAAACAATTTCCATCATTATTATTTTAGTATATTTGTTGTATTATCATTTGGAATGAATTACTGCTTAGTTTAAAATTTTAATTTAGGTGTAAAAATGTAACTCATTATACCAATTATTTAGGTTATCATTTGCCAAAATCTTGAACTATTTTACTGGTTTTATGTCTGTATTATTTGCCTTTTTCATTCTGTACAAATGTACTGTGGGCTTAATGTTTGGCGTATATGTAAATGCATTTTATTATTTAATTAAATACTCTTTTGTACGTGCTTGTTTTTATTACAAAAAAGAAACAATGGGACCGGTCTAAACATTTTGAATAGCACTTATTTTAATTTTATAATGGTACTCATATTTATAAGAATTATTGTTGATACCAGCATCATAAAGTGTAAATAGATGATATATTTTGCCCATAATAATCTTATGTGTTTTTATTCTCTTCTACCATATAATTTATTGTGTTATATTTATAATAATAATTTTCCTTTGGCTAAAATTCATATGGCCTAGTATTACCTCAACATTTACCAGTTATACATTTAGTCATTTACGCTATACGCGGCAGCAGTCTGGGCTCCAGCCACTAAAACGCGAGGAATTAGGAAGCAACTAAATTCAGTACAACGAGGCTTCGCGCTGAAGCTCTGCAGAGCTTACCGAACCGTATCACTGAATGCCAGCTTGATCCTCGCCGGACTATTGCCCCTAGACCTTAGAATCCAAGAGGCCGCTTTGCTATACGAAGCAAAGAGAGGATTGTTTTAGTCTGAATTGGAAGGTGACCTGGGGCAAAGAGTATCGTGGATGCGTATTCCTCATCCCTCCAAACAACCTGATATCAAATTTATGGCCTATAGAGAACAAGACGGTCCTAGAATAGATGCACCGGCAGTAAAGATATATACGGACGGAAGTAAAGTAGACGAATAATTGGGATAAACGGGATTGATTACCCAGATGTTGACAGGTCACGGTGGATTCTTGTCTTATCTTTGCTGGTTCAGGATTAGACAAAGTGCTGTCTGTCCATGTAGCGATAAAGCTGAAGAGACGGTGTTACATGTTCTGACCGACTGTCCAATGTATGGATACGACAGGTATAACACTGAGCAAGCTATGGGCATAAAAGTAACACGAATTTAAAGGAAATAATGTTAAACATTAGGTTAAGAGGCATCTTTTTGGGATTTGCTGTTAAGGTCATACAAAAAGTTGTTTGTTGTTGTATTTAATACCTCCGACGACTACATAGTCGGGAAATCTAGAAAACATTTATAATAAAAAAAAATATTACGAACCATATATCGAATTAACTTTAATTACTTTATTTTATTCTTTAGCTGGCATTACTGCCTACTATTTCCAGGTTTAGTAAACCTTTAAAAAAATGTTATCTTTACTTGTGCGTTTTTTACTGTTTGTCATGACAAGATAGTAATTATCAGTCGCCGTAAAACCACTTTTAATGTTGAACAGCGCACTTAATAAAATGGATACATTAACTAACAAACAAAATGTTTGTATAGAGTCAGATGTTGACTCGTAATTCGTATTGAAATTGAAAAATGTGCCCGGCAAAAAGGTTTGTAATCTCTGAAATGTCAAAAAGTGATGGCTGTCAGAATTCTACGGAATTAAAAATCAGAGTCTAGCAGTTCCATAGATGGTTTCATAACGACAAAGCCACCTATTAATAAGGACAGATTATAACACTTAAAATCACAAATTTACCCTGTAGTTAGACCCCACATTATGAAAGTTTTATACTTGGACATGAAAATTTTCAAATCTTTATATATATAATTCTTCTGTAAGTGTGTATGTCACTGAACTTCTCTCAAACGACTGGACCGATTTTGATGAAATTTTTTGTGTGTGTTCAAGGGGATCTGGGAATGGTTTAGACAAATCAGCGCGGCAGATGGCACTGCAGTCGGTACTTTCATACTTTGCTTAATATCCTAATCGCTTTAAATATCATGCAGGACAACGTCTGTGGGGTCCACTAGTATAATAATATATTTCTGACCACTGACTGGAAGATTACAGAATTATTCTGTCACATTCACAAAGAGATTTTTAATCTGTATTAAAAAATAATAATGAGTGGATGACAATGACATTCATTTTAATTTTTCTAGTCACTACTCACTAGTCAGCTGTCAGTGCCCTATAGAGTTAGATGTCAAAAACTCGGAAAATCACATTTAGATTTAGCACAAGATACTGCTTTGCGGGGTTCTAAGAAAACAGAAAAAGCCAAAATGTCTATGTGGGCGACTATTAACCGTGCAGTTTTCAAGAGAACTTCAACATTTGCTTTAGTAGTAATGGGTGGTACGTTCTTCTTTGAAAGGACTTTTGAAATCGCCTCAGTTTCTATATTTGAAAGCATCAATAAGGGAGTAAGTCAATTGTTATGTAATTTAAACAATAGTTCTGAAAATGTATCTATTTGTTCTAAGTAGGCTATAGACTATCCTCTAAAACGTTAAAAGCATCACTGGTTTTAGGAAGACTGTCAGCCAACATATTTCCTTATAGAATTTTCTTTATTTCCATACATTTACTTGAGATAATACTACTGCAATAGAATGTTTCTTATTAAGGCCAAATTAACTTCTTTCCAAGAGATTACTAGGATAGTAACCATATATAGATTCCTTTACTACTAGTTACTTAAATAAAAATGTATAGCCCATAATCCAATTCTAGTCTGTATTAAGGTTAACTACATCCCATTAAATAGATGTTTATTTTTTCAGAAATTATGGAAAGACATCAAGCACAAATATGAGGAATAGTTAAAATAAACGCAATACAGTCATGTAATAATTTATTAGATATTTCAATAAAGTAATTTTATTTCGAAATATTTTTTTTATTTAAAGAAGCTTATGACTAGATCCAAGACTGGTTTGAGTCACATGGTACAGATGTTGACTATTATCCCTGATAACCTTCATGTATGAATGCATTATTCTAATATACATAGAATCTGCGTAGGTGTCAGTGCTGTCAACCACCCTTATGCCTCTGCATACAGTACATGTTCTAGTGACTAGAGGAGCTGCACTATCAGCATACAAAGCAACAATTATTAATGAACTCTGCATTTTTGTGTGTGTGTACTTGGTGGCAATGAGCACGGAATAAAAAATGGGTAACCCTTCACACTGACCTGACAGCGCCTATGATCACTGTGACTCTAAACCAGACTAGTTTTTTATCTATATTGATTATAATCATTCGATTTTATCAATAAATGAATATTTTTTATATTTATAACATCTCTTATTCTTGTCCTAATAATATTTATTTGACTAATAATCTCCAAGGTTTCAATAAATATATCTAAATTTTGAAATACATTTTCAGTTCAAAAACATTTAAATTACTTTATGAATGACTAGTCTGCGGCTTTAATTACAGTGGATCTGAATTGCTGTTACCTTAACTTAATTATAAACAATTTGTTACATCTTGAATCTGAGATTTTTTTAGAAATTCAAATTAAACATTGTTTTTTTGAAAACAATTTTTAAGAGTAACTTAAAGCCTCCATCTATTAACAAAAATTGAAACAACAACTCATATACAACTACAAAAGTATGATAGAAGTGCTTTCAATATTTTCAATAAATATTTAAATAATAGATGTTCATAAGTATCATTAAAAATCTCCATTCGCACTAAGGACCATTTGTTTTGCATCTTACAACATAAAGCCATGTTTATAGGTCCTTTTATTTCAAGCTTATGATTCTCCTTTATCTGTTAAGACCTGGAATGTTAAAGAACAGTCTTAGAAAAATAATGATGCATAATGGAATACATATATAACATATATAATAGTTAAATATATATATGAAAGTGTCACTGGTGTTCATAATCGGAATAGAACAGTATAAAATATATTAAAGTCAACATACATAGATACAGCATTAGTTTGTCTTGATATAGTAACTTGGATGTTACAATAGAAACCGGCGTAAATTGATGCAATAGATTCATCGTATTGTACTCGCGTTTCGTTTGGTGAGTGAGAATCCTGGACCCGGATACTTCCTACCTCCTACGATAGGGCCTATCTAACCTCAATGAGTCAACTGGCTGCGTGTAGGCTTTGATGTAGTAGTCAGACTCATTGAGCATATCAAAATGGCTACAGATCCCCTGCTGGAAAAGATCCCGTTCGCCGAAATCGTGACTCTTCGCGACTTTAACGCCAACCATGACGCCTGGCTCGGCTCTGACATCACCGATCACGCGGGTAGGTGTTTTCATGCATTTTCCTTGGCACACAAATGGTTCCCATAATTACGCGCATACCAGATGTGGTCACAAACCATCTTTGTTGGACCTTCTGCTGACCTCACATCCTACTAAGTTTCCGTCGACCCTCCACTGGGTTCATGTTTCATTGCGTGGTCGGTCGCCCTATTTGGCACTATGAGTCAGCAGATTGGGACGAGAACTCTGCCTCCAGGTCCTTTAAACAGGACTTAATTGCTAGCGTAGTCTTAGCACATTTCCAGATTTGGCGAGAGATTGTCCTGCCTCCCTATAGCTATTATTTCCTTGTTCTCCAAAATAATAGAACGGACGGACGTCGATGCAGATTTTGAAATTTCACCCGTAACAACTCGACATCGACATTTTATTAAAATTTAAATTGGTCCCACTAGCAAATGATTTTTAAATATTTACTTGTTGCGGCTTCACCTGCGTTATCTTTACCTAAATATAGTTTACGACCGGATTCATACATTTAAAATATAAATAATTAAAAATATAAATGAATTCAATATCGGAGTTCGACTAAAAACATGGTGAATTTTGTATATAGATTGTCCTTAGACGCTTGGTTACCACATATTTGGTCTCGGGTGTCATTCCAGAAGAACTATCTTTCCAATTGAAAGACTTACTACTCTTACTTAACAAATAATTGCTCAATTATAATAATGGTAATGAACCTGTTTGTCCGATATCTGATATAGTCCTCGTCGGCCAATGTGTCACCAGATGAAGATGATGGCAGAGATCTTGGGTGCAAAGGCAGGGGTGTGTCATGGCGGGGTTCTTCCGCGAGGGCACAAATTATATCAACTAGTAACGGCTGGGCTAGAGTCCTTATTGAGTCTTGGTGGGCGACCTGCGATAGATGTTTAAATAATTAAGGGATATGACATTAATATAGTTAACCAACCTCAAAAAGGGCAGGTTATTAGTTCGACACGTATGTGACATTGTTGGATTAAATAATATTTGCGTATCCATGTAGTTTTGTGTTCCAACCCGTATATTCCAACTTAGAGTAAAGTTTAAGTTCAAAATCGTTTTAGAAAACTTTGAGTTGTGGTATATATTCCTCGATCTTGGACAAGTACTTAGAAGATATACAGAGCTTTGACAGGGGAGAATTGGACCCCAGCCAGTAAAAGATGCATTTAAGAATAGTACGGTTTTTGTGGATGATTGCTATTAATAAAAAAATACCAGTTCAAAGTGATGCACAATCATCTTCAGGGCATACTCCTTGATGTCAGCTGCTCGCATTCGATCAGCAGCCTGCAGTATGGCTACAACATTATCTGGAGATACGTTGCTTTGGAGATTGTGTTTGCAGAACACTTGTAGCCGATTGTTTGTAAAACCTTTTATTGAAAAAAATAAATTTAAATATAATTTGGAAAATAGATTAAGATCATGTCATCAAAATTTTCAGTGAATAATTATATATATTAATAGAAGAATTTTGAAATTATAGTCTATATGATGGCTTAAGGCAAAAAAAATATTCATTCGCTACTTAACAAGTTTACAAAATAAAGCGTGAAATTGACTACATTTGTGACTATTGTTCATCTACCCTCATTACACAAGCTAGCTTTGTCGCTGTCAACTCTTTATTTCATAACTTTGAAATTCTACAACAGGCCCCAATTATTAATTATTAAAAAAAAAACAAGGAAACATTACCATAGTAAATCGGAGCTTGGAAGAGATATAGCGAGTCTTCAGTAGGCATGTTTGTGTCACCATAGTACATGTACCGTAGAAGAGAATCGAATGCTTCTTCCGAAGGAATTGTATCGCAGATTTGGATCTACAATAATATACTTGTTAACTATAGAAATGTGTGTAGTGTTGCCCTAGTGGTTTAAGCGTGCGATTCCCAAAATTGAGCATCGAATCAAGGCTGTTCAAAAATAGATTTACCACTTGGTCTTACGGTGAAGGTGGTCTTTGTAAAGTTACCGTATGTCTTAAGACTCTCAAACCGACGACGTACTCTCTAGATTTAGAACAAGGCCTTCTTGTCTAATGTCTAAATAATAATAAAAACAATCAAAGCCACAGACGTAATCTGATGAATTTGTCATAATTATTAAATTGACGAATATATTACAGATAAGGCAGCCCGTCGTACTATGTAAGGTTTTAGTTTTTATATCTAAAAAGTATAAATAAATAAAATATAATTCTAAAGAAACAATTGTATGCGATGCTACGTAGCTGTTCTTTTCACCTGCACGTTAGAAAAAAAGTTTACTTTATAATAATTAGCCTTGTATTTGCGAACTTACATTGACGATATTATCCTGCGGCGAGAAAGATCTGAACATAGCTTCAAAATACGCAGCTCTGGCCGCAAGTATGGAGCGATGGGCGGGCCTCGATGAAAAGCCCACTCGTAAACGTACGTCGGCGAGTTCCGCACCGCCAGAAGTCACGAACACGCACATGTCTTGTTCTAGATTTGTACCTGTTACACAAAAAGGTGTTGTTGTAACACATATTCTAATAAAAAGAAGATTTAATGATAACTATTGTACGATGTATTGATATGATTAATGACATGGTACAGACTATGGGCGATTTTCCGCTGCCAGTGCCGGGCGTTTTTAGGTACAGTACTAACACGGATTATAATAAAGTTTTTTAAATAGTAAATAAATAAATGGATATATCTCTTACCAATAATCTCTTCCTCGGCGTCATGTTGAGCAGCGGCGGGCTGCTTGGGCGGTGGCTGCTGCCTTCGCCTAATCACCTCCACCATTAATTGCTGTTCCATCTGCTCAAACTCCGCAGACATCACGATCGGTGTGAAATTGTAATCTTTTACAACGAACCTAATTATCATGACAAAAAAGAGGTGGTGAGTGTTTTTGAACCAAATAAACCCTTATGTCGTGATTCATACTTGCATTCAGTATTTCAGTCTGGACTCTTAATTACACCTTTGACCCAAAGATTCATGGTTTCATATCGTGAAATTTGACATCATTATAGTATAATGTAATGTATTAACTTAATATATATTAAGTATACACATCATGATCAGTACCAAGAAGTTTTAATTATTTTATTGCAATAAAAATTCAAGAAAAGAATCAGTATTGACTTTGAAATTATGCGTCAAATGACGTCACACGATCCATCGTGCCGATGCGGTAGTAATTCGCCGAGTATGGATACTTTACTGGTGAACTTGTTGATACATATAATGTTTACAGTTTAGCTGACCTCTACAATAGCCGCTTTAAATAAATAGTAATATTAGACTCACCTCAAGCAGTACTCCTTAATACAGGCTAGATTCGCTTGATGCGCTGCATGTAGCGCTTGAAGCACGTTGCCATAGCACAGATTAGCTCGTAGGTATCTTGCGCAGAGGCCTCGTAGACGTGGGATCTTGAGACGCAACGCAAGTCTAAGCACTTCCATAACTAGTAGCATTGTTGCTGGCGAAGCGGGGTCTTCGTCTATATGAAAAAAAATTGTTTCAAAAAATTAAAAGATATTCGTACCCCCCGTACCGTATTTATAAAAACTTAATCTGTGTTAAGCTAGGAAACCACAGCTTGGCCACCGTAAAGACGGCCGTTATTAACAACCGTAAAATGACGGCTGTTAGTTAGCGGCACCGCTTTTCTAGGAAACCTAAGCTTTAGCGTGCTAAGTACGTTACGTAGTCGAAAAAGGGGATTGAATACACTTTTTCGACTACGTAACGTAGGTAACGTGTGATCGTTATATTAACACTTTTCCTCTACATTAATCAAATGTTCAACAAAATACCCACATACTTAAATTTTACTATACTAAACACCTGTTGAATCGTTATCGGTTCAAGAAACCGTAACAGTGAAAAACTGGACCGGTCATACCGACAACCTTTGGCATTAAATCACGGACACGAATTGCTTTTTGGAATGAAAAACGCTCATCAACGACAGTCGAATAGCACAAGTAGAAGCAGAATTGCTTGGATACAAAATGCAAATACAGTCAAAACCGTTTACGACGACATCGTTTAGAACAACATACCGGTTATATTGACCAAAATCAAAGGTCCCTGCTGAATTATTTTGCATTAGGACTGTACTTATTTAATGATTTTGGTGAACTGAGAACGTCCAATGGCCTAACTCTTCTATACTCCGGCAAAGAAAATGTGGATGACAAGTCAAGTCATGGTCAAACACCTGTTTCTTATCGGTAATTGTTGTCTATTGCCATTGTTTTTAACCAACTTTAAAAACTTAAATATGTAATTTTTTTACAGTTTTTTAAGTTGTAATAAAGTAATTTATTGTTATTGTTTTTTAAAATTAATAACCATTTTAATAAACACACAAAAGAAGGTATGTAGGTCAGTTAAAAATAGCCCGTATTTACCTTTCTCAGTAGGATCAATCTTGTCCGTATAAATATAATTGAGGATCATTCGGAACGCTTCAGGTGTTGCTTCTGGCAGTCGGACCACGAGCTGGGGTTGTGACTTGTATGAGAACTGCTCGGTTGGTTCCTCTTCACCTGCTTCTATACGTCTTAAAAGTTCTTCACGAGATTCCCTGGCAATTAGTGCATACTAAAATAATTTAAGTAAAATATTAGTAAGTGCATATTATATAACTTTAGCTTTTGAGCCTACAGTGACCTTAATTTCGTTTTAATTTTTTAAATATATCGGACTTTGTTACCAAAAATTTCAACAGAGCCAAAAATTTAAACTCAATGATATCAAAAACATTTTTTTTTAAATAAATTTTGTTGAGGATCCATAATTTTTTTACACGGCCGATACTTGGTTTCCTTCATTGCTGACTTTGATGTAACGCTTGGATGCATATTTTGGAATGTTTAGATTTTTGCCAATGACACTTATTTAATTACGCTCTCAATCATATAATGTTTACTGTGTATGCCTATGGTAAACTATTTGTGATTTTATTTAAAGTATTTGTTATCCTCTCTCATTGTTCTTTTACTAATTGTTTCCTTATTACGACTGATAATTGTACCTTTTTCTGTTAAGTTCGAGTTAAGAATATATCGAGGTATGTACTTACTATTTATTGTTATGTATTAACGGCCACAGAACCGTCTATTCATAGAGAAAGGCTATATAGCCTAGCCTATTATACATATATATAACTATTCGCAACGACCAATTAATGTGGATTGACCGCGGGAACATATTATTGTTGCAATACATATTACTGTGTATGTTAAGATTATTTTACTTCAATACTGAATAAAATAAATACGCTTATACTAATAACCATATATGAATGTTAATTCGAAAAAACAAATAAACTTTAAGTTAATTTTAAAATTCGTTAGTAAAAAAGCATTAAAAAATTACCAACTTAATCTTAGTGCGTAGATACTGCGAGCGCGCAGCTAGCATCGCTTGATGCGCGAACACGGGTGTCTCTTCAGCGCCTACTAGCAGAGTGACGTCACAAAACTGCTGCGACTTAAGAATACGGCCGAAATCATCGTGTAAGGTGCATCGAGGGTAGTTTGATAACTGAAATATTTTTCCTTATAAAATAAATACAACATATAAAGTAATATAAATTTGAGTAAAAAGTATGTTCTCGAGGCCGCAAGGGTCGCGTTCCCGTCAGGGGAGAGTGAGACCCGAGCCATTCCGGGCTCTCTTCTTGAGACTGACCATTTACGCAGGAGTGCATTCTCTATTCCATGATTCTATTATATCATAACCCAAATGGGATGTCTGACATAACCGGAGTTTTGCGACATGGTGAAGAAGCCGACTTCCTGATTTAGGGGCTTGACATTTTTGTTCTAATTTCGTATTATATTTTTCGGAAGCCTGGGAATTAATAACTATAATGCGTTGATGTTTTATATACAACGGTATTTTTTATAGTTATAAAAGTGTAATCTATTACTGCCGAATTATTGTACATAGCACGCAACTAAGCGGTAATCTATTAAATAACGTAATCGTTAATATCCATCTAATTGTATCACTTGAAAACGATTTACCTGGAAGCGATAGAGGTCGCCACTCCGCACGTTATTGTCCACAGTGCCACCAAAGACGTACATCGCGTCGCCTACAACCGCACCTGCGTGGAATAGACGACCAGACGGGACTTGTGAGTCTGTCGCCACTTGTAAAACTGACCTAGACATACATAAATTGATACATTTGTATAAATATGCTCAGGAACTTCTGAACCCAACAAAAATTCGAACGAACGAGGACCGAGTTTGCGAGATGTAAATATACAAAAATGTCGAGTCATGCTTATATTTAACCTTCGTACAAAAGTAAATTTAGAGATTTCATAAAGGGAATAACTTACAAGCTTAAAAGCTTTCCAAGTATTTTTCAAAATTTACCACATCTGAGTATCCAAATCATAGCAATGCAAATCTGATGGCAGGGTGCTATCAGCGGCACCACCAAACACGTAAAGGTGTCTTGCGTGGTGTACCATCACATGTCCGTAGCGACGCGCCGGCGCAGGTCCCGCACTACGTAGGAGATGTTCGGTGCACACACGGCTCCATCTGAACAAAATCTTTATGGTAAATGGTAAACAATGTCGGCTCCGTCACGACGGCTTATTTCTGTAGACACTTTCCATGTACGCGAAAGATTTTACCGTCCACAAATATTTACAAATCACTATTACATAACTCAACCTAACCTCCTTGTTCTCCAAAATAATGGAATCCATTGTTAATTGCCAGCTCTTGAGGTATCTAGAGGGCCACCAGCTGATTAGCGATTATCAGTACGGCTTTCGTCGTGGTCGTTCGGCTGGTGACCTTCTTGTATACCTTACACATAGATGGGCAGAGGCAATTGAGTCCAAGGGGAGGCGCTAGCGGTTAGTTTGGACATAGCGAAAGCCTTCGATCGGGTGTGGCACAGAGCACTGCTCTCGAAGCTTCCAGCCTATGGGCTTCCCGAGAAATTACGCAATTGGATCTCCAGCTTTCTGGCCGATCGGAGCATCAAGGTCGTCATCGACGGAGCATGTTCCGACCTAAAACCCGTAAACGCTGGGGTCCCACAAGGCTGTGTTCTATCCCCGACCCTATTTCTTCTGCATATCAATGATATGTTGAAACTTAGCAACATTCATTGCTATGCGGATGACAGTACTGGGGATACTTTTTACACTGGCCGGGCAGGTATTTCTCGGGCAGTTGTTGATGAGTACCGGAACAAACTTGTGTCTGAAGTTGAAACTCTACTTCGTGGAGTCTCAGATTGGGGCAGACAAAACCTAGTCCAATTTAACCCCAAGAAGACACAAGTTTGCGCGTTTTCCGCTAAAAAACACCCTTTGTCGCTACTCCTCTTTTCGAAAACACTCTTCTTAAAGCCACAGCCAGCATTGGAATACTTGGCGTTGACATATCGAGCGACGTTCAGTTTCGCGGTCACTTGGAGGAAAGGCTAAATTAGCCTCCAAAAAGCTTGGTGTGCTCAGTAAGGCGAGACGGTACTTCACTCCGGGCCACCGCATGCAACTATATAAAGCGCAAATTCGGCCCCACATGGAGTACTGCTCTCACCTCTGGGCGGGGGCTCCCCAGTACCAGCTCCTTCCACTTGACCGTATACAACGCAGAGCGGTTCGAATCGTTGACGACCAATCCCTCTCCGAGCGGCTTGATCCTTTGGCGTTGCGTAGAGATGTGGGGTCACTCTGCATCTTCTACCGCATTTACCATGGAGAGTGTTCAGAGGAGTTGTTCGGATTAATACCTGCAGCTGAGTTTCATCATCGGACGTCGAGGCAGAATACGAAATTCCACCCGTATCACCTCGACGTCCGACGTTCCACAACTGAGCGTTTCTCAAGGCAGTTTTTGCCGCGCACCACCACTATGTGGAACCAGCTGCCCACTGAAGTATTCCCGAACCAATTCGACTTAGGGTCCTTCAAGAAAAGAGCGTACCAATTTTTAAAAGGCCGGCAACGCACTCGCGAGCCCTCTGGCATTGAGAGTGTCCATGGGCGGCGGTATCACTTAACATCAGGTGAGCCTCCTGCCCGTTTGCCCCCGTTCTATAAAAATAAAAAAAATAAAAAAAACTCAAATACAATGGAACGGATATCCGACACGTTCATACAATCACGAAAGAAGGTGCAGGACCGATAGCATTACATGCTTATCCGGGGGTTATCAAACACCGCCGACTTCCTAACTTTCGAAACCGAGACTCACTGATTTGCAGTAAATCATAGCTACTAGACCAATGGCAGTATTGAAAGCGGATACAGAACAACAAGTGTGCTTGTACAATGCCCGGTTGCAATAGGAAACATAATTGTGGAAGGAGAATACATAATTGGGTGGAGTTTCGTGCAGGTTGTGCTTTTAAAAGCGCGCCCCTGTGCTGCTACAAATGTATGGAATTAGGGCACACAAGGGTGTCTTGCTCATGCAACCATACCCTGCAGTAAATGTTGACAATTTAATGGGAGGGTTGCTAGTCACGTGGTCTCTTGGACCCCAAGTTTCCCCAATAGTGACGTGATGGGTGTGAAGGGTTTAGTGGATATAGCTATTATAGCGAGTGACGCACTCTGTGCAGATGTGCATTCCGCTCGGTAGAAAGCGGTAAAAATGGTTTTGTTATTGAAATTGAGAATGCAAAAAAACACTGTGACAGTGCGTTGGTGATGAGATTATAGAGGAAATTTTGTTGAATATTTAGTGTCGAAGTTGAAAGCTAAGTATTAATTCCGTATGTTAAAAACTTTTTGGATTCATATGTCTTGATTCTGAGACTTATCATAGAAAACTTTTTAATTAATGAAGCTACACTAAGTCTTACTGTATTCATAACGCCTTAGATCATTGTTAATACAGATAAGACACACCATGTCATGATCAAAATGGTCAATGGGCGGTTAAAGGACGGTTAAATACTTACGTATGTGTTTCAAAGTCAAATTGGAAAAGGGCATTTGTTATCTTGGCTCCACTCTGCCCACTGAATACAAACATTTTGTTACGAGCGACCGCTACAGGGAAATTACAACAAGTCGGCGGACATTCTCCTTTTTGCTCGATTTTTTCCCATTGATGGTTTTCCCCCTGAAATTAGTTCAATAATTATTTTACCTTCACTACCTTCAACTGTAACAGTTATTTTTTAAATCATCAGACTCAACCCGTTGTCTGAATAAGCACCAGAATAGTAGACCAAATCAAGTGTTTTTTATTATTATTTATAAATCTGAGTTAATTATTACTATTTACCACTAAATTGCAAGTCCACATATCGTTAAGGCGAGCATTGCCATCATATCCCGCAAATATCCAGAGTTTATCGTCATATACAGCTGCACCGTGGGCTGAGCGCGGTACTGGTTCCCTGAAAATAGGGATTTGATAATTATTTTATGTTTGCTATTTTCTATCTTGAATTTCAAAATCTATAAGATTTTGAAACAATAATAAATGAGATGAAATATTAAAAAAAAAACGTATGGCACTCGGGGACTGCCGCGGTAAAGCTATTGCATTTTTTTTTTCAACTTATGCAATTATAATTATTTATTTATGCAGTATTTTTTTTCTTTGATATTAATTCAAGTTTTTTCTTTGATAAATTAACTCAATCTACCACTCTACCAGACTCAGACTAATTCGCCTATATAGTCTGTCTCACTCTAACGCGCACCGGCTGCACCGATCTCGTCAGAGAGATGTGAATACGCAATTCTTTCTGTCCCGCTCTAACACGTAAGGTTTTTTCGTTACGGAATTTCTGGATTCGGTCTCCACGCTCGAGGCCCGCGATAGAAGCTATGCAATACATATATGTAATAGCTTAAAATGTCAAAAACGAAAAGTATTGTATTGTATTTATTTTCTGTCCCTTTGTCCATATGTGCATACTATCTCCAAAACTACTGTATACATTTCCATTGCAATTGTCTCCAATAGATTAAGCCTAGCTCAGGTCAATATTTAGACTATTGAACAATTTTTTCTATTATTAACATTCCAAGATGTTATAAACCTAAAAACCAAGAAATACAATATTCATGGCTCAGAACAACATTTAGGATTTATTGCATGGAAATCTGACGTTAAGAAAGAAAATTGTTACAGTTATAAAATAAAACTGTAAATATAATTATAGAATTGCCTGTTAGTTGAAATTGTATAGCATATCTTACTTCATATTGTTTTACACAGTATGGACATTTGATATGTACATTGCTTTATTAAACTGTTGTTTGTATTTGTGATTTTGTTATAGAATATGTAGGTAGGCACCACTCCTCATCATTAAATAAGATAGTTGGTAGTTTGTGGGTTACTTTTCAGTTTTCTAGTATTGATTGCTCCAAAGTTATTAAACATAATCAGCTATACTTTTAACTCAAATTAGAATAAGTTTAATTCTTGGATTTACTTCAGTAAATATAGCTTTTGTATATTTTTGTGTCCTCATTTATATTGGGTTTTTCATGTTTACTTACTGTCCAGTAAATTTCCATTGCACCCATTGTGCATTTGGGAATTTATATTCAAATAGATCATTTTTGTTTGTGAGATTGGAGTTAGCTAGGATATCTCCAGTGTAGCCTCCAAAAACAAACATGGATGATCTATGTACCTGTAATGACAAAGATTCTTAAGAATAAATTATATTTGATTTTTTACCTTTAATCACTGCTTTAGAGAAAGTAATTACCACTGCAGAATGATGATATCTCGGTGCTGGTGGAGTGCCCATACATCCAGTTTTAGTCCAAGATTTCTCCCTTATGTCAAATCTAATTAGATCATTAAGCATAGACTTTCCATTATCACCTCCAAATACATATATTGCATCTTTATATGCAACTGCTGTATGCTTACTTCGTCTAAAAGAATTGTCTGTATATTACATCTATACAGAAATTATTTATTTAAAAAAAAAATCAATTTGTACACTATTTTTTACAAGAAATACATACATTTAAAAACTAATATATATCATATATGATGGTAAGTTGCCTTTTACCTAGCTCCAACAAATTCATAGCATTCAGACATTCTTTTCCATTTGTGTATAGTTTCAAAAGGACCAAACTCCATTCTCAAACTTATATCTAGCTCATTAGGGTTGCGAAGTTGTTCTGTTATCATTTTGGCTATATTGTGCATCCTGGCAGACTTATCTGTAAATATACATAAAGAAAATACATATATACAACTGTTGAAATAAATATTGTGAATTATCTGAATATCACACCCATCGCAATAAAATTTATTAAGAACAAAAATAAACTGGAAAATAGGTCGGTGCTAGGCGAATTAAAATGTTTATAGTAGATGCAAAATAGGTCAGCGCGAATGAACATATTTATTTAGGATATCACATACTGTAATATTAATTTTCTAACATACCTGAGGCTTTGAAGGAGGAATGTTGGGAAGACAGGATGATAGAATGTATAAACTTTTTTAAGAAAAATATAATTCTCTTTTTCAGAGAATATTCCTGGATTTAGTCGCTCTCTTGACAAGCTGTTAAGGATAACCGAGATTTTGGAATCAAATATTTGATTCGGGAATTATTACTTTTCAATGTTATTTGTTACCAGTTATTCAATTAATTTAATTTAATTGAAGCCTGATGGTTTTTTACATTTACTAATGATTATAAACATTAAAGTATTGTCATTGACTTGGATGATGCTGTCATTAAGATTCACAATTTCACATAAGTTTAACACAACTAAATGAAATAATATAAAAATAGTATTTTATGTAGGGAGTAAGTAACATTATTGGGAGCAATAATAAATAAATATATCATTTTTTTGTTACTATTTAATGTAACGGCAAACGGGAATGCCACAGGTTATCCTTAATTCATAATACAAGAGTAAATTATATCTTTAACTCACACAAAATATTATCTGTGCCAACGCATATTAAAAGTTAGACAACGGACGTTTGTCTCAGTTTGTTTCTTATAATTTGCATTTTCCAACAATAGTAATTGTGAGTCGTCTAGTTTCATTATTTTTAATTATTTAGCGGGCTATTTTATTTCCATAAATACAATGTCTTTACTGGTAAGTTCTTATAATTATTAATTATATGTTTCAACTTGGGTTAGTTCTAATGTTTTGTTTGCAGACTGAGGAAAGTGTGAGGCGCAATAGTGAGAGCGAGGGTGATGCAGAGTCTCCAGAACACGACCCTCACTTTGAACCAGTTCTATCGTTGCCTCTAGTGGATATTCAGACTAACGAAGAAGATGAAGAAGAGCTAGCAAAAATCCGCGCCAGGCTCTACAGATATGACACCGCCGACCACGAATGGAAGGTTAATATAGCATTCTTTCTATAAGTTTCCTAATTAATTGAAACAAAAAGTCTATCTCGAAATATTTTAATTTATCTACTTAGTGATGTGAATGTGATAATTATATACTATTACTTGTAGGAACGCGGTACGGGTGACATAAAATTACTTCGCCACAAGTTAAACAATACTGTAAGAGTTGTAATGCGACGAGACAAGACACTAAAAGTTTGTGCAAATCATTTTATAACTCCTGATATAAGAATGAATGTGCACTGTGGTTCTGACAAGGCTTTTAATTGGTCAGTTTTTGCTGACTTTGCTGATGAAACTATGAAACAGGAATTGCTTGCTATAAAGTTTGGCACTGTGCAGAGTAAGTTTTTGTAAATTATAAAATATTGTAATTGTTATTATGATTATAGTATCATTTAGTATCTATTTAATATATAAACACTTATAGATGAAATATTTGTAATGAATAGATGCTGAACTATGGAAAGCAAAGTTTGCCGAAGCCCAAGAAATTGTAAGAACAAAATGTTTCCTGTATACCCAAGATCTATCATCAGATGATGAGAGTAGTATCACTAGAAGTGAAGACACAGATACTCCAGAACCGAAGACTACCGATAAACCAGATGAGGATTCAAAGAAAGACACTCTAGAAAGTCATGGTGTGGTTTTAAAATTAAAAGAACTGAAAGTGGATAGTGAAAAATCTGACTGAAACATAAGCATTTAGAATGTGATCTAAGAGATCTTATTGCTGTAGCATGGACAGTCAAAATATAAATTTAAAAAAATGATAAGTAGACTGATATTGCATAAAAAATGCATAATGCAGTTAGTAGTATTTTTTTACATTGCGCTTTATTTCTGCACCTTCTACAGCATATGAGACTGTTGGACACTGCCAATTTAAATAATTTCAGACTAAAATATCTTGTTTACTTCGAATTTCCATTATATTTAGTGCTATATTTTTCAGTCATAAAACATGTTTTTTATCTTTAGGTATTATGCATTTTAAAGTAGCATTAAAGTTAGTTTAATATTTTTATATTCACTAGGACTATTCTTATTCAGACTATTGTTGTAACCTACATGCCATCGTAATTTAGTAAGCAATATAATACAAGCTGATATTATTTACAGTTTTCATGTACTATTGATGGCTTGGTTATTTTTTTTTTCACAATCCAAAAATTGTAAGATGTAATCAGGACTTTCCTGTTATTTTATAATAAGGCCCATGAAATATAATATTAAAATTATTTGTAAAAATAATACAATTAAATTACGTAAAACAACATAATTAATTTTTTCCCACCTTTATTCTGCATATATTTCATTTTGTAACATATATAACATACTAATATATCATCAGTCAAATGGGAACACGATAGTGCAAATACACACAATTTGCGAACACCAGACTTGCAAATCTATAATTATCAGTATGTATAATTAAAATAATTATCTTTTACCACTAGTCAGAAAATAAGGAATATAAAACATGCCAGGAATGTCCAAACAATTTCCAATTTAAGAAGTGATAAGAAACAGTGCCAGTCCTAGAAGAGTTTTACTATAGGAATTAAAAGAAGTAAGCTTAATAATAAAAGCCTACAGTTCATCCTTATATTGAATTTCATGAAGTTGGAATGATTGTAGAATGTTCAGTCTTTGTGCCATATCCAGTTTCTTCTCATCAGATAACTTGCCACTCATAACTTTCTTTACCCGATCATTTTCAGTTTTAACAAAATCATCACCTTTGCTAAGAACCTTGTCCATTATAGTTTTGTATATTTTTCCAGTATTTTTACTCTGTAAATGAAAGTGTTAATTACATGAAAATATGTCTATACAAAAATTCCGTATAATACAAAGCTATGACACTACAACAATAAACATAATATTAAACAATTTGGTTGAGGACAATTTGGAGGTCATTTTCAAACTTATTTGATACTTAATTAGTATTAATTTCTTCTAGAGTATCTATGTATAGTCTTATATTGTAGTAGTAAATATTATTATAGGTATTAAAATGAGTAATATATAAATATAAAAAAAGCATTAAACAAAATTACCTCAGAGTCAAGCACTTTGAGAGCATCTTCAGTTTTTTTTAAAACATCATTTCTCTTGTCCTTATTTGCCTTCATGAATTCAATAGCAAGCATGTCAAGTTCGCGCACACATCCAGGGAGGCTTAGGTAGATGCCGGTGTTTTGTCGAACAAATCGCCTTAATTGATCAGTGGTGAATCCTTGAGAATCATCAAAAGTAATAGGTTCATTTTGACCTTTAAGAAACAGTTTGACAACTGGAAAAGTTTCCTTTGTTGCCCCGTACTTATTCGCAAGTTGAGAATTTTCTTTTTCGCCATAATCTTTAACACCGACTTCAGCAATGACTAGTTCCTTAACGTCCTTCGCTTCTTTAGCTATCGCAACAAAAGCATCGTGTTTATCGCCATAAGGAAATGCCACATCAAATTTTACAAGGGATGCGGAGAATGTATTTATTATTTTATCAAATGAAATTTCGTCCAATTCGATGGAACCGCTAGATGCAGACACTTTGTAAACAGCTGGAATTGTAATAAATATTGATAGCACTAACAAAATATTTCTGTTGAAACTCATGTTTGACTAGTAAGTCCGGGCAAAAAATTCTTTGGTTAATGCTAATTGTTAATATTCTCAAACTGACCGGTGTATTTATATAAAGCAACAATCAGCTAATGAAATCGACCGCCAGCGGCTAGCTTTTAAAATATATTCAAATTTCAATACTATTGACAAGTATGACGTTTGACAGTTTTTAACTGCTCTCAAGTGGTTTGCTAGCACGACCATAGGGCAATTCCATTGGATATATTGATTTTAATATTCCAGAATTTAATGTTTTGTTCATTTAATGATCCTTATTAATATAGAAACATAGTTATATTTACATTTTGGGTCAATACATGTTAAATTTGTTATCAGAATGAAATCACTTATACTTGAATGACTCAAACGGTTACTATTGGTTAAAATAATTATATGCTGACCGTGGAGATATTTGATTGGTCTCTACGGGTAGGTGTGATTCGCTTTACAACGGTTTTTAGCTTTTGTTTACCAAGCAAGACAATTACTTAGCACTAGTTTTGACCCAGATCGATTTAACTAAGTCTGCCTGTTCAAGCGTGGTTTAAACCGAAGACGGCTTAAAAATATGTATATATTATTAGCGACAAAACAATAAGAAGAAAAAAAAAAGATTTTGTTGTAGTAGGTAGGTTTCTAATATCTATATACCTTTAATATAAGCTGTATGTATATGATAACAACAAAGTCCTTCGTTCCAAAAAAGTGGTACCTTTAATATATTAGAATATATTTTACAGTTATAGGATATAATAATAGGATACAATCTACGCATAAGTAAATTGCTATAATTTTTAGAAGTTAGTAGTTCAACCTGGATTTTTATGGCAATGTGTGAATATTCACACCTCAAATGGGTTGATATTCAAATGCTCATGTTGCACCCTCCCTCGCGAGTGGGGGTGTTTAGGCCCGTTCGGAGCATATGAACCCTTCGGGTGGTGTGTTGGTTCGCGTCCTGCTAATATTGGGCGGTACGGGTGTGGGCTTTTTAGCCCTTCATGAGGGCTACAGCGCGCGGGGACAGACAAGTTTTGTGTGTGCTGGGGTCGTGTCTGGGTCTGTCAAGTCCAGGGCCAAGGAGTATTCTGGACAAGGCCCTGGTGTCGCGATCGGTGGTATCGGGCAGACTCGCGGTTATCGGTCAAGCCCCGCCAGGTGCCCCGCGCGAGGCCCAGCGACCAGCGGTCGATGCCGCGGTTTCTTCTTCTGGTCTGGGGTTGTTGGTACCCGCGGAGAATAGCTCACGCGGGTACTGGAGTTGATTTGGATAAGTGGCGTCGCAATGGGCGATGCCTGTCAATGGTGACCCCCAAATAGGTGTTATGTGTATCTTCCACGGCACGTCTCGATCCAGGAAGCGTAGGGGTGGTGTGGGTTGATATACCTTCACGTATTTTTAAATAATGGCTAAAAAGATTGTTAATGTAAGAGAATAATAATAAATATTTATTTATTTAATTTTTCAAATGTAAACGGAACTTTATTGACTATAATGACTCCTTTTCCAGTCTTTGATTATTTAATTGTAATTAATTATTTGCATGCAATCAAAAACTATTTTTAATAATGCCAAAGAAGTATAACTTCTTACGCGCGTACATAAGTACACGCGCCCTTTTTTTTTTCTTGTGAGGTTCTAGACATCAACTTTGGTCTATATCTGAACCTTTCTTTGAAGAAACGCTGCATTTGTTCAATCGATTTGAGAAATATGTTACCGACTTAAATTGATTCGTGCGATATACGTAAACAAACATTTAGACCATTCTCCGATACTATTTTGCCTCAATGAAAATAATCTTAATATGCGTATGTCGTATAATGTACCAGTCGGTCCGAATCGTAATATAACTTAGTGACTCACTAATCACTATACGAGGCGATTGTAACGACCACATTTTTTGACAAAATTTCAATGCTTGCCGGTTTGAATTCTGAGACCAAGTTGGATTCTCATGATGTCTATTCATACTGGAAACAAGCGTTACACGAAAGAAAAATATTGTACAGATTACTATTACTACTCCATTCTATTATTATTACTTCATCCATCTCAATCTCTAAGTATTTGCATCATTTCTAAGTAACAAAGATAGTTTTTATTTAAGTCAAAACGAATTTTAATATATTTAATAGTTAAGGTTATAATTCAATATATTGATACGAAAATTGCTTGTAGTGTGAATTTAATGAATTAATGTGATCTTATGTTGTTTTGATTTTTTTAATCTCATTGCATATTCTTGCATGGGCGACGAAACATGGTTGGTTATGACTTATGACTTATGAGCTATTTACAAAATAAAACAAATTTTGAAAAGATTTAACGTTGCTCTAAATCCGCTCTAATAATATATTCGAATGTTATTTTTGAATTTGATTCAATGTAATAAAAACTTTGATATCTTTATTTATTGTATTCCATTTATTTCAGTATGAAAATATTTTTATTTTTATTTTTCCATGTGTTTTTTGCATTTGCTAAGAACATAAAACGTGTGGCGGAATATGGTAAGCCTATTATTATTTTCGCTGCCTAAAATTACATTAGAAGGTAATATTCTGCCTGTTAATGTTAATCTTGTCCTTATTTTAGCGCTTGTTCAAAAGCCGTATGTACCTGTTGAAAATAGTAAGTTTTCTGAAATAATACTAAAAACATTTTGGCAATCCTACTATGAAATTGTATAAAAATCATTCTATATACGACCCTTTTTAGATTTAAAATTACTAAGTGGGCCAAACCCACAAGACTTATTGAAAATTCAGGACGGAGGAGCCGCACTGTGGCCATTTGGAATTATTACATATTATTTTGATACTAAGAGCTACGGTGAGTCTCTTGTCTTTCTAAGAGTATTATTTTATTTCATAGTTAGGTATTAACGGTAAATTAACGGATGTTAAACAAATTAACTTAGGCTGAAAATAGTAGTAAAATTAGTTCACTATAACGTAGATTGTAACTATCTTCGATAAACAGATACAACGACAACAATAAGTTACTTCTTGTTTTAAAATAAATCTCAAATTTAGAATTTGAATTTAATTTTAAAAATAAAGAGGTAATTATTAATAAAAATTGGTTCACATGTACCGAAAACCAAATAACCACCACAATAACACAATAATCCACCTGTTTTTCAACATTAATTTGTTGTCCTTATAAACGTACGCCTGATAAGCAAATTTGTTTGCAGACGAAATAATTGCTCAGCGTGTTTATTCAGTAATGGATGCAGTGCAAAGTGCATCTTGCGTCAAGTTTAACTCCGCCATGACGAAGCCCGTTAATATCACATGGTTACACATCACTAACCCACAGAAAAAACGAGAATGCGTCCATAAAACTTTTGAATTGGATCGTCAGGAAATAGTAAGTCCTTTCACCGTTTAACATATCGACTTTTCTTTTTTTATAACTAAAATATCTATAAAGCAGTTTTATTCTTAGATTTCTACCCAATACAACGAGAAACCGTACGAAATTATATTACAATATTTAATAATACATCGCATCTTGTAGGGACTTTATCTGAGAGATTATATGGTAGACCTTATGTGATAGATTGTTTGCATTAAATAAAAATAGAAAACTGATATTTCTATTTTATTTACTGATAAATCTAAGGAGTAAAACAAAATTAATACAGGAACGCAACATGATAAAATGAAATCCTGTACTTGTTTATCTTCCGAAGCTAATAATTTTCAAGGTAAATTATTAAAATTATTATGACAACTACAAATGTTCATAGACTGTAGTCCTGGGATACGATTGTCTAAAGGAAAGTGATATACTTCATGCCATACTCCACGCTATTGGTTTGAAAGACGAAGTGACGCACCCATATCGTGATCGCTACATGCGAGTGCTTTGGAACAATATTAGACCAGGTAAAATTCGAACACAAACTACTGATGAAGTTGAGGGATTTAATACATTTACATTCGCTACTGCCATAAGCAGCGCCGTTGATGAAATTATCTTTAATGAATTTCCTACATTCACGATTTATTTTCGGAAGTTATGTAAACTACTAATTTAGCTTTGAATTGGATCTTTAATAACATATAATATTATGTATTCACGAAATTCAAATAGCTATTGTTTATTATTGTACGACGTAAATCATGTCTATAAGATGGAATGTGACTGGTGCCAGTGCTAGTCCATGAAGATACAATTGTGAGATACTACTTTACAATCGTAGGGTACATTTATTATAATTTATTGTAAATTGTGTACGTTTTATAGAATATCGCCAGCTTTATCAAATACAAGAATTGCATTCTTCAAAAGGTTTGACAGAGTATGACCCAACAAGTGTCATGCATTTTCATGACCGGGCATTTAGTAGCAATGGACAGGCAACCATTGTACCTTTGGTAAGAAATGTCTCGTTTCCTATTCTCGTTCGTAATGGTTGGTTCCTACATTCAAATATTGGTATTTTTCTAATATTAGGTTGTGAATAATCGACTGTGGCAACACATCATTAATGTTTCGTGTTGTTTGCGCAGCGGCATTTTCACGCACGAACTCAGATTCGACAATTGTACGAATTTTCAGTTTATCCATGGCGCTAAAAACTACCACAATTACAAAAATAAATAAAACAAATGTCTGAATTTGAAATTAAATTAACACGCCTTCCGAATAAAATTTATTTTAATTTCGATTTGCGCGCTAATCCATAGATAATTAAATCTCCAATTACATAGGAAAAAATCTAATATAACGTTATTAGTTTAGAGCGGGACTACCCTTTTACTTATAGTACAGTGCACCTTCTAGGTATGTATATATTTTCTAACTGATAAATTGTGTGATTTTAAGATATCTGGACTAATGATAGCTCCGTCTGATCATCTGTCACAACTGGACACTATGAAACTAAGATTGATGTTCGAACACGAATGTAACAAACGTAAAGTAAGTGAAGTTATAGATTCATGTAAAAATGTATTCCACGATAAACTGAAGGGTTCAGTAAATCCAATGGCTAAAATTTTTGAAAACGGGGACGATAGTCTTATTAAAGAAGGCGCCAATGAAAAATCTGAAGACAATATTTATGAAATGAATGTTAATAGTACTGAAAACGATGGTCAAAGTTATGAAACAGAAAACAGCGACGATTATTCTAAAACAAGCGATTCAGACATAGCATCTACTATAAGTGACGGAGTAATAGACACAAAGGAAGAAATAACAGTTGAAGATTGAATTAATAATTATGATGAAAATAAAAACTAAGGTTATGAAAACAAAAGAAAATCAGCGGTAGATAAGTACACAATAAAAAAAGAAATGATACTCTTGTCTTTCAAAAAAACTTTGTAAGTCCAACGGGTATTCCTAACTTTTTCGTATATCAATTTATTTGAGCAATAAATAAAAAGCTTCTTTTTGTTTATTAGATGTTCTATTAATACAAATAAAATATGATCTAAAATAGTTGTTTTGAAGAAACACTATGACTTCGCATCGCGCACTGTTCTTTATAGATGAGGTTTAATTTTCGAACGTCGATATAGCTCAAGCCTTGCCAGTGACCCATGGCCCAACCATCATTCTAAAAGTGTTTTTGTGATTAATAGTAGGTATTAAGGGTAAGACTTTTATGTAAATTATATTTGCAAAGAGTCACACAACTAACCCGTTGCTTCCGAAAAAATAATTAAAACTTAAATATACTACTGGTATTTAAAATAACACGTAAGACGTATTACTGAGATTTTAACAATACGTACCCATATTGGATACATTATGTTTGTAACGCCATCTTTTATTTGTAACCAGGGGTAATGCATAACGCTCTGGTAGTCGTAGGTAAAACCTGCTGCTGCGGCGGGCGGGAGCTTTTGTGACATTTCAGATTTAATTTCTGAAAATCCCAAATAAATTTTCGAATAGATTCAGGAATTTTACTCGAAGATATATAGCAATAAGAATTAGCGAAATCTAGCGCATCTTATATGCGATTAAAATGTTACGTATTTGTAATAGTAATATGCCAAACCTGGAGTAAGATTGTCCCACACGATTTTAAGAAACAAATCACGATCATGCATATTATGTTGATGATCCAAACCTAACACGTGTACAAATACGTGCAAAAGATCATTCACCGAATTAAAGCAATCATTATTGATAACAAGATCCTGAAACGAGTGAAATCCTATATAAAATAACCGTACAAAAAACGTGGCAATTGCACCCATGTCTTATTGTATGTTTTACTTTTATTCGAGTTGTGACTTTACACCATTGCAGAGCACGGGGAATGGTAGATTAGATATATGTTAAAATCTCTATTCATTTCACAACTAGAATAACCTATGCTTTTTAGATGCAAATATTCTCCATCTCTTTCTAAGTTATAAGCATTAGTTTGAATTAAATTAACGTAATGAACCCTGTGTACCTACTTTATGCCCATTTGGTCTTCCTGGGGGATGACATTGGCACCCTGGCTCTGACGATCTAACCAAAGTCAATATATTCGTTGCATGTCGTCGTAATGGTAATATATTACGTTTTAATCGTGTAACTCCTGAAAATGTTTTGCAAAAGGTTCACTAGATAATACAATTCAAAATAAAAGTATGGAAAAAAACCACTTACTAATAAAGATAATATATAAATGTAATTTTAAGTTATAAATACCTTTCGAAATTTTAAGGTTATCCCAACTATCATTTGAAATTTCATTATCTGTATCTCTTTGAGTTTTCGGAGTGGAGTTAGGTATGCTATACGTCATCTTAGCCTTACCATTATTGTAAGCTGATGAACTGGGTAAAGTTACATTATCTTTGTTTGATTGTTGAGGGTTTATTTCAACTAATTTGGTTGGTTTTTTGTTTCTATCTTCATCTGAAAGTTCTTTTTCTGAAGAACCTCTCCTTGAATCTAGGTTTCTAAACTCAATGCATGTTTCCTTTTCTATATGATGTATTACAGCTTGAATGTTTTCTTTTTCTTCAGTCGCTGAAAATGAGAGAAAAATATAATGTAGCTATCTTTTGTACTGTACTGTAATAGTACAATATAGCCTAGGAAGGTAACTGTTTTCTATTCAATAATCTTAGATAGTATTTATGCATAAATTTATTTTCAAACTCACTAAACTCCATATCATCCCGTATCTTGTAGTTAACTATACCATACGGCCAGATCCTTTCACTAAAGTAATCATTAATTTCATCAATAGTCGCTGCTTGCCCTTCTTTTCTACCATTCATAACGCTAGGACACGTTTCTATAAGATATTCCTTATTCCGTTCCATGCACTCGGCGTTGTATACTTTTGATACTTTTAAAATGTCTATTTCGCTTAAAGCTTCACGTTGACCAATCTTTGTTGGATGCTAAAGAAAAGAAGTCTTATGTTCCTATTAATTTAAAAGGGCAATTACATCAGAAGGTAGCGTAGTGAAACCAGAAATATTAGTGAAACTGTCCGCGGGACCATTTTGACAGCTGCGATTTGGAATTCAATCATTTAATTAAATAAAATCTAATATATAAAATTCTCGTGTCGCGGTGTTTGTGGTTAAACTCCTCCGAAACGGCTTGACCAATTCTCATGAAATTTTGTGTGCATATTGGGTATAACTGAGAATCGGACAACATCTATTTTTCATCCCCCTAAATGTTAAGGGTAGTCCAACCCTAATTTTTTTTTTTAATTTTTAGATAAATTTTTTAATTTTATATCTTTTTATGTTACAGCATTAAAAAATACATATAACCCCTAATTTTCACTCTACGATCAACCCCTATTTTTTATTATAAATGATAAACATGGCAAAACGACGTTTGCCGGATCAGCTAGTATTCTTATAAAGAGTATAATCTTAAAATTTTTCCTTCGAGCCGTTTCTGCAGCACTGGTGCCGCGGTGGTACTCGAACTCGTGAATAACGCTATTTTTCATGTTTTCCATTTTATAGAGTGACGCAAAAATTTTTAGAAATATTTGAGTGCGACAAAACGGCAATTTCATATGTAAGGACCTAATATCTTACTTGTGCCATTATGGTTATCTGCCCATTTTTAGAAAACGCTCGAGGGGGATAATGAAGCACGCTGGCGTAATCATATGGCAGATTGAGCGGATCATCTCGGCGTGCTGAGAAATACTTCTTGTATCCTATAATAATTTTGTATAAAAATTGTTATTATATTTTTTAATCATAGAAAGACTTAAAGATAGTCAAAAAATAAGTAGTGCTGGTTCCACTATGGATTTACTATAAAATGTGTTTACTTTACTTATATTGTCCTTGTAGAATTTTGACATCATTTATCTCTTTTCGTTTTTTTTCACGTTTTTAAGAACGTTTTATTAAAGTAATTATTATGAGGTGCTAAAGTCTAGATACTACATAATATTTATTCGTAGTCACTTCGGATTATTAGTTTGATGAATAAATTAAAAAAAAACCTGACCTGCTTTTATATTATCCCACAAGATTGTTATGTAGCTGTCTCTATCGGGCCTGGTATGTTCATGAGAAAAACCTAATACGTGCATAATTTCATGAAGAATTTCCCCTAAAGACATACAATCGTAACCGATTACCACCATCTAAAACAAATTGTTTACGAACTGCAACGAAAATAGAGTAAATCGATATATTTTAAAATTAAAATTATAAATAAAAATTTCATATCCTTGAAAGGGCCTTGGAAACCTGCCACCATCATGTAAGTATATCTAAATAAAATTGGACCCTATTTTAATTTTTAATTTTTTTTTATTACCTAACTTAAGCCACAAATTACACATTTTAAATACATACTTCGAACCTTGGTGTATTAATGTACTTGTCCTAGATTTAATATGTATTTCACATATAAAATATTATTATAACGTATTTAGGTTGGAGGTCTTATGTAAAGTTTGTGGGAAATCCGATTTTTTATTACATTAACTTTTACCTGCATCCCATTTTGTAAATATGAAGGGTTTAAATACGGGCTGTTGTGGTAAATAACACGTGGCTGCTAATTATTTTGATTTCATTCTTCATTCTTTAGCAGTACGGACAAAAAATTTAAAACCGAAACGGGTCGAACGATGGGATGTGGCTTTTGATGTTCAGAGGAAAGGTGTCGGTGGTATCATACTATAAAGTTATGAATTGAACGAAGGGAAAAGAGAACCCGCAGAAATTATATTTTAAAGGTAAGATTTGCAAACGTATATGTAATGCCATAATATTACAATTATATTATTAGACTATATGTACCTGAACACCTTGATTGGGTTTTCTCTCGTTACTATGAACGCATTGCCGGATACCCGAAGGATTGCTGATATACAACCATTCTACACTTTGTAGAGATTTTTTATCGAGAGGTCGTTCTCTTAGCCGCTGCAGCCGAATGCAAGTAACTTTCTCAAAGTAATCAAATGCTTTTATTATCACTTCCGTTAGTTGGACATCTAGAATTTATTTAACAATGATTACTTAAAAGTTCATCAACGTTTATTGGTTTCAGAATTGAGCATCGCCCTTTTGTTTATACCTTTTTAAATACATACAGATATATAAATGTTTTGATCGACTGTCACCGGTAGTTATTGTAAGGTACTAATTTAAGCTACTAAAATCCTATAAATATTCATAAAAATAATAGGTACCATAAGAATTAGGATCGATAAAATATGGAACAATCCCATGATGCCACTTCTTGGTCCAGGGCATTGTATCGGAACCTCCATGATGTAGTATTTTTGGATCATCAACACTTGGATCTTGCTTTTCTGGTCCCGATAAACTCGCTGGAGCAAAATTAAATCGCCTATGGCTGATCTGTAAATTTATACATATTTAATAAGTTACGTAACCTAAAAGATAACACCAAACTAATTAGTAAAACTCAACTCTGTTCTTTATACTGTTCTTCTGTTATTGTATACTAATTTGATACCTTTATCGTAGTCGAATCATTAAAACTTCTTTGCCTATAAGTAATTTTTTCTTCCACGTCATCGTAGAGTTTCTCAACTATGCTTTCAACTCTTTTAAGGTCTTCCCTGTTTATCGCTGGATTTTCTTGTATATTTCTTCTTAATCTGGGGTGGGCTTCTTTCGAATTGCGTATGTCCAGATTATTCTGTTCTTCAAAAATTTTACATATTTCTAAAGTATCTTGTCGCTTTTTCTCAATTATTTTTTCATCAACTGCAACGGTACAAATGAATTATATTT